GTTGTTAATGTTTTCTGTATAAAAAGGTAAATGGTGGGGGTGTTTTACATAATAGACTATTGCGTTACTGTAGTTTTATTTATTTACTATTGAGATATTGTATTGTACGATTTTGAGACCAGATTGTACGATTTTAGGGGTTTGTACGATTTTAGGGGTTTGTACGATTTTAGGGGTTTGAGGGTAAACAGGTCTGTTAATGTTGTTTTTCTTTTATCAAATAGGAACTGGGAAGACATTAGTAGCAAGAGCTCTTGCAAATGAATGTTCACATGGTGATAGAAGAGTTGCATTCTTTATGCGCAAGGGAGCAGATTGTTTAAGTAAATGGGTTGGAGAATCTGAAAGGCAATTAAGACTTTTGTTTGACCAGGTAACTTTTTAAAAAATAATAAAATTAGAGCTTTAAAATAAAAAATTATTTTCCCCACAAAACACTTCATGCTTTTGATCAGAGAAAACAATTATTGTGGTAATTATAATTTCAATCAGTTCACTTTCGGAAAACTATTACCAGCCAAGACAATTATTTTTATCAAAGAAGGTATGTATTAGATAAGATTTCCCCTTGCAGCATCCAAGTTTGTCCCAACATGACATATATCAAATTCTAACGATTGCAGTGCAAAATAGTGAATTTTTTTTTCACTAAGTACCAATTAAGTTGAGAAACTACTAAACAGTTAATAAACATAATTATCTTAGATCACCATTCAGTAACCATTAGAAAAGAATTCTGCAAAAGATTATTACTAAATGAGTTATACTGGTTAACATAAATTTCCCTAGATGTTTAATAATGTTACATTATGAATTGTATTGTGATGAAACCATTGCACCCTGTACAGTTTGGGAACATCTGCATTGAAAAGTAAATTTGCTTAAGGGCCCCTTATAAAAAGCAGTTAATAACACCTATCTCCGCAAAAAATTAATATATATATATATATATATTTTGAAGATGCAAGTTCATACAAAAACTTTTATTTTAACTTGTAGTACAATAGTGAAGTATTCCTACTTAAATAAAATACATTCATACCAATTGCACTTATTTATTGTTTAAATTAAAAGTTTTAGTTAAAGTAAAAAAAAATTCATTCCATGTTTAAAACTTTCAGGCTTACAAGTTTCGCCCATCTATAATTTTCTTTGATGAAATTGATGGCTTAGCACCTGTAAGGTCAAGTAGACAAGATCAGATTCACAGTTCCATTGTATCCACTCTACTCGCTTTGATGGATGGGCTTGACAGCAGAGGAGAAATAGTTGTAATTGGTGCAACAAATCGTATAGATTCTCTAGATCCTGCCCTTAGACGCCCTGGTCGATTTGATCGAGAGTTTCTGTTTTCATTGCCATCTCTAGAGGTAGATATATATTATTATGAATAATTGAAATGAAAAATTATGTAAAACTTGTTTAAACTCCCAGATTTATGGCGTATTACTTGCTGTTTCAGGCGCGCAAGCAGATTTTGAACATTCACACTGCCAGCTGGACACCCAAGTTGAATGAGCAATTTATCTCTGAACTAGCTGAGAAATGTGTTGGTAAGTTTAAAAATTAAAATGTTACAAATTGGTCCACAGACAAAAATACATTCAAAATTCAATTTTTAAATATGTTACTTTTAAAATTTAGGCCCAGAATGGTTAAGTATGGCACGTTTTTTATTAGGTTCTCTTTAATAGACTTTTTGAGAAGCCCAAGTTTTTTTCAAAGCAAACATGTGGAATAACTGGCTTTTATAGGAAATTTTAGACAAATTTTTTGTCTCTACCAAACAACTGTCCATCTGGATAAAGAAATTGAAGTGTACTATTTGTCCATCATCCCTGTGTCACTACAGCCCAAGTAGGGCTTTGGCCTGCCTCTCCACTTTGATGCTTTTCTTTTCAATGCTTGGCTTCCCAGCTGCAGTAAATCCCTCTCAATATCATCCATCCATCTCAGCCTAGGTCTGCCTCTGTTTTCCTCTGGGTTTTTGGTGGTGCAACCGACTCAACTCCTCTGTCATTTGGCATTCTTTCTAAATGTACAGCATAGCCTGCCCTTTTTATTTCTGCTACTAGTGTGTAAAAAGTGGCAACCAGTTGGATTTTGCCCACAGGTTTAGTTTGCCAAATAATTTCAATGCCATTAAAATATTTGTCTTTGCAAATTTTCAGGTTATTGTGGTGCAGATCTGAAAGCTCTAGTTACAGAAGCTGCAATGTTGGCGTTACGTCGCAGGTATCCACAAATCTATTTCACAAACGAAGCATTGCAGTTAGATGTTACTTCAATCAATGTGTCAGCAAGAGATTTTTTTGAGTAAGTTTTTTTTATTTTAGCCTTATTAGGATTGTCTTCAAAAACTGAGCTAAGTACTTCTATTTATAATTTTCATTATTAAAACAGTAACCCTATATTTTAATTTTCTTGTAGAAACTTTAGTTTCAATAATGGTTGTTATTTATGTTACCAAACTGGAAGTAACCATTTTAATTTCAAATTGAAAACATACAATAAAAATGACATGATTAATTATAATTGTTCTTTTTTTTTTTTTGCTGTAACCTTCTTTAAAACACTGATTTCTTTATTTCAGTGCTGTAAATAATATTATTCCAACATCCCAGCGTTCTGCCAACTCACCAGCTCGTGCATTGCCACCTAGAGTGTATCATTTACTTCATCGTCAGTTTAATATAGCTTTGAAACAGCTTAGTGACACATTCCCACCTTGCCTTGCCCAGAGCTCAACTTCAGATATGGCAGGTATAGAATAAAAATTTCTTTGTACCTATATTTTTACTTAGGACATTTTTTTTTATTACATTATTTTTTTGTACCATCTGACTGTTAATAAAATTCCAAAAATCCCAATTACTAATCATTTGGTTGGTATAACATAAATTCATTTAGGTTAACAAGGGAAAAGAAATTAATAGATTGAATTTAAAATATATATTTTTAAACATAAGATTAACTTTTTATTTTTTGTTATTTGCCTGTTAGTCTATAAATTACACCTTAATCTTTTGAAACTCATTTTTTGGGGGGAATAATAAAGTTATTCTTAAAAAGAATATTCTCGAATGCAGGTAGTATAAAAAATATTTAGAGTTTGTCGAACTTCTTATCATTGATTGATTGTGGACTATATGAACAATATTTTGGTTATTCAAGATAGTAATCAGGGGCAATGATAGGGTCTCTGAAACCTAAATAGTTATCTGTAACTTGAAACATTTTGATTTAATTATTTTAGCAACTTCAAGTCAAGTGCAACTCCTTGCTGAGAATGGTATTATATGGGATGAGTTGGCAAGTGATGAAGATGAGGATACACCTTCAATTTTTATAACACCCTCAAATAAAGGAAAAGCATTAAGGCGCAACAGTGATCAAGGGTCCAGTAAATCACCAACTTACCTCAAATTCTCTAGGTAATATTAAAATTAACAAACACTCCGAATCCAATGTAAGGTACTTTTACAATCTGAAATAATTAATTTAGGCTATCCATTTATTTGATTAAACCCATTTCAAAGTTAGTATGTCTCATCATTGACACATTCACTTCGGATTTTTTTTTTTAAGTTTGATTTAATAATGGAATTGCAAAAAGCTAACCGATCTTTTATTCTTCATAAATCACAATTTCCATATTTTTAGTTCAAGCCGTCCTTCTACATTTCGCCCTCGATTGATGATTGTTGGACACGAGGGCCAAGGTCAAACTACTTACATTGCTCCTGCAATCATTCACAAGATGGAGAATTTGCCAGTTCACGTCTTAGACCTTCCAGCACTTTATGCTGTTACAGCAAAAACTCCAGAAGAATCCTGTGCCAATGTGAGTGTTTGTTACATTTCTTCAATAATTCATTTTAAAATACCTTTTTTTTTCCAATAATAAATCATTTGAACTTATAATTACTACCTTCTTCTCCAATAAATTTTCAACCATCTTGCAATGTAGTTAAGGTGGTCCACGGGTGAAAAAATCGAAAGTTTGGTTATTTTTTTCCAAAATGAGATTACTGTGTTTTCTGCTAGATTAACCTCTTATGTATACTTTTCTGTAAAGTGTTGTTTTTTTTTAAATATATTTTAAATTTGTTAAATAAATATTTAAAAGTGGTATGGTAAGACTGCATTTTCAGGAAAATAAAACAGGCGAAGCCAAAGTTTGTCTTTTTAGCCCTTAGTTACATGTAGTTCGTACAGCGCTACATATACATATTTGGTATCGATCGAAAGAAAAACGCAGCGGGAACGCAGTGATTCCGTAATAAAAAATGGCAAAATCATAACGGCGAAGCTATTTCGTACTTTATAAACGAATTGTAAACTTTATGATTTGTCGAGGCATTGACCCCTTGACCTTTCCTTTTCCTACGAATCTCTTATTAAAATTTGAACGGGATTGAATGTTTTCTTCCCAAATTCCAATTCTACTGCCGCTTTGGGTCTGACAATATGATGTTGTTTTTCAATGAACCTATTATCACTAATTTTAATCGATGGACTCAAAATCCACACAAGAAATCAAATATGTACCATTTTTGTGGATTTACATACCCTACCAAATTGATGGTAAGTTGATTTAAGCATTTTTAGAATAAATAAAAAATTCCTATAAGTATTTAACATTATTTTTCTTTTTTATATAATTATCGCATTAGTGCCATGCTGTGCTAGAATTATCTCTCACTCTAGTCCTAACTAAACAAAACGTAGCCCACAGTAAACTTTAAATATATTGTTTTAAAAATTAATCCTAATAAAATATATTATATAGCATCTCTGGACTATGCAATTTTATTTTCTCTGCCTATATATTTTTAAATGAATTTTATTTATGTAATGACTATCGTATCGTTTGAAAGTTTAAAAATTATTTTGAATCACATTGACTTGGATAAAATCCTAGAATTTTTACTTTCTATTTCTATAAATCATTATAAGCATTTTTTTTTTATCATCTAATCTCTAGATTATCTGTTGGCATCTCCTTGAACCTAAAGACTGGAAAGTAAAGGATCATACCATCGAAGAGCGGTCAAGAAGAAGATTTTCTTCGTTCCTTCGAGGATTCCATTTTCCTCTCGAAGAGTAATGCCTGCAGCTGCCTTTCCTGAATATGCTCTCATGATCGATTCTATTCTAAGAGCTATTTAACACACATCACAACACATCTGTTGTGAACATTTGAACATGCATTTAATTTCTAGGGGTATCACTGCCAGCACTGATATCATTACAACATTGCTTCAATTATGCAAGTCAGGCCTGCAGTGTGTTACATGATGAGTATTGGACTTTACACAAACAAAAGAACATTGAAATTGGCTATAGGATAAGAATACAGCCAAACAAGTATCAAAAGACTTGCATTATGTTCATGGTCTATTTTTCAATAACCATAATTACGTCAGCCCAGATGCGTTCGGCTACAACACATCTAATACAAAGATTCTGACTGCCATTCTTTGTCAATGAGAACTAAAATATAATGCCATGTCTGCAGTCTACTCAAGAATCCTGAAGTACCCTACACCCTAAAGAATTTTATGACTATGAGAGGATGAATACAGAATGGCTGCCATGCACTATAACCTTTTATGCATATTTTAATTTTTTTTTAATTAAAAAATTAGCGTCTAAGGGTCGTGTATTTTTAAATTTCCAATGTTTATTTCTACGGCATTTTAGAAATTACTTTTTAATCTTATATAGGGCACATCTAATTATTTCATTCATCAACAGGTAAATCTACAACCTTTCTTTGTAAAGTGACTATTTGGATAAGCTGTTTCATATTATTTTATTTTGCATTTTCCATTTTTTTAAAGGACGTCGGATGAAATAGGGTCAAAAGTATTAGAGCTACATGATTCAAACCTTATATGCTTATTTCCATTGATATTATCTACATAAAGACATGTGGGTTTTTAAAAAAATGTCCAGGGTTTGTTTTTCAAGCTTTTTTTTTTACATAATTTTAATTGTTTATTTTTTTTACAGAGGTTGAATTGGCTATCATTGAGGAAAATTTTCTATAATTTGTAACTGTTTTTTTTTTTAAAAATCCTTTAGAATGAATTGTGTATATTTATAACCAATGCAACCTTTATATTGTTTAGAGGGCCTGGGATTTTTTCTAATTAACTTATTACAACTTTTTTGTTAACTCCACTTAGGATTTTCCATTTACCTCTGATGTCAGATTTATTAAGAGGAAAAGTATTATTACCACGTGCTTCAAAATTTGCACGGTTGTTTATATTGATATTTTCTACATAATGATGGATGTTTTTTTATTGCATATCTCATAAACAAAATTCAGAAGTTTTTATGATCTCATTATTTTTATTAAGCTCGAGGCTATTGGGTTGTTGGAAAATGCATTCATTTATATTCTTTCTATTATATCTATGTTCTTACATTCTTTTACAATTAACGAGTGGAATGTGTTCATGATGTATGCATCCAATATTGTTCAAGTTACCTTTAATTTTTTTTAATAAGAAGCATTTTTCAGTGTCTTTTTCAGCTTTTATCGACTTAGCATTTTCAATTTTTTTTCTGCCGTCAATTGAATCAGAAGGAATAGTTTTGGAACTAAATAATTGAAACTTTGCATGCTTATTTATATTGACATTCTTTACTTAATGATGGATGGATTTTAAACAAATTACGAAAAATTTTCAGAATTTGTTATTTATATATTTTATTTATTAGATTCGTGGGGTGGAGTTTGAAAAAGTGTGTTAATTTTTTTTTTCTAACTTTTTTGTCTATGTTTTCACATTGTTTTTTAATTCATGAAAGGTATATGTACATGGTGTAAGCATTCTATACCGTTCATGCAGCCTGTAAATTATTTTTTTTAATATATATACTTCTTTTTCATTTTTCTCAATTTTGCGTTTTCCGGAATTTTTAGGAACGCCAAATGAATCGGGAGGAAAAGTATTCCAGCTACAGGCTTCAAACTTTGCATGCTTCTTTTCATTTATATTCTTGACAAAATATAAGAGGCTTTTTTAATATATATCCAACTAGAAAAGTTTTATAACATTTTTACATTTGCTACCCCTAAAAATTTCTCGAAGATTTATGTGACCCCCACATACATGCCATTTGTAACACTTCCAATAACTGCAGTGTAATAAGCTTCTTTAAAGTTTTTGTCAATGTTATTATTGATGTGTATGCAAAGTTTCATTATGATATTGTAATAAAAAAATAATTTTATTCATTTTGTGTAAAAGTCAAAATTGTTAATAAATTTTCAATATTTTGCAATAAAAGTAAAAAAAAAAAAATTAAATAAACTTTATTGGTTTTTTGTCTTTCTGTTTGTGTATGGTTTGTTTGTCCTTTTTTTTTTTTTTTTAAATTAAAAAACAGAAAAAAAAAATACCCATGGACCACCTTAATTTCATCTTTAGATGATAAATCTTGAAACAAATATTGTTTGCAACTCCTGTTTAGACAGATTGTTAAAATAAGGGGATTAGAATTGATGAAAAGGAATATGATTTTCAACTAAACTTTATTAATGGGTTGAAATGTATTCAGTAGCTTGTGTCTAACATGTGACTGAAAAATTTAAACCTTGGATTTTTGTTTGTATTTTATTTGGTACATACATTTTTAAAAATACATATGGCTTATTTTCTGTTAAATATATGTAATTTATTTCTCTATAGGTGTTTCATGAGGCCAAACGCAAATGTCCAAGCATTATTTACCTTCCTTATATAAATCAGTGGTGGGATGTGATGGCAGAAACTCTCAGAGCAACCTTACTTACCCTTATTCATGATTTAAACCCCTCATTGCCCTTACTATTGTTGGCTACCAGCGAACAACCTTATGCGATGTTAGACCCTTTGGTGAGCACTTCTTGATATACTTCCATTAAGTTTATATGACAACTTTTTAAAGGTACAGAGTTCAGCAGAATTTTCTTTAAAATTATTTGCAGTTAACTCAGGAACATCATTTTGAGAAAAATTCTAAATGCTCCTTTTTTTAATTTTTTTAATAATCTTAACTTAATAAGCTGACAAATATACATTTTTTTCATTTATTTATGGGGGAGGGGTGTTAAAAATTCTATGCCATTAACAGTAAACAGTAAATGGAAATGTATAATTTGTAATTTTTCTATAAACCAAAACATTAATTTTGTTACATTTGTTTTATATTTTAGTTACAGTCACTTTTCAGTCATTTAGCTGGTGAAGTTATGGAGATGAAAGATCCTAACAGTGATGAAAGAAGAACTTTCTTTAAAGAGCTCTTAATAGACTATACAAGGAAGCCTCCTCCTCAGAAAAAACAAGCAGGTACCTTAAAATATTAAATTACATTTTAAAATCCATTACTTTCAGGAAAACATTGTTTAAAAGAAAAATAATAGTAGTATATAGCTCAATAGCAAGAAGTAGATTTATTACACTATCCTAGTTTAGGTTGAGTGTAGTCCATGCAACATTTATAATCTTAGATTGTTGCTATATTTTTTTAAGAATAACACTTTATATCCACATGACTTATAGAGTTTTTTTAAGCTCGTTCCGGGCACCTAGTACTAAACAATCGTACATTCATCCACTAAAATTTGTTGCTGCTCTTGCGAGTTTAAAATATTTTTTTAAAAATTTAAATCTGTATTTTATTTTATTTCCTTAAAAGGTTACAATAATTCAGCATGGCTTTCAAAGCTCATGTGATAATGTGCTAAGTTTACTGGTCTAGCAGGTTGGGTAGAGGATGAAACAATCTTAACAGATCAATGTAGAATTTATTTGAAATTATTAAGGAAGAAATAGCTTGGATATATCTGAAGCCTACTTTAAAAACCAATACTGTTACATTAATAGATAATAATACTAGCCAGTGACCATGGTGATGGCTAGTGAACTTGTGATGCACTCATGGATACCTAGGTATCGTCTCCATGGGTCAAATTTCCCTTTCAGGGGTTTAAAAAGATTTTGACAGCCCTAATAATAAGATTGTATTAATGTTTAGTTTTTGCTTATTCTTATTGACCTCAGCTTATATTCAAATATCAACCAGAGTTAGCTTAAATGAAAATAAATGAGGAATTTTAAAAGGCAGATTCATGAATGTTAAAAATTATATTTAAAAACTTAACTTGAAACATATACATCAATTTCTTTTACAAAAATTTTAATACAACCAAAAGGTCTCTGTGAATTTAACAAGTGAAGGGCTCTCTTGCAATAAACAGATAGGATATAATGAATTAAAAACAGTAACTTATCCATAGAGATTTAATCAATAATTCACTGGTTATTTAAAGTTGTCATTTCAACTCTGAAAAAAAGTATCTTCCTGTCATACATTCTGGAGTATTACTATATACCATGCCAAGCATGCATTTATAGCACATTCATTCCTCTCTCACATTAGACTCTCATGATAAACATCAACATTGTGTACTGTTCACAAACTATGTGATTGTTGTCAGAAGTAACCCTGAATTAGTATTTGGTGAATACTTAGAATGTATCATTCCCAAGAGACATTTTTAGATTTTATGTAAGGTATAAATATTGTGCTTTTGATGAAACAGGTGGAATTGATAACATTTATATACTAGCATTAAATAAAGTGGCTTGAAAAGTGAATGTCAACTCAATAAGATAAATTGCTGTGAAAATATTGAACTGACAACTTTTTAATGAACCGTTTTTTATAAAATTGTAAACTGACAAATTGGGTTCTTTGTTAAAGTTAGTTCAATACAGTGTCTGTATATATTTTTTTATATAAAGTGCTACTTTTGATGCACACATTTACTAAAAATAGCTGTGTTTTGAATCACCGTAATTTTATTTTATTCAAATAATACAAATTTTGGCTACAAACAGAAAATTTTGGGGGAAAATACCAAACACCATTGTAACCTTTTACTCGGGGCTAAAAAAAACTAACATAATACATATTATTTTAAAGATTTTTATGGGAAACTGCTGAAGAATTCAATTAATTTTTGGCAACTGAATCTCATATTTTTTCAGGAGAAATTCTCACACTTTTGAATGAATCACTTAAAGCAAATTCGTTTTCCTTAAATTTGGCAAATTCAAACCAGAGGGTTAGAATAGATAAACGTAGAGCAACAACTCTTCTCCCTAACAACATAAGCTCATTAAAGTCAACTGGCTCAGTCAACAAGAGACAAAGAAATAAGCGTTGTAAATATGAGGCTGACAATTCATTTGAAATCAATATGCTTGATACAATGTCAGACTTCAAAATAAAAATACCTGAATCGCCAGTGAAAATGACAGATTGTGTAAAATCCATTCATGGTATGACTCTAAGATCGAAAAATGCTAATCTAAGTCAACTCAATAGTAATCAGTCTGCCAGAGTGTGTGAACCGTTCGATGGATGCTTTGTACTCAAGTCAAAAGAGCCAGCATTGACTTCTACTTTTCATAAGGAAACCTTGCATCCCCACAATAAAACTGTCCAAGATGAGGTCTCTTCTACCAGATCTTGGCATGGTTGCATTAACAGTGCTTTCAATAATCTTGATGATGCTAATGTCAGTAATTTAATGAACTTTGGAACTAAAGCAGGAGCAAGCACAAATAACACACCAAGCTCCTCAAAGCAGTATATCAGGAATTTCAATCATTCTAAGAACTGTGATAATTTAAGGTGGCAAATGCAAAATATTGATTCAACAGTACTAAACACGAAGCAAGCAGAGGATTACTTGCAACCACACAGCTCTTCAAAACATTTTTGTCATTTTGCCAGTAGTGTGACTTATCAAAAAGAACCATTGTCTTGTGGATCTTTTCAAATGCAATATAAAAATGAAGATAGAAAACACTGTGATCGATACAAGACCAGAAGTGAAGTTTTGCCTCTGAATTTCAGAGATTTAAGCTGTAGCCATGTTACGAAAATGAATAAGGGTTTCAAGAAGAGGCTGCATGTAAAGCGTCCTAAAAATGCTCCTCAAATACATCTTTATAATTTACGACTTAATAAACAAAGCAGAAATGGTAATAATACATTTTTAAAACGTTGAAAGGTATTCATTTGATAATTTTTAAATTTAATTCTAAAAATTGTGCTACAATCTGGAATTAAATTTAGATTTCATGTTTTATTTCTTTACCAAAAAAAAATTAAAAAATCTCAGTTTGAATTTTGAAAATAAGCCTTTGAGAGTCTAAAAGATATAAATTATGAAACTTTTAAATACTTTTTCATTCTCAAAGAATTTAATTTTGCAACTCAACATTTTTTTAATTTGTTGAAGCTATCCAATTTTCATCATATTTTATACTTTTTATTGTGTTTAATTTATTGTTAGTTAACCCTATAACTATTATCAGCCTTTATGTGGTGTCACAGAGGACATAATCAGCTGCTAGCATAATGTCTAATCCTGGAGAGGGTCACCATCTAGATTGCAAAAACAGCTCAGATTTTCTTTATTGGAATTATTTCAAATGGGTTAAAATTAAAGAATAGATTTCAGAGATATTCTACATGCTAGTAATGGTATTATTAGTTCTAGCGGTGATGGTGTCGTAAGTGTTTGATATTAACAATTTTAGTCCTAAGCTTAGTCATATTGTTTGGACAAGGATGGAAATCTAACAGATAAGACAAAGATTGGATCCCAAAGATCTACCCTAAAGAGTCAAAGAGTATTAATTAATAAAAATGGATTAATAACTTATGGAGAAGGAATGTTTGAACTGATTTCATGCTTTCCCTCTTGTATTTTGTATGACATAAATTGGAAGATAGTGATTGAAAAAATTCAATTTTAATTATAAGTACTTATAACTTGACATTTTCTGAAAGATTATTGTTTCTAATATCTCAAAAGCTTGAGTTTATGATAATTTGAATAGTTTATGGAGTATTAGTTTGAGTTGAATTCAGAAGTTGATTAGTAAAATTTTCACTCACTCTGTAAAGGTCAATATCAACATACAAATTGTAAAAACAAATTATTTTAATGCTATAAATACCTTGTTAATTGTACTTTCAGAAAATGTATACTTGTAAGGGTCTCAGAATTCAGTATAGTCTAGGATTTTGTCATTTTTTAATAGCATTGAAAATGCTAAAAATGTCTTGACACTACAGAAAAATGCACTTGACAGTTATAGGGTTAAAGAAGTGACTTTTTTAAGCTTAAAATTTAATCATAACTTAAGTGAAATTAAAGTGATCTTATTAATCTTTGTATTTTTATGACGGGATAATTTTTTAAAATTATTAATTTTATGACACCTTTGTTAATTATCCATCATTGGAATAATGCTAATAGCTAAATCATTGAAATTTATGTTGATCTATAGGTAATCCTGTTTTCTTTTTTTTTTTTTCTTTTTTTTCCTAACTTGAAGCTCAGAGAATTTTGGAAGTACTGCCTAAAGCTGCCCCACCTAAGCCTAGAGAACTAACCCAACAAGAGTTGGATCAGTTGGTAGAGAAGGAGGAGCTCACTCTCATGGAATTACGGATATTTCTTAGAGATGTTCTTAACAAACTTGGCAGTGATAAAAAATTTTCTATATTTGCAAAACCTGTCAATAGAGAAGAAGTAAGTTGATTTCTTTTGCTCCCTCTCTCACAGCAACAAATAAAATTTAAAAATTATGTAATTTTTTAAAAATGCAATTTGACATTCTATTTGACGTCCACAATTTTCTTTGCTGCATTTAAATTATTTTGAGCTATGAATATAGTGCAAACTTAAACATAAAAAAAAAATTATTAAGACATTCCCCAATTTAACTTAGTCAGCTTATAGTATGCTGAAGAAGAAAAAAAAAGTTTTGCAACATGCATATATATTAGGGTGGTTCAAAAAATCTAAGTTGAAAATATCCATTTGCATTTAGGTTTTTTAATTCCAGTATGTCAAAAAATAATACAAAAATTTTTTAATGAAAAGTTAAGTCTGAGTACTGTCTCAGAGGGCTTCAAGTTTTATATAATGTAGCCCATTTAAAATTCGTGTTAAATGATATAGCGATCACTTTTTTTCTGAAGTTCCCACTCTGATGATGTTAAATACAGACTAGCAATCTTTGGAACTTCTAACAGCTTTTCAATTTTTTTAATAAGAAACAAGATGGGCAACTCTTTCTTCTTTTTGTGTTCCATCAGTGAGAGCAGGAACTAGCTTACCATCAAAGTGAACAACTAATGAACAATCAGCTAAGAACTTTTTTTTAAGGCAATAAGTTCAGATAGATGTTTTTATCTTGTCCTCATGCTACTGACACTTAAATTTTTTAAACATCTTCTAGTGGAGCACTAATTGATTTTATTGCAGCTGCAAGACTATAAGTATAAGCAAATTTTTGATTACTTGTATTTGTAGAATCTAATGCAGCTGCCAAATCCTGGGAAATGCTTGCAATTGAAGTAATTTTTTTTTTTTGTGCTTGATGATGATGAATCTTTAACAACCACCCCCTTGCCTTCTTTACTAGGTTCACTATCATCATTGAATAATTGGACAGTCTTACAACTTCAGAGGCTTCAATTTTTCTCGATTTCTCCTTTTTTTATTTAAAACTAAGCCGTTTTTTTCATTCGCTACTAATTTTGTGTCAATTTCACTGATAACATATTTCCCCTGAGAACCTGATCAGTGAAAAATGCTTTGTCTTCATCAATTTTTATTAGATTGAGTGCACTGTAGTGTGAAATACTTTTTTAAAATGCTTTTATGTTCACAAACTGTTTCTTTAGCAAATTGGGCTTCACCGTGATGTTTTTTTTTTTTTTTACATACATTACGATACTTGGTAAGTAATGCTTCTAACTTTCGAACAACACTTCTTTCTTCGGACACTGGAATTTGAGCTTTACCTAAAATTTCAAAAATCTTCTCTTTGACAAGTTTTATGACACTTTTTGTGCTTAAATGATCTTGTGGTGTAAAAATTACATTATCAAAACATCCCTTGTAGTTGAGATGGGATTGCAGCCATTAATGACATGTACAAAAAATAGTGCCAATTTTCTAGGGCTGTGAGGCAGTAATAAATGAATTACATTTAAGGGAATATTTTTCTCAGGGAATTTATACATAAAAAGTGAAATTAAAGTGTTTGAATTTCATTAATGTTCGGTTATCACTATATGTTGTGAACCACCCTAATGTATATTTATGTCTTTCAATTTTTAACTTATACTTTATTTGGAATATTTTTGCATGAAGACTTACGTGTGGCATGGCTAATTAATTTTAAATCAAATATTTTAATGTATATAAATCTGTCATGTTTAATGGCAGTGATTCTTTTTAAAAGATGGTCAGGTTTTGTGTTGAGAGTTATAGAGCTTTAGTGGAAACCTCCTCAAAATACAGTAGATAGAGGTTTACTCTGTGTTTAAATCAGTGAAAAAACCAAAAAAGTGCAAAACCAGTGTGTCTACTTAGACAGAACACTATCTATGGAAAATCACATTAACATGATTTGCAAGGCGATTTTTCTAGAGCTGCGCAGAATTAGTCATATCAGACCTTTCTTAACGTTTAATGCAACAAATAGGCTGATGTCTGCATTCGTGCTTTCACGCATGGACTACTGCAATGCTCTCATGGTGGGTCTTCCAGCTACACTCATGGATAAAATTTAAAAAGTACAGAATAATGCGGCTCGCATTGTCTTTTGCAAACACCATGACCATTCTAAAACACTTCTGAGAGAGTTCCATTGGCTGCCGGTCCGCGGTCGCATAGAGTTGCATGACCAGGCGCCGTACTGTCTCAAAGCCCTCATCACGCCTTATGTACCCACTAGACAACTCTGCTCATCCGATAGTGGCAAACTCTCTATACCACATGTTCACCTTGAGACTTATGGAAGGTGCACGTTCGCATTTGCTGGCCCAACAATTTGGAACACACTTCCTGCTGCTCTCAGAAACAGCCAGACACTGGAGTCTTTCAAAACCGATTTGAAAATATATCTATTTCGCAAACACCTGTGGGGTGATGTTGTCTACCATCTTTTCCAGCTAGCTATTGTCTCCTAGATGTATAGTGGCCTGTGTTGTTTATGGTTGCAAGGTATGAAAGACTTAGAATGGGTATTCTGGTATGTAGTTTTTGTAAAGTTGCGTTTATATTTCAATGTGATAAAATATAGATTTTTTCATTTCTCTTTTAATATGGATGACTTTGTACCACGCTTCGAGCCTTTGGGGATGAAGCGTGATTTAAAAATATAAACATTTTTAAACCAAGACCAACATTTTTTTATTTTTTTTAGGCTCCTGATTACTATGAAATTATAGAAAATCCTATGGATCTCTCCACCATGATGGCAAAGATTGATCTGCACGAATATGGGACTGTTCGTGCATTCATGAATGACATCGATTTCATCTGCTCCAATGCTTTGGAATATAACCCAAATAGAGGTCCTATGGGTTAGTTACATTGTACAATTGCTAGCCCCTAATGTCAAACTTTAAACATTTTATTAAATACCATATTTTATGGACTAAAAGACGCACTTTTTTTTTTGAAAATATGTCTCCAAAATTCAGGTGTGTCTTGTACTCAAAATTAATATAAAAACGGTTTTTAAAAAAAAAAAAATTGTAATTGCTTAAAAGTTACGGTGCGTCTTATAGTCCGTAAAATACGGCAAGGATTGACAAATATTATTGAAAATGTTGCTTTTTAAAGGATTACATCTCATTGATTACTAAGTTATATAGTTTGCTTTGTTTCTAAGGCTAAAATATCTGATGTTTTTTTTTTGTCTTGACATTAGATAGAGTGATCCGCCACAGAGCATGTGCTTTAAAAGATACAGCATATGCCATCATTAAAACAGAGTTGGACAAAGATTTTGAAAAAATGTGTGTTGAAATTGAAGAATCCAGAAAACGAAGAGGTAAGTTTGGTACAATATTTCACCCAAGCTGTGTGCATGCAATAAAAGCAAATACAAAGAAACTTTGCTGTGAAGAAATGTTTTAGGTGTAATTTCAGAATCTTATGATCTTAAAAAATCTCCATAGCTTTAACTTTTTGTTTAGTTAAAACAGAGATTAATTTTGACATGCCATACCCCTTGTTACTGACTTTGTATTAATCTCGGTGTTGTATTTTTACAAATGTTTCTCACAGCTGCCTTTTTTTTCCCCATTTTTTATTAGAGCTGGTACTGATTAAAATTTTAGTATTCAATTAATCAAGAAAATTTTTAATCTCTTAATTTCAATTAATAATTACATATAGCTTTTAGCTGATCTGCTTGCATTGCAACTCTGCATTTGTCTGTGGTAAATGTAGCATACACTATACACAATCACCCAACACTAGTTAATTGCAACTTAATTTCAAACAAATGCGTTGTAGATTCAAACTTTAGTATTGACATGAGTATGTTTGTCAAAAATATTTAATAAAAGACAGTTCAAAAACGTAAAAAGTTAAGTTATTAAACTTAATGGTATACTGACTGACTGTCACTTTATCCTGTAAGCGATTCGTCATCTGAGGACTGGAACTCAGAGTCGCTCAGCAACTGAGTCAGTTTTTGTCTCTTTAGCAAAGGAGCTATTGTCTCATCAGTGCTGGCTTCTTCTAAGCCTGTTGAATGTCCTGCATGCTGTCTTCTGCCATAGAAGGCCCTGAATGCATTTGACAATTCTGTCCACTCTTTCTCTTTTCTTAAGACAGATGAGTTTCTTGTAACATGGATCTAAGGTTACAGCCATTAACAACGTTGGCAGAGCATCAATGCCTTCTATTCTGTTTGTGCAGTCATTCAATGTTGCAGTTTTAAATCGTGCAATGTAACCTGGATCGTCATCGTTAACCCATAACAGTCTATGCAAATGGTCTCTAAAGGAAGAACGACACTTGTCACATATTGCTCACTCCCAATAAATTCCGTAGCATCTGCCACTGAACCTAACACTGCCACAAATTTGGCAATTTTTTCCAGTCTGACTGTCAGTTTAGGTCCACTGTAGCTTTTTGGATGATCGATGTGATACTGCATTATGACATCTTTGTCTTCCAACAATCTGGCCTGCTGCAATTTGTTGAACATGACATTATCTTTCGGCTAACTAACACTGGCATGGCTGCTCTTGAGTTCAGTTCTGTTAGCCCAGCTGTGGTTGAAATGAAGAGTCAGCTGCCTTCAAAACCCGCTTATATGCTTATTTGAAGATAATGTGTGATACATGGTAAAGACTGTAATCCGTTCATCCGATAGCTGGCTACAACCATGTTGCGTGCACTGTCTATTACAAGACAGCATATTTTATCAGCTATGTTCAATGTTGCAGCAAACTCTTCAGCAGTCAGCAACCTAAAGCTATTGATGTCACTCTCCAGTCGGAATCAATCTAGTGTCCCATTATTCCATAGTATGTATGATTCGTTGTTTGAAGTCCAAAAATCAGTAGTGAGAGCAGTAGTCTGAATACTTTCTATAGCTTTCATGTGCTCTTTCAGCTTCTCATCAAACATCTGACCAATCACAGTGTTGATTGTATAGCAACTGGGTAAAGCTAGGACTGGTTTAGAAGAGCTATACGTAGTACAGTCTGTATTCTATCATCTTCCACAATTGCTGTTGGACGTCCTGAACTTAAAATCCCCTGAACAATAGCAACTTTCAAGTCTGCATTAACTTTTTCACTTACAGGCTTGTTTGACTGACATGACAAGAGTGGATTTATTGAATTTACCTGAAAACTGTTCTGCATGACACTGTCGATAGCATGTTGATACTTGAGCAGATGTTTCTGCTGTATCTGAACCACGGAAAGCAAACTGCTTATTGCAGTAAACTTTGTCGTCATCTTATACTTTGTTGTCAGCAGTTAGCTTAAAAACAAAATGATTGCTCAACTTTCCGCTTCAATGCTTAACTGCAACGTTGCGGTGATCATTTGCCATTTTTGTTTACTGTCTAAACGGAAATAGAAATCTACTCAAATCTGCTAAAGATAATACTAAGCTAAATAGTATGCAAGAGAATAAGTAAACAAAAATTTTGGTCCAAAATACTAATAATTATTTGAAAAATTACTGATTAAAGTAAATTTAATCAATTAAAAATTTTAACGAATATTCAATTAATTAATTGTTAAATTTCGCAGCCCTATTTGTTATGTTAAATATGTTACATATCAGACATTGTTATTTTTTAATGTAGTCACATTTACGTAGTGTTCACTGTCCATTACTTGCTATTCATTATTAATAATTTTGATAGAAACACACTACCCCCCTCCACACATAACTATATACATTTCTAATAGCCTACTTTTAACAGTCGGTTAGCAAACTGTAAGGAAGTTGTAGTTATGTTTTAAAGATATCCTCTGCAAGGTTTAGATTGTTCTTATAATTGAAATTGCCATGGCCAAAGAAACTGATGGTACATTTTCCATACAAGATTGAAATGGATGGATATTTTCCATAAATGGTTATTAATATGGTAAGGTAAATTAGTACTTGCATTAACAAATCTGAGCATAAAGTATCTATAATGTGTCATTATTATATTTAGGTGAGAAGTCTACCACAGTGCCTAATTTTTACTTCACTAAACCAAATACAGAGCAGCAGCCCAGCAGGTCTCAAACTGTTACACCTAGCTGCGTGGAAAATCTAAAACAAACGCGTACAATTCCAAAGCCAGAGGGTGAGCGATTTAGCCGTAGGGTTAGAGGACTAAATATTGATCCAGTACCCCCATTAGAAGCTGTTGAGAAAGTTTTCAAAATGTCTAGAGTTACTGCTTCTCCTCACTGTGAAGACAACAAAAATAATTCCAATGAAGACTCTAGCATTCTTTTGATAAATGAGTCTGACAGAAAATTCCTTGAGATTGAAAGCAGAAGCTCAACATCAGGAACTAACATTTCAACAAGAGAGGAGAGACTGGTGAATAATGGTCCCAAGACCACCACAGGAAATAAATTGCAATCACCTGCCTTAAGTGCCAGTAAGAGTAAGAAAAGGAAGCAATGCGTTTGGTGTAAACCAAAACGCAAGCGAATGAGATTCACATCAAAGAATCTAACGAGTAATCAAGTAGCTGATGAAAGACAGGAATATGATATGAATCCTGAAGAGAGTGGAGAGGAAACCCCCCTTAAAGCTACACAAGAGACTGATGTCCATCAACAGCTTAGGATTGAAATTGCTGATCAAGAATGTAAGTGAATATAGGATATTTTCATTAATTTATTTGTGGTCTACTTTGAATATTTAAAAAAATTACTAAAAATATATATATATTGGAATATGTGATTAACAATTTGTGATTTTACTTTAAACAATAAAATACATCCATCTTATTTTTTGTCTTCATTTTAGAATTTGATGCTATCAAATTTGCAAAATTAAATAACTTACTCCTATGTTGGTCGGGTTTCTGAGTCAGTAAGAGATAGGTAAAGCTTGGAGAATCATGGTTGAGCCATAAAAATTAGTCCAAAAATTGTTTAGCACATCCAATGTTTACAGCAGGAATATAGATATTTAACACTTCTGTAAAGAAAAAAATCAAAATCTCTCTGAGATCACTAAACATATGCTCATATCACTAACTGTACTTCCAAATGGATTGTAATGTAGTGTAATGAATTAAATATTCTTTTAATAATTTTTTACCAGCTGAGAGCAAGGAACAGAAAAGTCCTGCCCGATCATCTACTCGGTTAAAGAGTCCAGTCACAAGTTCCACTAGAGTTAGCACTAGAAGAAGTAGCATGAGTCCTTGCAATACAATAAATGTTGACTTTAACACGTCCAGTCAGCCTCAGGACAAAAATATTGAAACTACCAAAGATAATAATAATCAAACCCAGCAGTTGTCATTACCTGTTGACAGAGAAGAAAAATCTGATATTACTATGAATGGTAAATATACTCAACTCTTGAAATCTTTATTTGGGGAAAGAATTTATTTTATGAAATATTTTTAGTGCCTGAAATGAAATCTTTGTTTTGCTATTATAATTAACAAAAGGCAACTAGCTAATAAATATTTAGTAACATTTATTTTTTTTTTAAATCTAATACTTTATCTTACTTTTTTTTTCTCCAATACTTAACACAAACTAAAGTGGCAAAATACAAATTTGAATACATTTTAATTTCAGAAAATCCACTTGGAACAAATTATCAGACGGAGGCAATAAAGCAACCAGTATCCATAAATCTTCATACAACAGAACCAAGTGATAAACCCAGTGTCGTGAAAAGGTTAGACCTGGACTTAGTAGCAATGGACAGTGGTGTTGGGAGTTCAGTTGACAGCAATGGGGATTCTCGGGACAGCACAGATCACAATAGAGAGGTTTGTATAGTTCAAACATTTGAAATTTAACTTTAGGCCTTTATTCGCTGGACAGTCTACTTCATTTAATTATCTCATTTATCATCCCTTACAACACATATCAAATTCATTCCTAAAATCTAAAACACTAATTAATAAAAGGTCTTAAGTATTGAGTTATATTTCAGTGGATAAAATTTTTAACGGCTAGAGAAGGGATAACCACATGGATTTTTATGGATGTACAGGTTAATTCAAAACACTCGAGATTAAACATTAAGTTAATAGATTGAGCACAAATCATTTTCCGTGCCTTATTTCATTGTGCCATTTTCCACTCCTAATGTCTCTTCTGCCTTTCACAAACTCCCTATTTAACTTTTCATGGCCATAAATTCTTTCTTAAGCTACTCCTGCCTAACATAACCCTCTCAACTGCCTAAAAATTTAAAAAGTGAAAAATTAACTTTGAACACACACACACACCCAAAGCTCTTTTCATGTCACTTGAATTTTTTTTTGTTTAAATATTGAATGTAACTCAATGTCTACTACTCACGCCTCAACTTTCTTTTATCAACAGGGTACTAATAGTTTGAAATCGTCTTCAGCCATTTCAACAATAAATGGTATGTGCTTTTGTTAGATACAAGCTTACTTAATAATATGAGTAGAATTAGAACACAATGTTTTATTTTTAATAACTGGTCTATTAATATTCATGATATATAAAATATTGGCTTATTATATTATCGAAGTATCTACATGACCAGGTCACTTGACCGCCGTAACAAAGTTGTGCAAGACATTTGTCCATCAGCCTTGTCATGTGACCACTAATAGTCGATCAGTACAATGTCATAGGTCTAAGTCTAAACACATGAAGAAAGTCACACAAAGTCTGCAGGTAAAGGGTCAGTAAAAGATCCAAGTCTCATGTGGGTTATACACCAGAGTGTTCCCTCTCAAACTTCTCACCATGACACATCCCAGTTTTCAGCATCCCTATAGATCGTAATTAAAAATCTGCCATCTTTCCACAACAAACGTACCCCCTTTAGGCACATTCACGCGAGTCAAAGACAAACTATACATGTCTTTGGGATCATGGCCTCAGGGAGTCACTATTCATAGCCTACCCACTCTCCCTGGATCTTAAGACCTTGACTGTTACGGTCATCCTGAGACACTACTGTTATTCCCCTCCCTAATTCCTGTAAGGACTCTTTCGTTTTCTCAACTACTTCAGGTGCATCGACTTTTCCAGTCTGATGATGACTATTGGGACAAGGTCCTTGAGAAGATAAACTTTAGCTATTTCCAGTACTCAAGCTCATGCTTTCAGATCTTGTCCGAATGACCATGGCAACAGGACCAAACTTAATCTCAAATATCGTCCCCACCAACTCTTATCCAAACATGTTTTCTTTAAAAACCATGCTATTTTCCTTGCCGACCCTGACACCCACAACATTTTCTCAACCCTGCCTCTCAATGTATTCAGAAGAGATAAGAATCCATGAGATGTTCTTGTTCGTAGCCATCTCCATGCTACCCCCTCCCACTTAGAAACCAAGCCATGTAGACACAGCCTTGCAAAACTTGCCCCTTTTTCATCCATACTTAACGCATTCCCTTCCCTAAGGGTAATTTTTCAGATAAGGGACAGTTTTCATTTGCACCAGCAACCATATAATCTACGCCATTGTTTGCTCCCGCTGTGTCAAATAGCTTTTATGGGCGAGACTGGACGGCGTCTCTGTACAGAACACCTTTGAAATATTGCACAAGATAAAGTGTCCTATCTCAAAACACATCAATAGAATCAACAAGGGCTTCAGTGATTTACCTGTACTAACACGCACGCCAGGGTGAACTTAGAGAACAAACTGATATAGACTTATGGGACCTTAAATCTACATGGCATGAATGTCATGTTCTCCTGCACTTATTAATCTTTTTTCCGTTTCCTCCAGTTTACAACCAATCGCTGTGGACTTACTTTTCCTCTTTTACTTCCCCTATTACCTGAATTAACTCTCTTACCTGCTACTGAACTGTTACATTCCTCTTGCTGTCTTCTCAGATACAACATTTCAACTAAGTGTTTATTTTAATTTGTGTTAACTCATTTCTTCGCTGAAGGTTTCTTGCTGACACATTCATTGTTTTGTTAACATCCTTTTTCGGGTTTTCCCATACCTTATTTCACATATTTCCTTCTACCTAACCTGATGGAAGTATCTTCCCCCTTATTATCATTATAACATCCCGTGTCGCTAAAGAAAGTAGTAATAACAAGAATTAATTAATTGAAATCAACATCGTTTTTATTATTTATAGATTTAAATCAGAACTCAAACTCTGAAATGACAAGCAGAGCAAGTGCAATACTGGACAAGCCCATAAAAGAAATGATTATTGATGGAAACCGACTGACATCTTTGTTGAATCGTTTAGTTGCTCGTTCTGATGGCTACAATGTTGATCGTCTTGAGAAAATATATAGTCACCTCAACCAAGTTATATATAGGCATAGACACAACTACAATAGAACTGGCATGATTTTAGTAAGTTCAAAATTTAAACATGGTTACATTTAATGCAGTTGATGTATAAATGGATATTGTTCAATAAATAGTATCTCATTTTCTTTCAAGTAAATAAAAACTGTCAAGAATTTTCTTTCAAAAAGAGAAAACCCTCAAATTTGCATATTTTTAACGTAAACATAATAAGGGGTTAAAAAAACAATGTAAACATAATAAGGGATTGTTATTAATATGAAATAAAGTATTATCAGTTCACATCAATTATGAAAACGATAAAGAAAAAAATTAAATATATGATGGTTTTTAAAAATAAATGTAATTTATTATTTACAAATGGATTAAGGCAGTGGTTCCCAAACTTTTTGTCTTGAGCCCTTTTCAGAATCAATTTCTTTTGTTGTGCCCCTTAGGCCTACCCTATGTCTTAACGGCTTATTGTGTTACAGGAGGAAGATCGTAGCTGCAGAGCATCTGAGAAATTCACGGGATGGGAATCACTGCGTTAAGGGGACTTATATTAGTTTATATTACTACTTTTCTGCGCTGGGAAGAAAAATGTGTATGTACATTGTTGCAAATGGGATTTAAAAACTATGCATAATGTAATATATTTTTTTGCAGGAGCTGGAGAAAAAGGTGGAGGAGCTTACAAAAATTGTCTCACAATCGTCATCAAATGTACATCAGTAATCCATATTTCCAGGAAAATAAAGCAGCAAAACAGTTATTCCATCAGGGTCTGTTCACTTCAGGGATTTTTTTAAAATTAATTCTGTACAGCTCTTGATTCTTCCCATTTGTGTGCCTAATAAGTGTTATTATAAATAATTGGCATTAATAAAATGTTGAGAATAATTTTGATTCTCATGGCAGCAGTAGCATCTTGTCAATAATGCATTCTGGAAAATTTGCTTCTATTTGTAAATTAAAACAGTCACTTGAAGATACTCATTACAATAGTTGTTTTTTGTTGGGGGGTTTTTTGGAACATATTTTGCACCATTTTTGTTTAATAATAACAAAAAATGTTGCATCAAAAATTGAGTTCATTTTTATTTTTGACCATCAGACTTCAGTATTGTAGAACTAACTTAACTTGAAAGTAAAAATTTTATTAGCCCTAAATCTTTTGACAATTTTTACTTATAGTTGCCTAAAAGCACAAAATATCTATGATTACATAATAATAGTTACTACAATTACTTTAAAGTTTAGTTTTCAATTCTTGTAGTTTTTACAGGCAGAAAATTTTGAATGGGTGCGGTACTTCAAAATATTATATAGTGATATATAATATAATCTGTAGTAGAAATTGTCTTATTTATAAAAATTCAAATATTTATTTTTTTTTTTTACAAAGATATTGTGTCCTTTTACTTAAAAAGTATATATTTTTTTTTAAGAGAGGGCAGCATTTTTTTTTTTTTTTTTTCAATTACAGTTTTAATAGTTTGATTTTTTTTATAACTTATCAGTTAAGTGCTTTTTACATGAAGGAATCTTACTTTTTTATATTTCCTCATTGAAAATTAATTTTTTCCTTTTACTTAAAAAGTATATATTTTTTTTTAAGAGAGGGCAGCATTTTTTTTTTTTTTTTTTCAATTACAGTTGTAATAGTTTGATATTTATTATAACTTATCAGTTAAGTGCTTTTTACATGAAGGAATCTTACTATTGTATATTTCCTCATTGAAAATTAATTTTAAAAGTTTTGCAACGTTTATTAAAACATTGGTCAGACAATTGACAATACTGTAAATCATTCTCCATTCCCCTTTTGTCTCCATTTTATTTAATACTCTATAAACACAACTGATATAAAGTTCTAGAAGTCATTGACATATTTTCTAGTATTTTATTATTTATGCCTAGTTTCTACCAATTTTATCATGCTTGAAAAATAAGTTATTTGTAAGCAGGATAACTTGCGATGAATTTGAGTGTTTTACCAACTATATAATATAATGTACAGCATTTTTTTTCTTTAATTATCATGGCTGTATCCATTTATTTTTTTTAAAGAGTGACTGAAAGAATAAAATTAGTGCTCTCCATGCTCTAGAAGTCTGTATACTCACACCATATAATACCACTTGTATATAGTAGATAAAATGAATTTTTAAAATAGATTCCTAATGTATGGTGCTAAATATGTCAGTGGACAGACTATTTTGTATAAACCAATTATTGCATTTCCTTAATGTAACATGATAATATGCTCTAATATCTTAACATGACCTTTAAGATGACCTGTATAATTAACTCAAAAACTTAAATAATTATGAATAAATGACATTTACCATCTGTGACAAAAATAATTCACAGATGAAAGTTGTTTAAGAATGTATGTGATAGTGTCATTGACATAACCCTGTATTTGTGTACGGATGTTGTTGGAAATATTAAGCAGGTGAATCGTTTAAGCATCGATGTGTTTACACCTTTACTCCTTTGGACTTTCTCTTTTTCAGTTAGAAAAGCATGACACTGGCATGGGATACAAACATATTTATTTTTATTATTTTTTTTCTACTTTATGTTGAATTTTTACTATAATTAATAAAGAATATAAACGAAATCCATAGGAAGCGCATATGATGAAATAAGCATCTAAATAGAATAGAAAGCATAAAATAGAAGAAAAAACTATTTATTTTACTTAGGTACCTGTTTATATCAATTGTACAATAAACTTCACATCAAAAGTGTACTTTTAACCCATTGGAGTTGTAAAATTAAAATTTTGCTCAAATTATATTTTCATAATAAATCTTATATGGTAACAGAAATACACACATTTTTACTTTGTCCATCTAATTGTATTTGTAAATTTTAAAATTTTTATAAAATACATTTATTCATTTTTTAATATTTCACTATTATTGCAGTAATATTTCAATTGAATTGCTGCACATTTCAGTGGAATTACAGTAATTTCATTTGTAAGATCTCATTTATTAGTTTTCTTGCATTAAAATAAATAATTATTCTGACTTAATTAAATTTATGTTACAAGGTGAGGAGTGCCATCAGGTTGAAGCTATGGGCACAGGGGGTAAGGGAGACTGAAAAGTCTTTTTTTTTTTTTTTTTCCACCCTGTATGTTAAATTGTTCCTTAACTTTCTTTTGTACCAGTAGTTTAATATAGTTTTGAATAAGCTGTCCCGCTGAATAATAAGGGATATACTATTAACAAAATCACAGTTTCCACCTGGACAAGTTCTTCTATCTCCAAGTATAATAAAGATAATTTTAAGAGATGGTTGTTTTTGTTTTCTTTACATTTTTTACCCTCTTTAAATCTTAGAGGTATTTAAAAAATTTTTTGTTTAATTTTGTTGTTACTACTTGTATTGTTGTTACTATTTCATATATACCAACTACAGTTAAACAAAATCAGGCTTGATGTGATTGTATTGCAATCCTGAATCCACCAGTCAGTTTTCCGAATTGTGCTGTCCCCACTCTGATCCCGTACCTATATGAAAGTCTTTTTTTGACTATGGGATTCTATTAAAGATAAAATAGCATTTTAGAACCAAACAATCATTTTAATTTTAATGACCAACTTTAACCATAAACAATTTAGACTAATTACCTTTTTTTTAATGGGAAAAATTGATAAAATTTGGCATCTAGTGCCAGAGATAAAGTCAATATAACTTCTCTCTAGATTCCCAAGATGAATTATTGATTCAATATTGTTTGACAGCAAAACACAATGNCCCCCCCCCCCATTGCGAGTTTTATTTAGATTGCTATGTACTGTGGCGCCTCCAATAAACAACTTAACAAGCCAACCAAGTTTGGTGTTCCCCCCACCCCCTTCTGAAAAAACCTGAAAGGATGGTACTCAAATTAACAACACAATGCAAAAGAGAGCAAGCCGACTACTGAAAGAAAGAAAGATTAACAGGTATTCAACATCTGGTAGTGGATGTTCCTTTTAATTTTTTTTATTTAAAACCTTTCATAATAATTAATATCACTATAATTTTATTGTTGAAGTTCAGAATAGTAATCTCATGAAACAATCATTTTAAATAACATTTGTGCATTTGGAAGCTTGACATAATTTATAAGATTGAAGGTAGCGCATGAAATCTATGTTTAGAACAGTCAAGGCAACTTGGTATCAGCACTTGGCCTGTCATTAAAATACAAGAAAGACTCTATTAATAATTAATAAACTATTATCATTAGTAATATTTTTGTCAGTTTGAGAAAATCATTCTAAATACGAGTGCTTTTTAAAAAAATTAAAGCTGTCACTTTGGGAGAAGGAACAAAAAAGAGGGGGGGGGGGGATTGGATCGATGCATGAAAGGGAAAACTGATTGGAGCCTCACGACTGCTCTGAATCGAGGAATATGCCATAGCGCAATACCCCCTGCAAGGGACAATATATGTGGCAGTCATCTTTTTTTTAAATGTTTGGTAAGGTTTGTCAAGTAAAACAAGTCCGTGCACTTGTCTTATACATTATACTGAGCCTATATATAATGCCTATATGAACTATATTATTTTTTTATGTTTTAAGCTACGTAAGTAGTAGGCTACGTCACGTAATAATTATTTTTCAAAGCCTGGGTTTTAAAAAAATAGATTTAATCGATCATCGCTTGGTATAAATAAACAATCGGTTCAAAAGCCGATTACTGGAGTTCTTGTTATCTTTTAAAACACTATATCTACTTGAGACTTTGAGATACCACTGATTGCAACTGTAAATAATAGCATTTATTAAAATAATGCGAAAGTATAATAGGAAAAGTAATAAATAGATCGTTCATCGTTGCGCCATCTAATAAATAAAGGGAGACTAGTCAATGTTTATTGATTATTTTTCTCAAGATGACGTCAATCAAATAACAAAATAGTCAAAGAGCTATAATAATGCTAATACTAATATAGCAATTTTGTGCGCCGTCAGAAATTTGTTCAATGTACGCTAACTTATTTTCACTAAAGCGTGTGGAAAATACTACGTGCTTTAAAATGAATATCACGAACATCTGGACTTGGTAAAATCTTGCTACTGCTGAAGTATAAGTGAAATAAGTGAGACTGGTAAGCGATAAGAAGACTCTTACTCTTAGTCTTAGTCTCTACTCTACGTCTGTCTACGACTACTCTAAGTAAGACTAATTTACTATTAATATTATCAAGAGCCATCAATCCTTGTAAAAGTAAAAGCATTTGTAGAGCAAAGCCACAAATTCACAAACAAAAAAACTTAATATATGATTTAATGTCAAATTTTAAAAAATTGAATTTGGGCCTAATAAATCTGGCACTGGCCTTACGTCCAGTGGGAAACTTGTCCACTTATCTGCCAAACTTAATAAGTTTGGGAAGCACTGGTCTAGGCCCCAAAAGGAGCAATATTTGTTTGGGCACTTTTTTAAAAAGTTAACTACTGCTGTTTTTTTGCCATTAATTCCAAAACAAATATGCTTTGCTTGTAAATTTTATCCTAGAGTTAGAGTATATTTTTTTTAAAGAGGCCCCCCATAAAATGAAATTCAATCATAAATCATAAAGTATGAAATGCTTTTTTTTTTTTTTACCTTTTCCATTAATTTGGAGGGGGGACTTTTTTAGGTGCTCAGGTGGGGATTGTCACATTGTCATCGTGGCAAAGAAATTTTGAGACAGACTGGCCTATTACGTCTTATGTGTGTGATGCAATTTTGTAATTAGAAGCTGTACATTTCACTTTTTTAGCATTCTTACAAGCTCTTCTTTCAGCTTGATGATGATGGTATGCATTTTGCACCTCTTCTGTCTATTTATTTCCTTGTTTGACAGCAAAACACAAATGGAAACTGTCTTTGTCATACTCCTATTGATGGATTGCAATATAAATCTTTCTTGTACACATGTGCAGACATGACTGTTCATTCATTCATACATGCTCTGTCAGCTCATTCTATACAGGTCATTTCAAATTTGACCTGGTTCCAGTCTCTTGAAGTCACAGAGCCAGCACTGAGAGGGAAGAACATACTGCACATATTAATTATATTCACAACCCCTATGTTGGCCACGTTGAACTTTAACTTACAATAAAATATTGTTCTCTGCATGGCTTCCAAAAAAAATGGCAAACATTTTTTTTCTCATATCCTGTTCTCCAGATTAAACATATTTTGTTGTTTTTCTTTTACTACAGAGCCAACAGAGTGAGCATTTGGGCAAAACAACCTTCAACATGAGTGCTGGTCCTTTAATAATTGAAATAATCTGTACATGTATTTTGGCTGCATTTTTACTCCATCGATATGGAGATCTGAAGAAGCAGCACATACTGGTCACAGTTTGCTGTTTTATTTCCTGGTACTTCTCACTAATGATCATTTTCATTCTCCCCTTGGATGTTTCATTGGTAAGTCAAAAAAAAGTAATGTGCTTGTTTAATTAACTTAAACTTTGTTTTTATATAAATTCTGACCAGCAGATATAATTCTATGCCAAATAATTCTATTAGGAAAGCTTTTTTTTTTAAAAATCTTCGCTTAAATTAGCTATTGGCAGTTTGTTAATTCCTAGAAGAACATAAATATGGTTATTAATAGCTAATGAAGGAGTTCTTACAAAATGTAATTTTTAAGTTAAAAAATGTATCATGTTTTTCCACAGACATTTTACAGACAATGTGTGTCTGACCGCACACCAAAAATATTGACCTCTACATTATCAACTACTACAACTATCAATGAAACTCATTTAGACAATGGTTCAGCAGTATCACCTATGCCTAATTTCAATGGTATTGGTACAGCATCTTCTTACCAGTTTGTTCCTACTAGCAATAAGAACCCACTGACAAGCTGTGGGCAACCAGCCAGCTATGTTCCTAATCAAGTCTTGCCAATATTATGGAGAATTATTTATTGGACCTCACAAGTTTTAACATGGTACAAATTTAAGTGTTATTTATCATTAAACTTTACATTTAAAGTCACTGTTAGTGTTAAGAATCATGTTTGGTGTTTTTGTGTTGTTGTCAATCACTCTAGGGGTATGATATTTACACTCTTGCACCAATGCACAAAACAGATTAACAAAAATTCCACTTATGATTATTATAAATATTAATTGCAAAAAAAAGTTCACTCTAATGTAACACAGGTTCCACTTACTGGCCTAGCCAAAGAACTACATAAGGTATACTAAAGGGATCACTGGCTACACTGCTTTCTCTTTCACTCTATGTGTCGTGCTGTGCCCACTCTACTAACACTTGTCCCCTTTGTTCACACAAGTTCCTAAGCATTTCAGCCACTTCCTTCTTTAAGTTTTAAGCTTTTCTCTCTCTGTTCTTTCACATAAATTATTACTCACTCTGATAATTCATAAACTAGTTTTCCTTGTGTGCTCTAGGTTAATCATGCCAATGATGCAGTCCTATGCCAAGACAGGAGACTTCACTGTTCTTGGTAAAATTAAATCAGCCTTGATAGAGAATGCTATCTTCTATGGAACTTACCTTCTCATTTTTGGTATCTGTCTTATCTATGTGGCAGCTCATGTTAATATTGATGGGTGAGTTTGATTGACTTTGAAATTAAATCACTATTGACAATAATGTGTCTTTAAATAGTATTTTTACTTGAAGAAACTTATTAAATTAATCAGAAATACTCAATAAGTAGACCTTATAAAACTAATGTACAATTTTGTTTAGGGCAGAAATATGAATTTCACTAAGTAAATATTTATACAAAATAAACCCAATATTTAATAAGTTGTTTTTTTTATTATTGGCAACAAAAAAAAGTCTTATCTTATTGTAATTTCAGAGAAAAGCTGAAGGTGATTGGTGTCACTGCCAGTAACACTTGGGGTTTATTTGTTTTGGTACTTATGCTTGGCTATGGATTAGTTGATGTTCCAAGGTCTTTATGGAACAAATCAAAAAAAGGCTACATGCTGTCCAACACTTACTTTAAAATTGCTAAACTCAGCACTGAAAAAACAGAGGCAGAGGAGGCTTTAGAAGATGTCTTAGAGGTTAGGTCTTGGATTAAATTTTGCCTGGCAATATTTTTGAATAAATAATTAATATTTTAATTATTCTCACAATATCTTATGGGGAAAAAAAACTATCCACTTTTGTATGTTATATTTTAATATGTCAGTCTTTATATTTTTATTTTTTTCTTGTTATAACAGGAGACTAAAAGGACAGCAGAAAAAATCCGTTACAATCACCCACTGAGAAAACATATGGACACAGTTCTAACAAAGGTATATTTTAAAATCAAGATTTGTATCTATTAAGCCAGTGGTTGGCAAAGCATGTCTCATCTTTGAAGGAATAGGTGCAGCTCTTGTTTTTACATATCTTTAATATTATTTGAACCATCCACCCCTGCCTGGGGCTACCAAAAAAAATATTTTCTAGGGAATGTCATTTATAAACTGACTCCTCGCTCAAAAAATAATGCCCACCTGTGCACTAATCTAATTTCTACTAAAGGCTATTAGTACTATTTAGGTTTTACATAGCTCACAAGTCAAGTGTGACATTATTGGTAAATAAATGAAAAGTCACATACAGCTATTGAGGAAATTTAAAGTATGTGATGTGTATTATTTTAAAACACATTTTCATTTTTAAAAGGGTTGAGACTTTATTTTTAGCATGTAATTTTTTTATGGTTAATTACAACTGTATACTGTTTGGAATCATAAAACCTAAGAATCTTACTTGCACACTAGTTATTGCCATCTGCTTAAAATGTATGTATATAAAATCATACATTTTATTGTCATATTTGTAATCTACTTCCAAACCACCAGTGCCCAGAAAGTACCAGACTATCTGTGAGGGGTAAAAATGATGACTTTGAAGACTTTAACCAGCCTGCAGATTTACTCAGTGAAGGTGCATTGGTAAAGCTACACAAAAAAGTCATTAGGTACATTGGTATTTATCAAGAGCTCTTTGTTGAAATTTAGGCTATTCTAATTCAAAGTACACTAATTGATTCATTTAAAAACTATTCAAACTTTTATAATAAGCTCAAATGATACTATTTTTTCAAAAGTACTTTTTTTTTTTCTTTCTTTCTAATTTGTTCAGTATACAATTGAATTATATGCAGGTAAATTTATGAGACAGTTTGTTATTAGGTTATATATTGGATGAGTCAATCATGGGATTGAAATGTATGTAACAGGCGAAGTCAGATCCATAGGCGCACCAGCATTCAATGGGCCAATTTAATGAGTACTGCCCTGGAATGGGAAGACATTGATGCAAACATGCAGAACATTGAAAAGAGATACAGACATTCAGACCCTACAAGAGGAACATTTTACTTTCCATGGATGAGAAAACTCTACACTCCAACTTTTGGTAATGCCTGACCTATTGGATTGGATTTAGTGCCATATTGTTATTTCCAGCATTTAAAAAAATTCGAAAAAAAAATTAATCATTCTTCTTTCATTGTCCTGTCTTTCTATTCAAGCTTCCACATACCTTGTTCTACTATTTCCTTCCCATAGCTTGACCGCAGTCCTTCATTTATCATCCTTTAAATTATTAAGCACTTTTTATAAACATACTTGGAAATAGTTCACTTAAGAATATCCATTAGTCATATCCAATGCTTTTTACAGAATGGTACTGGAAATGCATGTTTAGACCATATGTTTTCATGGTGAGCGCTGGCATATTGACCATTGTATCATTTATGGTGGTTTGGTCGGAGTGTTTATTCTTCATCAAAGACCCAGTGCTGTCACTGTTTGCTGTCTTCATCAATCTGGCAAGGGAGAATTATGACTATGTATACATTGAGGTAGGATGATAGCACTGCAAGTAGTACAGAATTTTTAAATACCGGTATTCAATTGATTCATTCATGATTCCAGGAACTTAAAGCTGTGCTTAAACTTTATAAGACACATTTGTTTTCTTTATACGCTTAAATTTTATGTTTTTATTTAATGATATGATTAGCAATTTATATGACATTGATTGTTTGGAATTTATATCTTTAAAAAAATATTTTAAAAACATATTCTTAAAGATTGATGATTGCTTGAAACAGCAATTAACAGCCGTTCATTTTGATATTTCTGCTTTTGTGCTGGTTATTTCACATTTGCATATGTTTCTATCACCCTTCCTACAATTTACAGCTCTGTTTTGATATTGTTATCATCAAATTTCAGATCTGTCTTTTCAATTCAAAATTAAATATTTATCCTTTGTATTCCAGCTGGCCTCAGTGCTGACAATAGCATATCTGTGCTTCTGTGCTTACTTTAGTGTATTTAAAATAAGGATCCTCAACCTGTACTACATTGCTCCACACCATCAAACCAATGAGCACAGTTTAATCTTTATTGGCATGTTAGTAAATAAGTATTTAGTTATAAAAGCTCAATAATGTTATTAGTAAATTTTGAAGACTTATACAAAAACATTTTTTGTTTCCATTATAGCCCTGTGAAAAGATCAGAAAATAAATGTTGATCTTATGGGTGAAATGAGTTAGGCACTGCAGTCTTATGGGATGGTTTATATTTTTTTAGATTTTTTTAAGAGTTTCATTATTTACCATTGAGAGATTGAGATTAATCCATTATCTGCAGGATGCTTTGTCGCCTGACTCCACCAATGTGTTTGAACTTCCTTGGTCTAATTCACCTGGATAGTCACATTATACAAGATAAAAAGATAGAAGAGACATCATACACTAAGGTAGGGGGCAACACCACTATTTTTTGTACCGGTACTTTTAGTATGTAGTTTGTAATATTACCTAGGAAGGGCCTATTGTTTACTCTTCACAAGTACAGGTATTACAGAATTTTTTTTTTATATCATGTAGATCATTTTAATTTAGGATGCTGGCATTGCATAGTTCAGTAGTATTAATTGATAGGCTGGTGTAATCATCTCTAGTTCAGTAGTATTAATTGATAGGCTGGTGTAATCATCTCTAGTTCAGTAGTATTAATTGATAGGCTGGTGTAATCATCTCTAGTTCAGTAGTATTAATTGATAGGCTGGTGTAATCATCTCTAGTTCAGTAGTATTAATTGATAGGCTGGAGTAATCATCTCTAGTTCAGTAGTATTAATTGATAGGCTGGTGTAATCATCTCTAGGGGTGTGCCGGATCCGTTTTTTCCAACCGGATCCGGATCCGGATTTTCTTATGCGAAATCCGCCGGATCCGGATTCCGGTTTCTCCCGGATTCCGGATTTTGGTACTATTGGTAGATACTTCGGTAAATCAAGGTGGACTACTACTTTTTGTGTATGGGAATTCGCAATCGGCGCCAAAAAATCCGAGTTTTTAATTTTCCGATGTGTGTGTCTATTTATTATTAAATTAGTACTTTCGATATATATTTGAGTTCCGTTCCATTTGGATAAGTGTCTTACGAGAGACGCCATGTTTCTACGCGTTCGCAGCAGGTTATGCAGCTCGCTCAACCTAATTTCGCCATGGGGTTGGCCACGCCCCCCTTTTTAATGGCGGAAGTTGACGATACTTAGGAAATATTAATTTATTATCACTATTTACATCAAAATAATTGATAACTTGTGTTTCAGAATGCATTTAAAGACATTTAAACTGGAATGTTTTAATTTGAGCTTTAACAACCCGGTAGAATCCATATTATAAATGATCAGAATTTACCGTGTGCAACACGTTGTCATTGGCAACCATTCACAGCCACTTGCATAACTGTATCGTAGTACTACCTCAGAGTTTCATTCATAAGAGTTTGCCGTGTGCAAAAACTATTAAACCATTGGTCAGGGAAAGCTTTAATTAATTATTCATGTGCCAAAGTTGAAAGTTTAAACTAAGTCTAAACAGTATTTTAGTGATAAGGCAGGGAATGCGTTGCCTTATATAAACTATATAGTCATTGCGCATGACGGGATTGGCGGAATGAGATCACAGAATGTGGAGATGCAGTCCATGTTAAAAAATGACAAACCAAGTCGTACTTTAAAAATTCATAACTTTAAAACTACAACAGCTAAAAATATGATTTTGGTGTTATAATTCTTTAAAAAATTACATCTTTTCAACTATGCCATTGGTTTATTTTTACAAAAAGTTTAAATTTTCTTATCAAAGTCCCTACACTATTGGCCACTATTAGCGGTGCTGACTCTAGCCTCTGGTATGTACGGAATATTAAACATTAAACAAGCTCAACGCTCGAAACAATCGATTAATGTATCGTGATCGTGTGGAATTCGGGAAAGAGAATTACTTTTATTTCAGATTATGATCCGGTGAGTCACAAAATCTGGCAAATTCCGAAATCCGGTATATTCCGGATTCCGGAATCCGGTTGTTCCGGATACATGTAAATCCGGCGGAACCGGATTTCACCGGATAGTGCAAAATCCGGCGGAACCGGATTCCGGACCGGGGTCCGGCACACCCCTAATCATCTCTACATATGGGTTTCAACATCTTTTTTATTCTCAGATTATGGGCCACATGGACGTCATCTCAATAATTTCCAATGGCTTCAACATTTATTTTCCCATTCTGATTGTTCTTCTGTGCATCTGCACTTACTTCAGTCTTGGAAGTCGAGTCCTCAGCGCTCTGGGATTTCAGCAGTTTATTGGGGATGATGACATGACACAGGAACTTATTGATGAAGGCAAAGAGCTTGTTGCAAGAGGCATGTTTCCTTGCTTCTTCAGAATTTAATATAAATAGATGTACCTGTAATAATATTTAAAAATCCTTGTGTGGGCTTTTTTTTGCCATCCCATTTTAAAACAGTTGTTGACTCACTCGTGGGGTGGGGGGCTTTTTGTGTTAAATTTAAATGAGAGATTTAGAATTTGAACCCTGTTGTTTGATCATTAATCTGTAGGCATGGGTACTGTTAAACATTTGCGACCATTCACATGGTGGTTTAATGTTTTAAAATAACTTTTTACAGTTGTAATTGCTTTTATTATCACTGCACTCCAAGCAACACATTCCCTTTTTAATTAAATTGTGGTTGTCACCCAAGTGCATGATTGCATATCCGAGCAGAACATTCTTCCTTTTTACAGTATATATCTTCTTCCACTATTTATTTAGCGTACTCATAAAAAGAAGACGGAAGGATGCCATATATTCTTTAAAATACTCTATGAAATAGTGATATGACAATTCCCAATAGAGATAACCGAGTTAATTTTCTATGCTGAAGTTAAAATTATTATTACCGGGTACTTATGTATGTAAATATTCAGATATTTTTTAGTCATTTGATGTAGCCTTTTAGTAAAACAATCACTCATTTGACTTGTTTTCAATGAATAGTGAAAACAGATAGTAAATAATAAAACATTAAGGCTTGAAAATAAAAGACAAGACGATTGTTTCAATGAAGCTTCACTCCAGTTCTTGACACTATTTGTCTTGAATTTATTGCTGTTCAACCATCTTACAGTCAACCAGCTATGGTACTCTGGTACTTGAAGTCAGAAATGCACCAGTTATTCAATAAGAATCATTTAATTAGTATCTTTTAAAAATCATACATATTTTCATAATTATTTTAAATTTCTATAGAAAAGAGAAAAATAGAAAGGAAAAATGATGCTGAGGCTAGGAGAAAAACCTGGACAGAAAGATTTGGAGATGGTCCATCCAACAAGGAAGTTCCAATGTCCTCTGAGAGGAGAGGTGAGTGTACACAATACTGGTATTTCTTTTCTTTTAGTTCTCTTAAAATATTTTAAATACAATTTTAATAAAATAATGGGAAGAAAATATTACATGTGCGATTTATTAACAGCAGAGCGATACACTGTACCAAGAAGTCCAGATGAAGATGATAGGTCAGAACTGTTGCGGTCTATTGAGCCTGTCGATTACCGGGAGGATCTGGAGGACGGTTTATTTGCCGGAGCACAAAGCTACGGAGGAGGAGTCAACCGTACTGAAAATGGTGGATATCAATCGAGACTTTCCAGACCTGCCAGCAGTAGACCTTCTGGTAGAGCACCCAAGGGAATCTTTGATGATGTCTGATCAAATAACAAGGGGCATCTTCTTTGTTGGTTGTAGAGAAAAGGTTACATGTAATTAGTAGATGTGGGAATGCAGGTTACGTGTAATTAGTAGATGTGTGAATGCACTTTTTTTACATGAGTTTTTAGGGTAGCAGTTCCGACGGTAGAGTATTTCATATGAGGGGTAAAATAGTCATCTTTTTAGACAATTTAAATAATTTAGTTGATAGGCCACAGTGATTGTATGTGTTGTAAATTTGTGTGTAAATCTTGCACAGGCCATGCACATGTTAATCACTTTCATTTCATGTCTTGTTCTTTGGTACCGGTAATGCAAAACACTGTTCAAGCTTTGGGAAAGATTCTCTCAGTGTTAATGAAATACGATATGTAATATTAAAATCCTCCCATTTTTAAACAAAATTTGGTCTAATGTCATTATTTTTAAAAAGTTATAGAAAAATGGTAACAAATGACAAAAACAACCTAATATTGTTTAAAATTATTTCCAAAATAAATCCTATCCAGTGTACTTAATATTTGCTATTGAATGCAATAAATTCACATTGATCATATTACATAATATTCCTGTAAGTCATCTAATTCATCTAAGACAATAACTCCCATAGTGGGTCATGTTACTACAACTGGGACCAAGGTTTCCATACTGACCACAGTTGGCCATGTAAATATAACTCCTTTTAAAACATTTATGGGAGGTCGCTTTAGGAGGATGATGGGTCTGTTGTCAAGAGTGGGCCCCTGGGCGATTTTTCTTATTTTTTATTCTTAATTGATCAAGTTGGTGTAGCCTTTTCATATCCAAAGGCAGTTGGCCTGCAAAAGTTTGTAAAACATAATTTAAAGCATAAAAGAATAATTATTGCTATTTATTTGGCTGCTGGTATTAATTTGCTAGCTGTAGCAATAATTTATGGCTGGTTCTAAGATATGAAATTATGCCTCAAGTCCACTGTAAACTAAGCAACTGTGATAACAGGGACTGGACAAGGAAGTCTACAACACTTGGGCAAAAATGCTTCAGCTAACACAATTTGGTCAGTTTAAAATTGTGCAAATAATATTGTAGGGATGATATTGCTTGCAATATGTTTGATGTGCTTTTACAATTTGTATATCATGAATATTTACTTTATAATTAAATGATTCTGGCATTTCAATAACTTTTACCTTTTCTGCAAATTGAACTGGAATATCTTTATTGCAGCATAGGGTTTTTGTGTCATGTTATATATTTACATTGTCAACTAGTTATACCAATACCAGGTACTAATATTTAAACATATAGTGATTATATTTATCTGCATCAGTTGTGTTTTTACATTCATATTATTTGTCTTATATGTTTAATACCTAAAAATGGGAACATTTTTGTTGATGTTTAAATGGGTTTTATTATACTTATTTTGGGCGAAGTAGATGGCAAAAGCTAAATATATATGGCTGCATTTACCAGCTTTGACATTATGTAGGAGTCTTGTAGGACTTTTTAACTATTGGCTATAAATGTAATACATTATTTGTATAAGTAAAAGACGCAGATCATGTTTCTGTTTTCCAATATCATATAAGCTAGCTGATATTTTAAAAGTTTAGTTAATTCAAATTTCAGAATGATATTTATAATCATTACAATATTAAGAAGTCATCTTAAAAAATGGATTTTTTTTCTTTGATATAATATAATAAAATCTATTCTGAAAGGCAATATTTTTTAATATTATACTAGACACAGTTTGGTTGTCATTGTTAGCCAGAAAACATTTTTCAGTTAGTTAATTTTAAATTATAGTTTATTAAAGTTTCTTAGGTATTTTGTAGATGAAATCATTTCTATAATTATAATTCATTCCAATTTCAGATGTTTATGTTTCTTATTCCTTGTTTTCAAATAATAACTAATAGGTTAAACATTCCACAGTAAGTATACCATAGTTTCCTTCTTCTTCTCTTGTGTCTCATGTCATGATGCCATATTGCTACTATAATTTCATACTTTCGTACAAACACTCTCCTACTATTGACAAATTTCCGAGTTTGGCTAGCCAACTTATAGTAATAGGACGTCTGAAAATATTTATTGTTTTTTTTAAATATTCTGTAAATAAGAATTTTACTGTACATTTGTTTATTTAGTAATTTATTCTAATTACAATGGGGTAGTTCTAAATAAAGATCTCTTTATTCACAGATCTGGGTTAATATATAATTATAGCTGTATTCATATGTCATGCTTAATAACGCTCTGTAAAATAAAGGTAAGAGCTAGGCTGAAAGAGTTTTTTTTTTCCTCTGTTAATTTTTTTTGCATGAAAGCCACTAAGTTTAAAACATGTGCCTGTACATTCAGCCCACCAAGTTAAAGACTCAGGTTTTTCAATTGTTTCTTATGACATAACTTAAAATGTATAATGGGCTTTTAGCTTAAGGTGACCTTTTCTTCTGTTTTTAAAAGTACTGGTTTTTGTTCATTGGTCCTAATTAGTCATGTGTTGTGAGTACTTGGGTACATCTTATAGGCACTGTATAATAAAGTCATAAATAAAGAACATAACTTAACATTTATATTTTTTATCCAAAATTGCATCACAATACTGATAATATTTTTTTCAAAAGAACACCTCACAGACAAGATTTTTCTGTGTAACAAAAAAAGTTACTTATTTTTTTTTGGATACCTGTGGGGCCAAAACTATCTTTAATGTTCTAGTTTTAAATTTGAAATTAAAAAATGGTCACCTTGGCCTAGTTCATATACTTCATTTCATGAGCAATGCTGTTTTTGTCAAATATTGCAATAAGTCAACCTAGAAATGGGTTGTTTATTAGTACATCCAGACATTTGTGGAAAGCAAGAACAGAAGCAAAACGTATAGAAGCATATGCACTAAGTATTTTATAATTTCTGAAATTTTTTATTTTGAGGTTTTTATAAAAAATTCACTGCCAGGATAAGTTTCCATTTTGTATGTATCAAATGGAATTTACATCCAATAGAAATAGTTACCGTACAATAAGTTAGTGAACTAGTTTAAAATGCAATTTTTATAATAGGCCCAGAAAGTTTAATGATATCCATTTCAATTTGGCATTACTGATCTGAGCTGCTTTTTTTAAAATATAATTTAAAATTCTGATATTGTAAAGCCATATTACACTGACAGTTCCTTTATAACAAAATTGGGCACAGGAACATACTGCTACTAGGACAAGTTAGGGATCTGGTCAAAGCTGAAACTGTAGAACAGCAAATACATTACCGGTATCACTCCTTCAGAAATATATAAAGTTTTACTTTAAAATGATAAAAAGAAATACTATGCTAATAACTAAATGATATATATTGTTTGTTTGAATGTATCACAACTTTAGAATATTTTCAAACATGTTTTTTTTTAAAGATCATTGTCTTTGATTATAGAATCATTTGCTTTTAAGACACTTCAGGGTGTCTTTTCTTACTTTTCAAAGTTTAATAACTGTAAAAGTGTATATTCTTCATCAATGTATTGATCAGAATTATACCATTTTATACCATGAACAGGGAATTTGGTATTATTAGTATTATATTCAAGATATTTAAAAAATGTGTACGTACATTTTATTTAATATGATAAATGTGCAGTTGACGCATGATGCCGTACCCCATGCCCCATTAAAAATTGTGTTAAAAAAGATGAGGCCTCCTCTATGTTACATCTCCAATCTGTTTTCCTGTTTTCTTCTCAAATACAAATAAATTTTATGTTTAGTGTAAAAAGAAATGCTGGCACTCTAGTTTTCCAATGTGTTTCATATCACTCTAACTTTAGGATATGAGATCACTTGTTAATTATTTTTTTAGAAATTTTGTCACAAACTCTAAATTTAATAGAAAGTTTACTATGTTTCATTTGGATCTAAGAAAAAATGTATGAATGTATTCTCAATTTTTATCCACATCTACCACCCATATAAAAGAATTTTTTTTATTATAAAGCATTTTAATTATTATAACTTTTTGCTAATCCCTTAAATTAAATCAAGTTTCAACCATGGCTGCAAGATGGTAGTTGATAAATCAGTATGAATTTTCTGCGTAGAAGAATGAGTCATAAAAGTTTCCCTGAAATAGGTTTAACTTTAACTAAATTATGGAATGTCATTCTTCAGATGAGTATTTTATTTTCATTCTAACTACAATCCATTTCTAATTTGAGCGTATGCACGGGTCAGGAATTTATATATGTAACCAGAGTCAATAAAACACTTCCCTTGCTGAGTGCTTCATCTTCAGTTGGCCTTCTGTATATTTAAGGGTACCGGTAGTTTCAGAATTTTTTTTTAAAGAGGCAATCTTAAATTCCGATTTTTATTCACAAAATATCTTTATTCCAAGACACTCACTTTGTGTAAATTTAAAACCCTGTGAAATATTATTTTTTAAATTTTGAATCTCTCTCTCTCTCTCTCCCCCAATCCTTCACAGTATGAGAATGAATCCAAAACTCATATCTTGTAGATGTGAACTATTACTATTATTTTATTTTTTATTGACAATTTATGAAAAAATAATCTTAAATAGATTAATAAAATGTTGTAAATTCATTCATTTAATTTATAAAAGAAAATAATTGTGCACAAGTTATAAGTTTCTTAGTAGTAACTAGGCTCTTATTCTTCAGTTATTTATCTTAAATGTATTTTTGTCTTTCACTAAACTGAAATTTTCTAATCTGAACCTTTTAAAAATGACAACATATATTCAATACTTTTCGATGTCATTTTCTGCAGCAATGGCTCCCATGAACTTCTTTTGTAAGACATGAGTAGGCCTAAGGGGCTCCCCCATAGCAATTGATTCTCAAAAGGGCTCCATGACTCAAAAAAGTTGAGAACTACTATAATACAATTTATTTTATTTGCCACATACATTTTAGCAACAGGACATTTCAACCTTATGTGACCATTTTCATTTGCATTTTAAGTGATAAAGTTATTGTCTTCTTGATAGTAAGTGCAGCATTCAAAAGGTAGTAGAATTCTGTGTTTGTACCTTATTCTTGTACATAATAGTGCAATATATTAGCCTTCTCCTGAACTCATCAAGCTAAAAATACCCACACTTAAACTCAATGTCTATAATCAATATTTTTTAGTAGGTTAAAAAGAAAAGCATGATTTTTCAAGGAAAATCTCTTAACTCTTTTTTTTTTTAATAAATTGTTAAGTCTAATTTTAAAAATGTGATATTATCATTTTATTTCTGAAACATGCTGCTAAGGTTAAGCCAGATATTAATACTTAAACTTTAATTCCCTGCCCTAAAGATAAATTCCTAGGTTTTAATCAGAAAAATTAAATCATTACTCCCTTGTCCTTACCTTTTTAAAGAAATTTACTAATATGGCAATGATGTGTAATATAAAGACTTTATCTGCACTCTTTCCATTAAATGTTCCTTCCTGTAGAAACTTTAGTCTTTTGGCACTATTTAGCTTTACTGAAACATCTCTATCAATATCTTCCATTTTCCCAATTTCCTGACTTCTATTTAATTAATCTGTATGTAGTTAAATTATTAAATGTAAAAGATGTTGTGAACATTTACTTGATATACCGGTATACATTATAAAATCTATAACTGGGCTGACTCCATTTAGTAATCTGCTGAATTATGTTGTCTGAGTTTGAATGAATTATTAATTATATTAGTTAATATTAATATTATAATTTTTTTACTTTTTTAATAATTATATTTGATTTGTAATCTTTTATGGTATCCAAATTCTCTTATTCATTCATGATATTTGCTTTTTTTTATGTCTCAACAAAAATGAAGTTAAAACCAGAGCAGTGAAGATAATTTATACTGGTTTTGGATATCCCATGCATTAGCAAAATTAAACTAGCATTATTACAACTATATTTTGACTTCATTTGATTAATTGACATGTTTTAATTTATATATTTTTATGAGAGCTTCATTACAAAAAAATATGGAATGAAAAATCATTTCAGCTCTGCTTATGTATTTCATTAAAAAAATTTAACTCTTCAAACTTTATGGTTATGTAAATTTTTTGTAAGTGGAACTAAATGTTTTAATAGGTAGTGCCTATAAATTGTGTCAAAAACAAAAATAAAATTATTATGGCTCCATTTAAAAATTAAATTGTAGGAAAAACACAAATTTATTACAATTTTTACCTTTTTAGCTAAATTTAAATTTGTAACACTTAAAATTCATGACTAGATACTAGCGTGTGCTACATTTTTATGCTACATTTTGTTCGCATCCATCTCCAGCAACCATCCAGTACACTGACATTTCATTTTGCAGAATTAATTAAAGAATTATTGTTAAGAAATTAATATCACTGAATTACTGTCAGCATATTTGTAGTCAGTTTTTTTCCAGCGTTTATTTTACAATTATCTTTTCATGGATAAGTCAAATGTCGCAATTATGTTATATAAATTATAATGGCCATAGTAGCTGATTCATCAATATCGTCGGCGGGATTTACTCTCACGGTAGTTAACGTGGCACACAAGAACCTTTGAGAGCAGTCAGGTAAGAGCAGACACGTCTGAATGGGTTTTCATTAGCAACGCCGTCCTCGCGCGGGCCCGCGTCATGATGCGTCCAACTTCTGACTGATTCACTAATGATGTGTAAGTTGTGTCTAGGTCAGTGGCGTTGCTAGGCTAGGGTTAGTGCCGCCCGGGTCGGGCTGAGACTTTTGCCGCCCCTTTTGCACGGAAAAAACCCCCTCTGCAATGGGTCGAAAATGACACCCCTCCATTTAAAGAAGGTACCGCCCCTTCCGCATTCCCCTTCCTACGCCACTGGTCTCGGTGAATTACCGATGGAGCACACACACACATAACTGAAGCACGCGCCATATTAATAGACATGTTACCCCTACGTTTTCGCCGTAGTAACTATGTTTTACGTTTTTAAGCTTAAGGCTACGGCACTAAGACGAGCCTTAAAAAAATTACGTTTTTTTTGCGTTTGTTTGGTTTAATTTTAATTTAAAAATAAATAATTGTTTGTTTTTTTTTCAGTAAAAATGTACCACATTTTTTGAATTAACACTGTAAGCAATCGAATAGGGATAACAGTGATTGCCAATATCATTGGCATTTGCGGTCTTAATCTCAGTAAACCAACCAGAATGTTATGTTTTAGAGAATTGCATTGTTAATACCTAAATCGAAAGACTATAACCTGTATATTTATTTGTGATAACGTACATTGGCATTTGAGTGGATTTCCTTTACACAACTTGTATTTTGATTGCAAACCACCACCACCCAATTGACCAAACTATTCATTGGAGCTTGAAACTACGTTTTTTGAAAGGTGAAAACTACGCTGACACTAACCTAGGGGTAAACAGATCTCAACTTAATTAATAAGAGAACAGCTAATGCCATAGCAGTCACTCCAATCCAATCAACATTAGATTAGGGGGTCATTCGCAAATTACATCACGCTAAAAATGACCTTTTTAGATCCCCCTATGCAAGCGGGGTGGAAAATGGCCACAACAGTTTGTGTCATTTTTCGATATGCGCAGAAAGTATGCACGACTGAGGTTACGGTATCTATCATCTATAATAACAGAGGCGATTTCGACCTCAAATTAATGTTGTTGTTTTTTTAATTAATCTAATATATTTTTCAAAATTAGAAAATTTTAAAAATCGTGATGTCACAAATTTTTACCACCCCCCTCCTGTTACAAAGTGTCACAAATTCTCGACACCCCCCCTCCTCCCCTAAGCGTGACGTAATTTGCGAAAGATCCCTTACTGTAACAGTTGTTTGTGGGGTTCACCTCAAAAACCAAATTCAGAGATGACAGAAGGCACAAATACTGCAGCACACATTGTATCGCGTATAAAGTAAACCGCATCACCCCTTACTTAAAGATCTCTACTGGCTTTCTGCGAGTAAGCGTATTGACCACAAAAGTCTGTCCCTGACATACAGCTGTATAGTAGGCTCTGCACCTGAATATCTTTAAAAAAACGATTTCTTAACATGTATCCTTACAGAACCTGCACTCTTTAACACAGTCCTTTCTGAGGGTTCCCAGTGTGGATGGACACAGAAATAAATTATATGGAGTGCGCTCTTTTGTGCTATTGCGCCTTAAATTATTAAACAGTTTGCCTCAGTTCTCAATCTTTGAGGGAAATTGAAAATGATAAAAAGTCATTTAAGAAACATTTAGAGACATTATTCTTTACATAGATTTTAGGACATGAGAGCGATTTGGGCATGCTAAAATATCATGGATACAAGCGCTATAAAAGTGTTCAAGCATCATCATCATTAACCTTTAGGCCTTCATATGCCAAACATTCTCCTAGGACCACCAGGAACCAGCAGGCAATTCCCATGGGCCGAAATGCGTTTCTTCCACCCAACACAATCACAGGAACAGATATATCAAAAAATATTTCTCAACATCCTTCTCCCTTGACAAACAACATTGAATTACTGGAATATCAATAAAATATATATTTTAAAAATTAAAATAGGCAGTGAATAGGACGATCGCCAACAGATCTGACCAGGACCAACTACAACAGTATCTCAATCTGTTAGCTGAGTGGGAGATGAGCTGGGACATGGAATTTCCCCCTGCCAAGTGCCAGACACTATCAATCTCTAGAAGTAGTACTCCTCTACACTACCAATACGAACTGCATGGCCATATGCTTGAGCAGGTTTCCTCCGTAAAGTACCTGGGTGTTACCATTCAAAGAGAGGTCCGCTGGGACGAGCATATTAAGAATATATGTAACCAAGCAAACAAGACCCTAGGGTTCTTAAGGCGAAATCTAAAGATTGGCAACTCATGTGTGAAAGAAAGAGCATATAAAGCCTTTCTCCGTCCGATTTTAGATTATGCATCTTCAGTCTGGGACCCATTTACCCAGAAGAGCATTGACAGGTTGGAGGCGGTCCAGCGACGAGCAGCACGCTTTGTCCTAAGCCGCTACAGGAATACCTCTACTGTTGGCAGCATGTTAGAAACACTAGGCTGGTCACCATTGGAGAAACGACGACGACAATCCAGGCTCTCCATGATGTACAAGATAAATAATGGGCTGGTCCACTGTTCCCGTATTAAACAGAAACTCGTCCCTCTCCCCCATAGACAGCGACGAGGCCATGACAGGCAATTCAGGCTCATACCAGCAAGAAGCCAGTATAGGAGCTGCTCATTCCTGCCCAAGACAATCAGGGACTGGAACAATCTTTCAAAAGGAATGGCTCATACCAGCAAGAAGCCAGTATAGGAGCTGCTCATTCCTGCCCAAGACAATCAGGGACTGGAACAATCTTTCAAAAGGAATGGTTGAGGCGACAACACTAGACACATTTGTGTCTATTGCCTCAAGCCTTCAAACCCCTAGTGCATGATTTCCTCATCAACACCAGTAACAGAAACATTGCAAATCCCATCTACATGCATAGGAGCCAAAATGATCAATAAATTTATCGTGGGCCCTTAACATATAGAAGAAGAAGAAGACAAATTGTAAACAAAAATAAACTTCGGTTTCGGTAATTATTCGGAATATATTTGCTTTTAATTTTTTGAAAGACAATTCTATTGCAATTTCTTGCGTAAATAGAGTTTAAAATTGTTGCTTCATTTCTGCCCTAATTAAAAAATTATTATAACTTAATATTTGGGAGAAAATATCGGTTTTATCTCTGTAAAAAGTGTTCGTGTGCCATTTTGTTTCGATACATATCACAATGGATTTTATAGTTGTTTTTGTTTTTTAATAAAATTTTAAATATCGAAACGATAATGGTATCGATGTCAATGGGAATATATTTCATTTACCCTCACTTTCTGTCTAAAACTAAAATCAAAGCGATTTACATTATGAATTCAACATTAAAATTAGTAATAAAATAATTGTTTTAAAAGCCTAGATAAACTCAAATTATAAAATATCCAAACAATGAAACAAGTGTTAAGGAAAAACAATATCATTGTTCATTTCAAATAAATAATCGAATATTATTTCTTGGGTAAACCTCATGTATTTTTCGTGCATGGCGATTTTAGAAGTTTGTTTAAAGAAATGGAATTAACCTTGTGAAGCAGGTCTATTTCAAACCAGGTATTAATCTTAAAGTAATAGAATCATATTGAACACAAATATCACATCTTACTTTGTTTCTTATGTACATCAAGAAGTTTTTTATTCACGAACTATGTGACTGGTGTGCAGTGTAATGTCATGTAAAGTAAAGCTTTAGTAAAGAGTAAAGACTACTACACTACTATACTACTAAGTAAAAGTTACAATTTCAGGTAGTGTAGACTGTAGAGTAGTAGACTAAAAGTAAAGTGTAGAGTAGGGTGACCAAATCATGAACTGGAAAAAACGGGACATACCCAAGGGGGGGGGGGTGGATAAAGAGGGATTTAGGGGACTCTGCTGGAAACTGTTTATTGAAATATGCTCATTCTAACTATCTTGAGACCTAGGCCTAGAAATCTTTTAAAATTACTTTCACGGTAAATTATTAGAGATCGTCCAGCGATGGCCGCCATCTTGGTTGACACAACCAGTTAATCCTGTCACTAATGTATCCCTAAATCGATCCCTATGCCTAACCTAAACCCTAAATCGATCCCTAGCCCTATGCCTAACCTAACCTGAACCCTAAATCGATCCCTCAACCTAACCTAAACCACTAAACCCTAATTCACTGTAACTGTCACTATAATAAACGCACAAATGACATCACTGGATGATCTCTAAGAATTAGCCACTTTCACTTTTGTTATTTAATATTAATATAAACCCTGAAGCATATCATAAACGAAAACAATAATTTTGCAGTGAATACTTATTTATTTATAAATATTTTACAACATAACACTAATACAACTACAACACAACAAATTAAATTTCTCTAGTCTAGGACTAGGATTTAAATTGAGGATATTAATATTATATTAGTATTAGGCTGTTGTCCCGGCCATTGTTTTAAAAACTCCTTCTTATCTACTATGTGAAAATGTGTTTGGTTTTAGAAACGGGTACAATTGTGAAAAAACTGGACTTTTGATCACCCTAGTGGAGAGTCACCTGTTTAACTGTCACTGTAGAGTGTAGAAGTAGTCACATACTATCATTTACTATGACTTAATTATAACTATAACTATATATTGGTAATTAGTATATATACTAGGGATAACAATACTTGTTCACGCACCGTTCTGCGCATGTCCTAAAATGTCGATAAAATGTGTTCTACAATATGGCGTACGGCTACACGGTATCTTTGGAAAATTGCATACTACGTAGCCTTTGTTTATTAAATAATGCTTTCCTCATCAGTGACGTATCAGTTTTTGTGTTCCGGTGATATATTGATTTATTCCACTAGATTTTTTGTGTATCCCGGACAGTATTATTATAATGACTCGGTTAGTATATAAATCGTATAAAATACTTTTTTACTAGTTAAGCAACCAAAATATGGTTTAGTTATACCCAATCTACATTCATTTTAAGAGTTTTTTCATTATTTGAGTTATTATCTTGACTTTGTCTATAAAAAGTTATGCATCCCACGAAGGAGTGGGGGTACAAAATTGTCATTTTTTTTATTTTGATCAAGAGGCCGGAAATGGCTGCTATCACTGTGATTCGTTAATGTTAAATCCTTAAACAGCTAAATAATGATAAGACGTTTAAAATGAATAATTTTAAGAAAAGATTATAACCAAAGTTTAATTATGTAGTAACCAAGGGTTGGTTTTAAGTTTTATTTATTACGTTAAAAATTGTGTACGGTACCGGTAGACAGTTTATCGTTCTTCATAATTATTGAATCAATATTTAAATTTAATAGTGTTATAATAGTAATGTCAATAATAATAATCGTTTTTCTCTTAATAATTATTTCAGAGAATATTACTAAAATTAGGCCGATATATCAGTTATAATTATAAACAACTGTTATTATAATCCTGCCTAAGCTTAATTTTTCATAATCATAATTCTATTACTAGTACTACGACAATCAACAACCACACTTACTAATAATATATTTTTTAGTTAAGCCTATATATAACAGTTTTATTAAAATACATCAAATTAATAAACAAGAATCAAACAACATCATCGTTGTAATTATATTTTTATTAGAACATAGAAAAGCAGTACATAGACAATTATTTAATATATCAAATAACATTTTTTAATAAATTAGTCTCATCATCATAGATGATTTTGAGTAATTTTTATTTATAATTACATGCGTTCCAATTTATATATATAAAAAAAGACTACTTACCTTTTTATAAATATAATAATTGATTTAAAATGTAAAACAAGCATAATAAAATTAGTTAAAATTCAATAAACATGTTATTTTTTCGTTTTTTCCTGTATAAATGATGATTTTCCCAATTTTTCTGTTCACTTTTTTCTGAACATACCCACAAATAAATAATTTAAAAAAATAAAAGTCTTGATGTTATGTAAAAGTTTTGTTGTTTATTGGGTTGTATATTGCATTGAGAATGTCTCCTGAAAATTTGGTAGCATTATCTTTTAAAATCCAAAAGTTTTGGGCAAAATAAGGCAGATATTTGGAAAGTGGGTCACACGTTTTTTCAGTTAAATACTAAGATAAAGAAGGGGGTCTTAAAAAATCACCAAAAAAATCATAACTCCACTTCTATAAAAGATAGAAAGATGAAATTGGTGTTGTTGTAAAGCTTATAGCTACCCCTTTAAAATGATGTATCATTCATGTCGATCGGACAATATTTAAATTTTGTGTCAAAGTACCTATATATACAGTAGTATGCATAATACATTATTTACCTGTTAGGACTACTGAGGCTGAGTGTTACTAATTACTACATTAGTAGTGTTGTAAAATTAGTTAGACCCTAGAATAAGACCTAGACTTCTTCTAGTTCTAGCCGCCTTGAGTATTAGTAGTACAAGTACATTTAGTTTTAGTTGACTTGAGGATCAATCAAGTACTTAAATGGAAAGACTTGACTGCCAATCCTTGGACTTGGTTCATCATATTGATATTAAATTTATTCATCATAACATTTATTCAAGAGTTTGCCTTGCCATTATTGGCATGGCATATGATTTCAATTTCATATAGGGAGTGGGTGTTTCCTCCGCTTCCATTTCCATTTTATTTTTGCATATATATATATATATATATATATATATATATATATATATATATATATATTTTTTGTCTTATTCTTTTTTTTTTTTTCATATAGAGAGTGTGTGTTTCCTCCGCTTACATTTACATTTTATTTTTGTATATATATATATATATATATATATATATATATATATATATATATATATTTTATGTCGTAGTCTATTATTTTATTGTCATGTTCAAGAGTTCTCTGATCCAATTCATCCAGTTTGAATTAGGTTAGATCCAGTCCTGAACTTCAGAAAACCCAGACCAGACACCATTTTTGAGCAACACATTAACTATAATTAACTCTGTGCCCTTTCTGTTTACTGAAGAGTTTTCCAGTCCCAGAGTGTCAGAAACAGCAGCCTAATCACTTTTTAATGTGATTTATTACTCGAGGCAATATGTGACTTTGTCAGCTTTGCCAAATCTGAGGTCATGTGCCGGGCAACGAAAGCAAAAATAACAAGTCATAAAAAAAGCCTCTATTATAATGTAGATCGGTGTTTGTTTTGGCTTTTATTTTTTCCCTTTGAAAACCTGAAGTAACAAGTTACTAGCATTGAATCTGTAGTACAAATGAGGCAAATGTTTCAGTCTCACTTTTTGCAACTAATTCGTGGAAACAATGGCACTTCTGCAAGATAAGACTCAGCCAAAAATGTATAATAGATTTAAATACTGTCCCATTGCCATAAATGATACACCATTATAAGGGGCTAACTATAAACTTTATGAAAAACATCAATTTTATCTTTCTAGCTTTTATAGAAGTGGAGTTATGACTCTTTTTTTTAGTGAAGCTTTTAAACCCTCTTATTTATATTGATACTAGCTAATATACCCCGCATTTCTCAGGATTGCATTAGGAAAAAACAAACTTCTACAGCTTTTCAATTAATATTGAAATTAAGCGTCAGGTTAAAAAAACAAAAAAAAAGAACGCTAAAGTAAAAACATAAAATAATTAATTTGTCTCCTATAAAAACACATATATAAAAATTTTTGTAAAACTTTCGTTCTCCGATGGGATCCTGATCCTGTTGGGCTCCCAATCGGATCCCGTTTCCTGATGGCATCCCGTTTCCCAGAGATTGTGATGGGATCATGATCCCGGTGGTATTCCGTGGGTCACCTGATCAAGTCGGTATCCCAATACATGTGGGATCCAGTTTCCCGATAGGATACCAATTAGATCCCATTACCCAATGAGTCGTTCTCCATTAGGATTCATTTCCTCGTTGGGATTTGAATATGTATTGAATTATTTAAACAGAGACTTTGTTCACTGTCCACATTAAAAAACTAGTCACTGGCCTGAGTTTGTAAAATAATCCAAATATTATTAAAGGTAATTTAAAAGATATTTTTGTACTTATGTTCCAGAGAAAAGTAATTTAAAGGTTAAAGTCCAGTAGGACACCATCTTTACTTCCAAAATGGCTACATCATTGGCAGCACAGTTAAAAAAACTTGCAGTGCCTGAAACTCAGTATCTTCTTAGTGGAGATCTTAGACAGGCCTCCTTTCTCTATGATGACAGAGAGGCTGCTAAATTTGAAAAGCAGCATTTCTACAATATTGGTAGGTGGTTAACTTGAGCATGTAAATAGTTACTTTCTTTATGTCAGTCCTCATGGTCTGTAATTATAATATATTCTGAATAAGTACATGAGGATGAGTAATTTATGATATGTAAACATCTATATTGGTCTGTGTTAAATGACTTTTTGCATGGGATTTTAAAGTGCGTTGTCTTTCTTTCAGGTATAAATGGCCTTCAGCAGTTGATTGAAAAAGATGAAGGATTCTTGGAGTATGAGCAAAATTTGTTTAGTCCATCTTCTCAGTCCTTGCAGCGCTATGTACAAACATCAGATATCAACAAACAGCTAGATATAACAATCACAAGATTTCTCCTCCAGCTATCACCTTACATGCAGTTGAGAGAAGCACATAAAGCTATGGAATGGATGGTTCACAGGTCCTTTTTCATTACTCAAAGCCTTCTGATATTTTCACCTATGTTAAATTAATTTAATGTAATTGCTTTTTGTATTTACTTAGTGGTGATTGTTGGATATATACATTTAAAACATCAATATTATATTATTTAATTTAAGCTTATAAATGTTCAATATTTTTTTAGGTATAATGTTCACTTGCGGAATGTAGATGCATTAATGATGTGTGTGCTCCCTTATCATGACCAAGAACCTTTTATTATGGCTCTGCGTCTGCTAAAACTGAACAGCAATGAGTGCATAAAATGGAAGTGGCTAGAGGCAGTGAAGGTTTGAATGTTTGTTAAAATTATTTCTAGTGTCAATTTTTGTTATCAAAATATTTTGTATGCTAAAATAGTAACACTTGTTTCTCATTTCTAAAGAGCTATTGTTAATCTATTTCTATCTGATTAAACATTTACAGAAAGGTGGGAGCTTTCTACCCAGACAAACACTTGTGGCACATTGCAGAACTGCAAAAGGCTTTCTTGGGTTCATGTGTGACTTGCTGACAAAGCACATCGAGGTGAATAGTGAATTTGTAGTGTCAATTTTATTTTAAGATATTAATGCCTGGTTGGGAGAAAGCCCAAGAAATTGTTCCATTTATTGAAGAAAGCAGTCAGTGAAGACGGTTTCCCCTCAGTCCACTTTTTTTTTTTTATACTATCTAAGCATATAAATTTTAATGTACAATGATGGGAATGTGTTTGTCCTTACTAAATTCTCAAATTAGTAATTTAGCAGTAGCTAATCATTACATGCTGTTATATTTTAAAATATTTCACATATATAGATTTCTGATTAAGTTTATTGTAAACGTTTGATGTACTGTTAAAATACACTGTCATGTTGAGTCCACATTCACCTTTTTTTTTCCTTTTATTTAAAAAAAAATATATTTCATCACTAAAAGGGAATATATTAAAAAAATTTCACACCTCAAATTTAATTGGAGAAGTAAATATACATATGATGCTAGAAATTTCATACATTGTTAGAAAAATCTCTCCCCCTCATTTTAAGAGGTGATTTTAGTTGACTGATAAAATAAATAAGTTCAGTCATCAACTTAATTTACCTATTAATTGTCTTGCATATTCTACATTTTAGGCTAACACAGGTGACTCTGGAGTGCCATCAGCTCGACATTTGCATCGGGTTATCTCCTTCTTCACACAGACAGTTCTTGCCACTTTGATGACAGGTCCTCCAACAGAAGCCACCATTTCCACATTAATACCTGCAATCACCTTTGGCCTTCAGTCGCATGACCTCGCTGATCACATGGTCTCCTCATATATGATCCTTAGTCAGCTTTTGATGCAGACAAGTCTTGCTGACAAACTATTAGTGTCACTGGTTAATGTTATAGCAAAGGTATTTAAAATCTAAAAACAGTTTAATTTTTTCAGGAGGTGGTCTTCTCAAAGAGACAAAAATATATAAAATCTCATGGCAAGAGAGTTTTATATAAAAGTTCATTTAATTATTCAAAGTTTAAGTAAATTAATTATCTTAATTTGATTCTTGTATCTTATCGATTTTTCCTTTTAATATCCACAGAATGCACAAACAGCCCTTTTTAACAGTGCTGTTTCTGTGCTAATCATTATTTACCAAAAGCAAAATATTTCTAAAGTACCTAAAAAGTAAGTGTGTATGACATATGAATTTTAAAAAATCTCAGTTGTTAAGTAAGCCATGTCATATGTTTTGTAGAAATAATCTGTTTGATTACTTTCATATAAAATTCCAGTCATTGTTGTTTATATTATTAGTTTTTATCACAAATTTTCACAAACATAAAGTTAAATATTATTTTCTCATGCTCACTGTTAGTTTTTTCCAGCTCGCATACCCAAAGATGTTTTTTTTTTTAAACCAACTGCCTTATATTTTACATTTTTTCAGAAAAGCACTATGGAAATCCACATTTAAATTGTATTCATGAATTAAATAAATAAGTTTAAAATGTACTAGTTAGTCTTCTTTTAATTAAAAAGTTTTCTTTTTTAATGAGCAATTTAAACATATTTCTATTTTTTACAACTTTCATTCCAGAGCTTTCAAGTATTTGATCAGAAAGCCATCTTTATGCCAGATTCTCAAACAGATAAGCATAGATACCAATGCTGAGCCCTTCATCACCCCTTTTGTGACAATTCTAACAAAAAGGGTATTGAATGCTGAAGGTAGTTCAGAGAATAGTGAGTGTAACACTGAGGACAATGACAGCACCACACCACCATCACTAATTTCAATGTTGGTTGAAATGTTGACTCTGATTCCTATGGAAAAAAAGACAATAGCTGTCACTGCCAGGTTAATTTTCTTCTTTAAAAGTCCAGCTTTTTATCTTGTGTCATCAATTGTTACAAGCTATCATCAATACCTGATTTCATTTACTCAAGCGAGCATTTCATAATTTCCTAATAGCCATGCATGATTACAACTCTAAATGCATAATGCTGAATTAGAAATGTTATAGAATTAACTTTGTAAAAGAATTTAACTCTTGTATGGTTTTTCAAACAGGATAGTCATTGATTGGTTCGCTCAGCATGAAGCTGACAATTCAATGGAAGTTGATAACTACAATGTTCAGGGTGATGGCCCATTTAGGATATTCAGACTTTTGGAAAACAGGTTGGTTAATTACATCTACACCAAATATGTTTTAATTTTTCTAGAACCATACAAAATAGTTAATATGCTCTAAAGAATAAATCTTTATATGATATATTTTTTATCTTTATATATGTCAGATTTTCCAATATTCTGGATACTGTTATTCAAGAATTGATCAATACCACCCCTGAGATTAAAGGAGTTGTTACAACACTTTATGAAAAGTCAGTGGCATCAGCTCATCAGGAATTAATCACTGATCCCATGTCATGCTTAGTCATGTGCTTGCATCATCGTAATAGAGCTTTGAGAAAAAATGCTGTGGAAAGACTGCTTGGGGACTTGAACTTGGTGAGGCTCTAAATATGTCTCTTTTTAACACCATCAACTTGTCTTTATTACAATACAAGCTAGCAGTATTTGCATTTAAATCAAAATAAAATTAGCAAGGACCTGTTTTTTGGTTATTTATTTACTTCCATCATACAGAAGTCATGGATGCTCATGATATAAAAATAAATTCTTTTGAAACATTTCAGATGGATGATAAAACAAGTGTGCAATCTGCACTTGCCATGCGATTACAGGATGAAGATCCTTCTGTTGTTGCTGCTGTCCTGAACAATCCATCTGTAAGTGGTAATTGTCATTATTTTATGTATTTAAAAATGTTTAACATCATATCATCATAAAACTTCAGTAACTTGTTAATAACTGTACTTTTTATTTTTCAGAAACTCTGGACATTGTTTGATGACAAGATTGTTCTGTTCAAAACATTGTTAAAGAAACTGCATGCCATTAGTCAAAAAAGAGGGGGGTAAGTAGCATTATAATTTCTTAGTAAAATGGTTTCATTAAGTGGTTTATTGTGTACATTATCTTAACAATCATTGATCAATAGATTTATGAATCTTATAAGTAATACACATGAGTAGATAACAACTTGTATCATATATGGAATTCTTATATCAGATTTGAGACAAGCCTTTAAAGAATTAGCTATACAATTACCTATTTTGCCATTATTGCCATTCTCAAAGTTATATTAGACTAATCTCTTTAACCAAATGTTTTTAATATATTACTGACCTTCTTTATTTTAGCAATTCAGCTTTAATTAGAGACCAAGTTTTGAAGACCCTGTGCTGTGTTCCAGAAAATGTGAACAATGAGATGGAGATCATTGTGGTAATTCTCTCTTATCTTGTAGCCTTGGATGTCAGAGAACTTAATCTTGTCAAAGAAATGCTGGCATCTCCTATAATGACTTGGAATAAAGTGTTAATTCAAATCAAGTTATGTAAGTAAATTTTTGAACATCTAAAATGTATTTAACAAAAGTTTATTTGTTTATTAGCTAATAAAAACAAACTTAAAATGTACCTTTTTTATAGTTATTCCTTTTTTATACACATATATATATATAAATTAAATAGGAGATACATTGATGCAATTATAGCCATTTTATCCCTTTAAATTTTATTTACAGACCTGTTTACCCTCAAACTCTTAAAATCGTACAATATCATCACATAATCGTTCAATATATTCTCTTGATAGAAAAAAAATGTGCAGTATATGTAATGTATACACCTTAAAATCTTACATTGTACACCAAAATCATAAGAGTAAACAGTTCTGTATTTATCTTAAAAATAATTTATTAGACACTTAACACCAAATTTAATTTAATGCTTCTTAAGTCTTTACGTCCCCAGGAATTACAAAAAAGATGATAGAGACTTAGTAATATTACATTTATCAGATTTATATTTGATTATATCAAAAGTTTTATTTTTGTGTTCTGTTAGATTTTTTTTAAAATTTTGTGTTTTGTTACATTTTTTTGAGGCGCTGAGGTTTGCTCAATCGAATTAATGTTTTAAATTTTATATAAAGATGCTGTACAAAGGAATAATATTAATATCCTTTAGTGGTGCTGTATAATTTTGAATTTTTTGCATCCAATCATGTCAAACACAGACAGATCAAGACATTCAAAAATGTGTAATCTGATTTTTATCATTTATTTACTGTTTTTATGGAAAAACAAATGTGATATTTAAAGAGTTCAAATCCTGTAACTCAGTGGTTTAACATCAAAACTATTAAGAATTTTTTTAATTTCTTGAAGTTGCTTACATTCTAACTACAAAATGTGTTTTAAGTTGTGTTGTTTTTTTCATTCTGAAGCTTGGCAACCTTTGATTGATCTGCAAGAGACAAATACGGATGTGTTAGCTGTTTTGTTCATGAAGCTCATTGATATAATCTCAACTTTTCTTATGGCAAACCTTCAAGAAGCACCAAGTTTTGTATGTATATTCTATACTGGATGTTACCATAAAATTGTATTTCACGTTGGTTGTGTGTGTTTTCAAGTATTCTTATAGGAGCTCATCAGAAAACTATTTTATACAGAAATAAAAATACATTTATTTTAAACAATATTTAAATTATTATTTTTATTTAAATCTTCCTTGTAGCTTACTACTTTGTTCAGTTGCATCACTATTAGCCCCAGACAAGGCTCAGCAGCACTGCTAGTCATTTATCTCCATGAGTCCTTAATAAAAAGAGTGAAAAGGGTAGAGGTCAAAGCCATTCTTCAAAGACAACTTGCTTTTGTAGTCTCTGACTTGGTTGAGAAAGTGAGTATCTAATTTATTTTTGAAAATAGCATTTTTACCCAGACAAATTTTAAGCCTTTCTTTATGCCTACTTCTTAAAAATAGCTGGTACTCAGTTGCCATTTTTATCATTTTTCCTGCTTTCAATTTGAGTATATTTTCTGAAAAGTGGAGTAAAATCTGATGGATAATGGTTTTCCTAATTATAGATTTCATCTCAAATTAATTTAGCATTTTTATTTTAGTGTGAATTAAAAGAAAAAGATATATATATATTTCTTTGTTTTAGGGGCTATTTCACTTCAAATCAGAATCAATTGGGAAGACAGATGGTGAAAAGGAAAACCAGATTATGGATTGTTTGTGTCAGTTAGCAAGTAAAAGAAACCTGCCCTTATTGCTTTTGACTAAATTGCCTAATATGCTAGACCTTGCTGCTGTGCCGAATACTTTGAAAGGTAGCGAATTGTCTTTTTAAGCATTCTGATGACTCATGTTTTTTCCACTGTTTTTTCCACAGCTCATCCAACTTCTTTTAATATTCATTTTAAATCATAACCCTTTGACAAAGGGTAAGGTAGATTAAGCATTGCTGTCCAACAGCTGTAAAGAAACTGAATATTATTATGTTTAGATGTCCACTGAAAGAGATTTACTTTAAAAGATTTTACAGACCGATTGCATCACCAAAAATAAGGTTGATGCTGTCCAGTACAATGAAATCAACAATTTAAATCTGTGCAGAACAATGAAATCAACAATCTGAAACTGTGCAGAGCAGTGAAATAAAAAATCTAAAAATGACAACATAATTATTAAAAACACGCCAAGTCTATCATAGTTCATTTTGAACTGCAGATAGCATTAGAACTAGAACGAGTATGGTGGACTAGCTTGTTGATTTATGGTTTCTTTTACCAAATCAAAAAAACCTGAATCAGGAAGTCTCTAGCTCCTAAATATATTCCTTCAAATACTCTACAGCAGTAGAAAGCTTAAACTTCATTAATGTGGTTAGCATCAAAAGAGTAAATGCGAAGGCATATGGAGACCTTTTAAAGGGAATAGTTTAAATTTTGCCATTAGCCTTGAAGCAATAGCAGGCAGTGAAATGTGAAAGTGACTGCTCACCTAATGTGTCACACCATTCTTCAAGTGGAACACAAGATAATCACGGAGAACAAAATTTAACATTTGTAGGTTTGGCCTTAAACAAAAAGATACATTGATCTTAGGCTTTTTATACTTTTTAGAACTCCTGAGCTATGATTCTACTTGTATAGTTAGTTTATTATAGTTGATACATTTATTTTCATATGCCTTTTTTAGAGTTGACCTTCTGGGAACTAACTGATGCTGATACCCTGGAAGCTAACTGGTTGAAAACAGTCACAATACTTACAAATCTCTACTTTGGATTGTCTGTAAAAAAAAGTGGCATTATAAATGAGCTGGCAAAAACAAGTTTTATCAGAGTCTTTCAGGTAATTCATTCAAATTCTTTAAGTGTTTTGGAAACAAGCATTTCTTTTCTTTTGGATATCAACTAAAATCTATTGGTTTTTGCTCATAGACTTCATTTTGAATTAAATCTGAAGTTATACAGATTAACTCTAAAAATCGCCCCGGAGGGGGGGGGGGGATGTGTGTGTCCCTCTCTCATTAGGTACCTTTACAATCTGGCTGGTTGTTCAATGAAGAACAATAATACCAGATTTTATATTTTCTTTCTTTTGGATATCAAATAAAATCTATTGGTTTTTGCTCATAGACTTCATTTTGAATTAAATCTGAAGTTATACAGATTAACCCTAAAAATCGCCCCGGAGGGGGGGGGGGGATGTGTGTGTCCCTCTCTCATTAGGTACCTTTACAATCTGGCTGGTTGTTCAATGAAGAACAATAATACCAGATTTTATATCATGGGATTCAGAATTGAATGATCTATTATTTGTTACCAGTTATTAAATATCATTTAATTATGTTTTGATTTATGGCCTAAAGATTCATACCACAAACAGGGAGAATAAAAAAAATATGTATTGAGACCTAAGTTAAAATCTTTATTGTAATCATCAATGATAACCATTTTTACAACACATAAAAATTTCAAGTAATTTTACCAACCTTTGTATGAATTATGACACTTTTAAAAATGCATTCATAAATTATTTTTTTAAGTGAATTTTTAAATAATTTTATTTTATTTAAAACAAAATTAAAGAAAACATTAAAACATAATGATAATCCAGAATAAATTATAGCCAGAAAAGTCATTGCCTCTTCTTAGCGGATCCAATGTAAACAAAGGAAATTTCAAATAACTTTGCTTGTGAACAAAAACTATTGATAAAATATACACTTGATGAACTGGAATAAGAGATAATATAAGTAATGTTAAATACTTGTTTTCAATTTTCATGAAGCCCACTGTTCACAGAATATCAAAATAAAAATAGTTTTTTTTCTCACCATTTCCACAAAATTTTGGATGAAAATCGGGTCATGAATGAAACCAAAACACGATGCACAGACTAAATTTTGTTTTATGAAATATCTAAATTTACGCTGAAAATTGATTTTCCTAACTAATTTATCCATGAAAAATTTCATGTTAAAAATAACTTTGGTATACATAAAAAAAATATTTTTTTTAAAATGAATGTACTTTGAGAGCGTGTGCATGGCATTTTTATATTGACATAAAATATTCAGCATTTATTTTTATCTATTGTAATAAATCTTTCCATGCATTTTTAAAAACTCTCAGCTGTTCTAAATTTTGTGTAAAAATATGTAAAATGGAATAACGAAAATGCCTTTTCAGGTTTTTGAGAAGATCAAATACAAGATTAGATTTCTATGCATGATTTGGATGGCCAGCAATGACCAACATATAAGCAGCCTTCAGAAAGCCCGTGTTTTACTGTTTTCTAAAGTGCACATAAGCTCGCTGTCTTCACAGGATAAAGCTGAGATTGTAGCTGAACCCACGCCAAGTAAGAGCATTTTCATTATTAAAAAAATGGAATGATAGAATTTAATGTACCAAAATCTTTGAACTAAAGTCGTCGTTTTTTTTTTGTCTTCACAGTAATGCCTTGCCTGCTTGTCCTGCTATCAAGCCCATTTGAGCAAGTCAGAGAAATAGCTTTTTCCATTATGGTATCACTGACTAAAGAAACTGATGTGAAAGATTGCAATTTTTCTTGGTTTTGTGAAAGCCTCCTCCACTATAAACAGGAAATCTCAAAAGATAATGCATTTTTAGCTCAGGTAAAAAAATGTGTTGTCTTGTTATTTGCTTTTACCATGCTAGTTGCAGTATTATTCATTATTTTACAATTGATTGTCATATTGTTTATATTACAATATTTATTTATGTCATTCTTATCCTGGCACAATTATTACTATCTGTATTTTAATTTACAAGCATGCGACACATTATGTTGCAAGAAAAGAAAGTGTTGTTGAATAATGTTGCTCCAGTAAACAAATAAACTGTTTTTTTTAAGAATTTGGGAAGTTTAATTTCTTTTTTTACTTTGTGAAATAAAAGGCAATGAAATGCTGAGCCCAAAAGTTACTTTTTTGTCACCCTGAATAAAGTTTAAATGGCCATTTCATAAACTCCTCTCATATTTCTATGGAATTTATACTAATTATACCCATTTCATTCTGATAGGTTGTGAAGAATATTTTAGAAGGAGAAGATGCTGACTCAGAGCCTCCATCAAAGAAGCGTAAGCGCATCAGTAGTGCTCAACATCAGTCACATTGTTTAAACTATTTACTTAACCTAATGACTGAAGAAATCACCCCATGGGCTACAACTTTAGGTCTACTGGCTGTTTTGCACAGACTGGATTCCGCTGTAAGTATTCATAGATATTACTAAATATTTCCTACATAAAAATTTCTTTTTTTAGATTTGGTGCAGGAATCCTGTACTGGGCTTTTATAGTTAACCATTGTGATTTTATTATACATTCCATTGGACTGAATCATTCATTAGATAAGCATTAAAAAAAATATGTAAAATAATTGTTTCTGCTAGTAATGTTAAATGTATTGTCTAAATTAATTCTTTGTAATACATTAAAAATAGGAAAGCTTCAAGCCCCTGATGAAACTCCTCAAGAAACTCATTGAATCACCAGCTTCAGATAGCAATCTGGCAGGGCTCAAAGGGGATCAGATGGAAATTGTGAAAATGATTCTTAAAAGATTTACACCGAACACAGCTCTGTGTGTCTTGGAAAAGTCTGAGAGTCTTGATGTGTTATTATTAGCCTTGAAGTGTTCTTTGAGGCTCAAAGATTCAAATGAAACTGTTCAAATGGTGGCATTGGAGCAGGTAATAATTTTCTCACTTATACATACTTTATAAACTATTCTTATGCATGACAATAAAAAAAATCATGTCTGCGATTCTTTTAATCTGAGTGACAATGTTAGCTGTAAACTATATCTAGCAATAATCCCACTGTGTTACAAAGCTAAGCTTCCAACGTCAATTTTAGTAATCTTATCAGAAAATCCTTGTTTACTCAACTTTTCCTTGGTTCATATGCAGTTACATGATGAGTTTCTGTCAACACAAAAATGTGAATATTCATTGTAAACTTTTACACACTAAGATTGATTATAAATTTATAGGGAGTATACAAGATTTTTGGACACTAGACGGGGCATTATTTATACCATGAAGTGTTGTACACCATAGAAAATCATGTCTAATTTATCTGCAACTTTACACTACATTTACTAGGCATTTGTATGACAAATCAAAGGAAGTTTATTTCTAGAATAAAAGGAAAGAATATTTAATATTTTTATATATATAAAACATATAAATTATATTTTATTTTTTGGACAGCTGAGCAGCAAACTAATGTCAGCACTTCATTATTCTTCACGTCAAGCTGTGTTTACACAAGTGCTGAATATTTTGAGCACCACCACTAACGTGGATGTTGGAAAACTTTCTCGTAGGGTTATTAAACATGTGAGAGCATTTGCTAATTCAATATTAATTTATTTTATTTTTTTGTAACGAATAACAAAGTCTCAAATCACACATGGCCAGATTCTAACCATTACAAATCATAAAATTCTTAGATCCAAAATATATATTCTTATCGAGAACTTTAATGATAATTGTTACTCTTTGTTTGTTTAGATTAATGTGAAATGGATTTTTTTTTTAATAAGCCATTCCAATTAATTAATATAGAAATTTAGTTTTATAGATTATTTAAATCAGATGACTTGTATTTTTACTGTATAAAATAATTTTGAAAGTAGCTGTATATGATTAATTTATAAATGTTTACAGATGAAACTGGAATCCAGCCTTATTATAGAGGAGCTAAAATCTGTTCTTGTCAAACCAGCAGCTGCAACAATTCGAGAGGCTAAAAGACATAAATTGTAAGGGGGAAAAAATGATGTTCCTTCATATTAAAACATGCTTGAAAGAGTGGTAATTTTCATATAATAAGTTTCTTGCATCTAGCTCTGTAATATGTTCTTTAATAATCATATCAGACATAGTAACCTGGTCTCACAGGAAGTATTTTTGTAATTTGCAACTCCTTTTTCAACATATCACTCAACATAATTCCAGGCAAACAGCTGAGGAATCAGAACTAGATACGTTGCCATGGAAACGAATTGTCATTCTCCTGGAACTGATTCAGAGCAAGAAGAAAATCTTGGATCCTGTTCTTTTGGTGCCAGTTGCTTTCCAAACTTTGGGCAGGTAAGAGTTCAACAAAGATTATTATTCCTGTTATAGTTATTCCATTTTTGTTAGATTGCCTGTTGGGACAAAGTAGACAGATGATTTTTATACCATGCCAAGATTTCCAAGATTTAATGGATTGTTAATTAGGGATGTTCTCTATTCTAAGGATGCATTCCTTGCTTCACTGTTGAGTCCATACCCCCCCCCCCCCCCCCCCCCCCCCAACCCCAGAATTTTACCTATACCCATTGAATTTGTTACCTCTATTCTATGAGGCAGACACAAGACCATTGCACCAAAAACGTAACTTTATATACAGTTATTTGAGGGAGGAAAAAGCTATCTAAAAAAATTTACAATTTTGTATTACCACACATTTTATTCACTTTTCTGTGTCTTAAGAGTAATAGAGCTGGAGCAAAAAGGTTCAGGGGAGTATATCAAACAGCTAATACTGGCCACCATCAACTTCATATGTTCACGTCATCAGCAGACAGTTAATGATGGTGAAGGTGAGTAATTATATAATTAACATTCTCTCTCTTTTAAAAAATGTTTTTTATTTTTTTTTTTCACATTTCAATTTAGTTTTACTTCCCTTTGTTCACCATCATATACAATTGAATTAATTTGAAAAGGAGAATGTTTATGTCACATAAGTAGCTTATGTTCCTCTTAGGTAACTAGATATAAGTCAATAGTCGGAAGATTTATCTTTCAGTTTTAGCTGAGATAGTCAAATTATAGGACAGACAATAATTTTCCTTTGGAATAGTTCTGCCTTGTCAGGATCTCTCTGCCTGAAGGATACATTGGTGTAGCTTCTTATCTTATGCGCAAGTGAACATTGAAAACTGTTGTTTTTTTTTCACTTTTCTATATGCCAATCTATCAACATACCTTCTCTGCCTATTTATCCTGCATGATGACTATTTGCACAGACCTCCCAATCACTTGGCTGGCTACCTTCATATCCCTCCAATCCATTTCCTTGTAGTGAAGACGCCATAGTCCAGCTGGTTTTGTTCCCTCATCCAGGTCTTTGAGAATGTGTCATGACTCCATTCTCTTGGCATGGTCAAGCTAGCGATTGAACCTTTTGCTCAGAGTAGAGTAGAGTGGAGAACAAAAGACACCTATTTCACTACTTTGAAGAATCTTATTTAAAGTAATATTAAAACTAAAATTTTTAAAAATGAAACTAAAAGTTTAAAAAATTCAAATTTTTTAAAACACATTTACAAGGTGCAAATTTCAATCCAAAGAAAAATTAAGTAGTTTAATAATTTATTTTGAGTTTTCACCGTCATTGGTACTAACAGTGATTTGTGTGACTTGAAATGCTTATTTTTATCCTGAATTTATTTCTTCAAGCTATAATGCTTTTAATATCCATCTTAGTAACAAATGAAAAGGGAAAAGAAAAGTCTATGTACATTTTGTTTCCTTAGTCTCAATCAAGGGAGAACATTTGAACATGGAGCTTATTGTCAACTGTATCAGAACTTCTGACAATCCCCACACACATCATCAGGCTCTACTGCTTCTCAGCTCGGCAGCCAAGATTGCTCCTGTAGGTTATGGTATTCTTCATCGATATTTGCTACATCTAAAATATACTTATAAAACCATTATGAAGTAATTGAGTGGTTCTCAACCCTATCTAAACCAAAGGATAGCAACTGTTAATATTTTCTAGTTTGCACAATGCTTGAGCAAAAGCAAATGAAACCAGCCTTAACTGACATTTAGTCATGCAAGCAAGATTAGTTGGTCACAACTTATTAATTTTAACAAATAAGGACACTAATTACTTCTATCACACACCCCACTGTCAGTTAAATCTGCCATCTAACCATTATTAAAAATGTTAATGAAGTTCTGAAATATAAGTCGTCAATTTAAAGAGTAAAATATCTCAAGATTTTCTCATGGATTACAACTGTTGGTCAATGTCTGACTTGCCACTACATCTCACAAACAAAAATGCATGTAAATTTGTAGGAAAATTTAAGTTTTTAAAACTAAATGATCATTGCAGATTAGGATTTGATGGGAGTGTTGAACACTTACGAAATAATCACTTTGCCAACATTTAAAAAACTGAAGTCGACTACCACAGTATGGAGCTGTAGTTTTTGTTGTTCTTGTAGCTTTGTTGATTTAAATGTGTTTCATAATTTTTACATGAACAGATTTTAAATGGTCAATTTTAACTGGGGGCTGCTGTTGTTATGATTTTAACAACATTTTATTATGCAGGGCTTACTTCTGCACAACATGATGTCCGTTTTCACATTTATGGGGGCAAATATCCTGCGACAAGATGATGCTTACAGCTTCCATGTCATTGGCAAAATTCTGGAAAATGTCATACCGGCTCTTATAATGGTTTGTTTTTTCAACAGTATTCATTTTAGATAATCTGGGGTTTTTTTTTCCAATCAGTATGACTTGCTGTATTTGCATAGATCTTTCTGGAATATAGCTTATGGATATTACACACTGACCTACTGCCTATCTCCAATCTTGTTATTTTGAAATTATGGAATTTTTCAATAGTTGTTTCTGACATATATGATTTGGCTTATAGGCTTGTGAAGAAAAGACAAAAGACAAAGATCAGACAAAAAAGAAAGATCAGACAAAAAAGAAGTCAACCAAGGACTCGTCGCAAAGGAAATCCCAAGAAATGATGACAGTGGTTCTTCGTGTTTTTGTAGATGCCATTCCACACATCCCATCTCACAGAAAAATTATGCTGTTTGAGAAACTCCTTGCTGTTGTGGGTGTAGAAAGCTATCTTTGGAGAATAATAATGCTCTTTATTGAGAGTGTCACTGTGCGAACATCCAAGCCTTCGACTGAACAAAAAATAGTTGAAGACAATGAGGATGAAAAGGTAACACCGATTGTAGTTATAACTAGGAGTAATACTGAAACTTTTTTAATGACAGTAGCATTGACTTTCCTAACTAATTGAGACCAGGGTTGGTTTAGATAACCTATTTGTCAGATAAATGAACACTTCCATGGAAAGAAGCTTGTGCATGGAATACAATATATTCTTGCCTAATTTTTATGAATTATTGCACAATGTATTATTTACAGTAATCAACAACAGTTAATTGTGATTGTGTCAAATAATAGATAACTGGCTCTTAAAATAAAATCTGAGGTCACTTTGTCTTGGCAGTGAGTATATTGAAATATATAATAATTCACAATTTTGCAGATAGCAAGTATCCCATTCCAGTTACTGCATACACAGTTTTTATATAAATTTTTTTTAATGTATTAGTATCTTGAACATTCAACATACTTTTACTTGTAGTGCTAAAATATATGTAAAATTTAATTTTCAGTCCTCCGGTCCATTAACTGTATCTGACCAAGAATTTCTGACTAGCTTGATAGAGAAATATTCCTGTTCCCAGTTATTCCAGTGCTTTCAAAAAGCTTTGTCTTATGTCCTGCTACTGCCAGAAGAAAAACAAGACTGTAAGTTTTTAAAGTATTTGTTCACCTAAATAAGTCATATTTTGGGGTTAAATTTATCAACTTTTTTGTAGAAACTTTATTATAAGAAACGCTCAAATGATAATCAAAATTTGCTGCATTTAGTTTACAGAATCTTTTTTTTTCTCTTAGCTCAAGTTCTGCAATTAAACAAAGAAACTTTAAATCTGGACGATATGAGTGCCGAAGACATGGAAATATTTAGCATTCAGCACCACACTGCTAAACAGCTGAGGCATTTTAAATTTGCTACCGTCTTTGCTCTGAATCACTTTATTGGGAGCAGTTTTCTGATAGCTCAGGTTATAATTTTATTTAATTTCCCAATGGTGTGTAAATTAACTTTAAATAAAAAAGTGTAACAAACCCATAGATATTGAATCATTATTTGTTATAGTTCTTGAATAAACTAGACATGACATGTATGAGCATTAAAGTAAACAAAATGAATGCTATGGAGGATCAAATTTATTATAAATTTTGCATAAGATTTAATGTAACAAATGAATTTACATAAGATTAGTAGCTAAATTGCTCAGAGGTTTGTTGATATTTGTACAAGTTACAATTTATTAAATTGTAATGGAGTTAGTTAAAGAAAACTAAACATCCATTGAGCTTATTCATGTATCTAATATTGAAATGTTTAAAACATCTGTTTAAAACCTACTTCATGTGGTTGCTTAATAGATGTCAGAAATGGATCCTAGATTCTTTCTAGTTGATTACCAGCATATGATGGAGACTCTACTACAATTTATCAGTCAAGTTACCCAGTCAAATGAAAAACATAAAGCAAAGAGCACTGCCAGATTCTGGAGAATTCTTCTAAATAAGTCACACGATCTAATGGAAAGTGTAAGGAAAGCTTTTAATTTATTCGATTTAAAAGAATGTGTATACTATATTCTTCTTAATTAAGTATAATTCTTATTAACATTTAATTCATTTTTCAAAAGACAATATTTTTGTTGTAAGTATATTAATATGGATGCATTTATGACTATAAATTAAAATGTTAATGCACAAACTTATTTGTTTTCAGAAATTGAGTGTGCTTTTTTTGTTTTTTTTATTTATAAAAGTATCGTTTAAATTACAATTTTATATATTTATACGCTTTGGAGGTCTCCTTATTTTTGTGACTTTTGATATATTAAGTATAATAAATCATGTTTGGTTGTATGGTTCAGTTGGTGAATCTGCTACCTGACTCCATGTTCATGGAAGTTGTATCTGGGTTGATGGACCATTCATTATCTCTTGTGCAAAGAAGAGCAATGGAGCTACTCAATAACAAGTTGCAACATTATAAAGACAATTTGTCTCAAAGTCAAGTATGTTGGCTAATCATGTTTGATATAAATGTTCTTGGTTTATCAGAGTTGAAAGAAATATCATCAATATTCTGTAAAAGGTTAAAAAAAAAATAGTTTTTAGAATTTTAAGAAAAGGTTAAAAAAAAAAATAGTTTTTAGAATTTTAAGATATCAAAATGTTAGGTGACTCTTTAAATTTAACTTGTAACTTAAATATAATTTAAAATAAATATTATGCTTAAATAAATTGATTTTTGTCTATTAATTTCTATTTTGTAATTATGTTTGTTTTTTAAATCTTGTTTTAGGCTGACATGCTGCTTTCAATGACAAGTAAGTTACAGTCAATAGTCCATCAGTGTTTGCTCAAAAAAGGCAACGATGTCAAGGATGAGTACCTGGTAAATGGTCAGACAGCACTGTACAGTTTGAAAATTTTGTGCCGCATCCTTGCAGAGAAAAATGTTAAGCCATTTTTAGAGGTCAGTTATTATTATATTATTGTTTTAGGCAATGTGCTTAACATAATCTATGTATTTGTATTTATGTTTTGCTTTCAACTTCAGCCTGAAAGTAATTTTACAGTGTTATTATTTAATTTCCAGTCATACTATACATCATCTTAATGTTAGATGATTTCATTGCTATGAGATAAAGCTTGCAATATCAGATACCCAAATGCAGGAAAACAAAAGTAACAATTAAATATATCGTTTGTGTGATATTAAAATGCTCTTTAATTTATCTCTGAACTTATAAAGAAATAATACAGGGGGTGGGGGTTGTTTTATTTTGAATTCTGTGTTTGAATTTCAACACATTTAAGTAATTTATATTATTAAAAAAAAATAAGTGGTGTTAGCCATTAAATGGCACCTTTTTATTTACCTTTTTTTTTTTTTTTTTTTTACATCCTTGGGAAGTTTTTTTTTTTCTTAAGTATAATTTAAAAATTTAAAATTTTTTTTTTTTTAATTTTTTTTATATTTTTATTAAAAATTTATTTTTTTTTTTTTTTTGTGGTGTTAGCCATTAAATGGCACCTTTTTATTTACCTTTTTTTTTTTTTTTTCTTCACATCCTTGGGAAGTTTTATTTATCCTAAAGTATACTATAAAGATTGAAAATCTGTTTTTTTTAAATTTTATTACGATTATTATTAAAAATGTATTTGCTTTTTATTTTACTAATTCAAAAATATTTGACAGCTGAAAGAGTGTTAAGTGATACAACTGTCATGCTGATAATCATCACAATTCAATTTATGGGGGATCTTGAAACTATTGGGAAAAAACTTTACTAAAGATAAAGACACTTATTTCTGTTGACTTTAAATGTAAACATGTTTTTACACTTGTATTTTTTCTGTAGGTTTTGAGTCTGTGCGTGAAAGTTTTAAATCACCACAAAGACAATGGAATGATTTCTGCATCCTCCATGTTATGCATCGCTGAAGTTGTTAGTAGTGCAAAAGTCCACACTATGGAGTACCTCACAGAATTTATGCCACTGTTCATATCTCAACTTAAAGCTCCAATGGTCACACAGTAAGTATGTGTTAAAAATATTTGATTAGGCACTAATAAAGATTTTTGCTAGATATTCTCAATCCACTATTGCCAAGTGCTAGTTTTTTGTTGCTATTTCCAAGAGTAAAGGTTACTTTAAACTTTAATTTATTCAAACGCTTCCAATTTCATGCACTGGTGATACAGCTGACTTATTAATCTTAACCTTTGAAGTCCCATGGGGTGGTTAAAAGTATTGTCATGTTAACTGAATGTTCTGCTCAATTAGCTAAATATATCTATTACCGGTACCAAACAGAAATGCTTAGAACATAAACTTAGTCATTATTTTTGGTGAAATTGGGAAACATGTTTCTATTGAACACACATGACTAGAAAAAGTATAGCTACACTAAAAACTATGTTTTACTAACATTTTAAGCTTTGTTACATATTTTGTTCCAGACATGACATGTTGTTACTTGCTGCTATTACATCACTACAAAAGATAATAGAGGCGCTTCCACGCTTTCTCAGCCCATATCTCATGGATATAATTGTACAGGTACCACACTTTTTTTCTTTCTTTTTTTTTTTTTTTATTATTTTTTAAAAAAAAATTTCATGTTTTTTAGTGTAATATTTTGAAATATATTTTTTTTTTTTATATAATTGTAAAGGTACCACTATTTTTTTTTTTTTCTTTTTTTTTTTTTTATTAATGTTTAAAAAAAAAGTGCAGGTTTTTAAGAGTAATATTTTGAAATATATTTTTGCTTTTCGTTTGTCTATAATTTAACTTGTATTTTTATAAAATAGATATAGAATTTAAATGCATTTTGCCAAGTATGTAAGATAAATAAAACAATATCTCCACCACATATTTAATGTTACATTAAATTTTGAATAGGTTTGCATCATCAGTTCCATTGCTGGTTCTCATTCAGAAACTCACAAGCCACCAGTAGTGCAGAAAATTAAACTCATATGGTAGGCTCTTAAAAATAATAAGACAATTTTTATTTTCAAGGTTTTTTTCAATAGTTGATAATAAAATTAATATAGTCTTATGGTTTTAAAAAATATGTCAATAATTAATATTAGAACTTCTATATTGCTTTTTTATTTGAAAACTTTTTAGGGATATAGGTGTACTAATACACACAAAACTAATATTATTTAAAGCTAGCTGAGAGTTTCAGGATTAAATAAATTTTAATATTCATTTTGAATGAAACTTTTCTTGCAAAAAAATTGTTTATTTGGTCAAAATTAATGTCATCTTGTAGTAACACATTGGCCACAGTGACACCTACTAGAACATTCTTGCCTGTGTTAGAAAAAACTTTTACTGCTTTGGAAGACAACTTGGCGGTAAGAAATATAGTCTATCACATTTGGTTTGGTTTGTCTATCTGAATTCCACATTTAGCTGAATATTAATATTATTATTTTTTTTATGCTAATATTTTGTGCTACAGATAAAGATGAATTTCATTGTAAGCCAATTGAATGATTTCAAATTTAAGTTTCTATTACCTGTATTCACATCATGACTGATTCTCCTCCTATAAACCGATAAACGTACATGGGTTTCCTTGTAAAAATGTCTGGTGTGGGTGGATGAATATACCTATGGTGTTGTTTTGCTTATATGTTGTTTTTATTTCATTTATGTATTTTATTTTAATATTATGATTATGCCTCTTTGCTATATATGTACAGCGCGGTGAGCCCAGCCCTAGGCCGGGGTACCGCGCTATATAAGACCACTTATTATTATTATTATTATTATTCCAAATAAGCAAAATAAATTTTTTTTTTCAAATATTTCTACAATCTTATTTTTTAACAATTTTACTAACTATGCTAAATTATAATTGCCTGATGTGTACTTAAATTTTTCCTGGATTAGAAAACATTTATTCTTTCAGTCCTATTTTATTCCTGTTTGACAGTTCTAATGCTGTGTCTCAATCACTCTCTCTATGTATTTATATTTGCATTTCCTAATCTTTGTGCATAATTGGATATTATCAGGATGAGAGTAAATTAATAAACTATACATCAAATAATTAAATATCAAATACACTATTTTATCAATTACTCCCTTATGTAATCTCACTCCATAAATGAATTTTGTATATTTTACAGTCATGTGCAGATTGTGCCACATCCATGTTGAAAGAGCATATTGTAAAAATGTCAAGAGAAGATCTAACAACATTCTCTAAGGATCTCCTTCAGTTTTTCTTTGTTTGCTTTGATATACGAACCACACATACTGAGGTTTATTTTTTCTTTTCATTTTTTAAAAATGTTATGATTTTTAAGAATTGGTTATGGGCCACATCAGTTTTAGACATAATGTCAAGTAAAATTTCTTATTTAGAGTTTAAAAACTTTAGCAGTTTCAAATTAGCGATACGTAAGAAATATACAGTTTGATTTTTACCAGTTTTATGTAAACATGAATTGATAAAGGTTGCTGTAGACAAGAGCTTCGACTTATGCAATAACATTTTTAAATATCTATTCTTCTGACTTAGATTAATGAGATTGACTTGGATGTCATTGAAGGATGTGTGATGGAAGCATTTGTATCTCTTGTATTCAAGCTCTCAGAAGCTCAGTTTAAACCTATGCTACTTCAGGTATTCAAAGTTTTTGCATTTCATTCATCTTTACCACTTTTTTAAACCCATACGATATGTTTCGCCGCAGTGTGCGTCACCCCAATTTTGGCTGAATATCTTTCGCCGCAGAGTGCGTCTTCATTGGTTTTCTTCATTCCTTTAGTGTTTTAACTTTTAGTCAAATATTTTATTTATAGCTTTCTAAACTTTTATTTAGAAGAGCTTCAACTTCCTTTCTGTGAATTTTCTGTCGGATTATACCATGTTTTGTGTATTATTTGCTAGTTTTTTCACGTTCTAAAAATTGTAAACAAACATCAGCTGATTGAAATGGCTTTGACGAGTGGTACTAATGCTAATATTAGGTCTGCTCGCTCAAGATTTAGATGTATGACTGCTGAAGGAAGAAGCAAGCCAGTTAAATAGCTTGGATGATTCATTGGACTCGAATGAAAACATTGAAGACGAGGATATAGTTTGTTAATTATGCGTAAATATTTGTGTACCAGACCGGAATAGTTATTTTTATTATTAACTTTTGGAACACTATTGTGTTGAGAAATAATTCATAAATTAGCAATTTCTTGAGGTGTTGCAACAAATCTTTCCTCATACTTTGGATATATAATAAGGCTTATTTGCTGAAAAAATTGTCTTGATTGGATTGTTTTTACCTGATTTATGGGTTGGTGAGTAGAATTGTTATGGGCCACATAACATTTTTTTTAAAGAATTTTTTTATTTACTTTTACATAACACTGTTATATTACACCTAAAGTTTTTCTCTTATATAATTTTTTTATCGCTCTTTTATAATAAAAACATATTCATTGTTCAATTAATTAAATTTTGATATGCTATATGATGAAGGTTTGGTAAACAGAAAGCTGTATTTTAAGTTAAAAATCATCAGGTCAAATGGAATTTTAGTCCCCTAATATTACTATGTTCCACTGAATAATTGTAATGTATTGAATGGGTTAAGAGACATCCAAATTTTAATTTGTCCTATTAGGTTTCCTAAATGTATTTGAAGGTTTGGAAAACATCATGTCGTTCTAATGTCTTTGAATGCTGTTAGAATATGTAAAATAAAAAAATCTCAAATTTGAAGTTTTTACCTTCCATACTAGTTTTTTCACAGTTATTTACTTTGTACTCTAAGAGATAGAAACCAACAGGAACTTTCAAATGCTATTATGTAATTTCTCCAGATTTATAACTGGGCAACTGACGAAGATGTCAGTCATGAGAGAGTTTTAGTATTTTACAGACTCTGTGACAGGTAAAATATTAAATAATTTTTAAGAGGCATTTTATGTAAAAATGTATCTATCTTTCTAGGAAATAGTCACTGAAGTATATTCATAGTATCTAAAAAATAATATATTTACAGTGCAGTGGTGTATAGTGAATTTGAGAAATGTCCTGTGATCATGTTTTCCCATATGTGGACATATTTTCATGTACATTTATCTATGTGATATAAATAGACTAAGATATAGACTAAGATTTTGCACATATCGTTTCACATTTAGTTAAATGCACATAGAATAAATATAAACCTTAATCTGTCAAAACTTACTTTTTTTATTGAAAAAACCATCTCTAATATTAAAAAAAAAATATTGCATTACAAGAAAAGTTTTTTTGACTTAAAGTTAGAATAAAGATATATCTTTTTTTCCTTTCAGCCTAGCAGCAAAATTAAAAAATCTGTTTACCTTGTTTGCTGGTCACATTATTAAACACAGTGCTCAAATGTTGGATGCAAACAACAAAAGCAAGATCAGTGAGTATTTATTTTCTGCTGAGTTATGAGCCAACTGCAGTCAGTCAGATTAAAACAGTAATAGAAGGAACTGTTCTCCTTTTTCTTCATTATATTAAGGGCCCACGATCAATTTATTGATCATTTTGGTTCCTATGAATGTAGAGGGGATTTGCAATGTTCAGTTATCACAGAAATGCATTCTAGAATTGTATTTATTTCCTGTGCTTCCTCAAAGCCACATTGCATCTACTCCCCAGAATGCACCTATTTTGGAAAGGACAAGGCTGCTCGTAAAAAATCTGGCCATCTGCTTGTTTACATCACTGATTGCCTACAGAAAACTTTAGCTCATGACACTGAAGGTTTCCTCAACAAAGAAAGATTTGATATCATCATGCAGCCTTTGGTTGACCAGGTTATTATAGTGTTCCATTTCTGTCACTTTTCTTTAATGAAGAGAAAATTAATATAAATTGTGATTTAAATGTGTAGAACATTGAGAATCAAATTGTCATGTAGTGGAGAAAGGTGTTTGAAGAGCACTTCTTACTGGGGCATATTTCACAAAAAATCATTTTGCTAACAATCGTTGCAGTTGTTTTCAAGATTTTAAAAGGCTGGAGCATTAAGTCTTTTCAGTTCCTTTGTCATGATAGCGTTTAAAATTTATAATAATATTCATATTATTTTCAAATTTAAAATCTGCTACCAAAATAATATTTTCTGTAAAAATTTTTGAGTAGTGGAGAAGAATTTCTAATATATTGGTGTTGTTTTCAACTTGAAAAACTATAATTCCAAAGATTTTTTGTTAGATATATAACAAAGCATAACAGTCACCCCTTCCTACTAACAATTTTATTTTCAAAAAACATATGAATGATTCTTATTATGTGTATATATATATGTATATATACATATATATATATGAACAAAAACAAACATAATTATATATTATTTTGATTTGGGTTTTCAAACTTCACAGATTTTTCCACCAGATGTTTATGATTTTTGTCTTGAGCCATTATGAAATCTGCTTCAAATTTAATTTATGAATTTATTTTAATGTTAAATCAAAATAATTTGCCAATTTTATTTCTTTTAAAAAATGTATTATCATTCTGTTTTAAAGCTTGAAAACACAATTGGCAAACCATCGGTTTGTGAGGATCGTATCTTGAACCATGTTGTCCCATGTGTGGCCAGCCTTGCTGCAGCTGCCCATGATGATTCACTATGGAAGGACTTAAACTATCAGATCCTCCTGAAAACAAGGCATGAAAATGCTAAGGTATGTGTTTTTAGGACAATTTTTAAAAATATTTTTGGGTTTAATTAAAGTATAAATATAACAACTACATTTTTGTTTTGTACCTCTTTATAAATTATTAACATTACTTTTTTTTTGTTCAATAAAGATTATGCAGCAAAGTAGACATGCAACAATTTCTTCATACAAAGTAAACTAATAGATATGTACCAAATGTGATCTAACCTTATGTTTAACTCAATATTTCAGGTTCGTATTTGGGCACTCTCTGCTATTGATGCATTCCACAAACAACTTGGTGAAGATTACACTCAGCTGGTGCCAGAGACTATACCATTCATGGCTGAACTTATGGAGGGTAAGCTCTTATACCATTTTTTTAAAAATTAGAAATACAAATTCTATTATTTATATGTCATAAGCTAAACCATTTACTACCAGTGATAATTTTAAGTAATTAATAGATAATATACGTAGTTTATAAAAAAAAGTAAGATAATTCCTTACCAATATTGTCATGTATATAAAATATGCTATATCTAAATTATAATTCTTGTGAACTCACAAAATATTCATTGCAGTTGTAAAAGTCTGCCTAATAATTTGTGTATTACTTTCTTACAGATGAATCTGATGAAGTAGAGAAACACACCCAGAAAGTTTTGGCTGCCATGGAAATTTCAGTGGGAGAAAATCTGCAGGAGGGGAGAAAATCTGCAGGAGTATTTTTAAACAAGCAGGGGGGGGGGGAGAACACAAATATTTGTATCAACTGATATGTTGTCAGTAAACTTAAATAGGATGCATGTATATTATTAATTTTTAATAATTGTCTTTTAAAATAATCATGTCTTAGGACCCTGAATGTCATGATACATCATTGAAACAATTTCATACTCTAGAAAATTGAAATTAGTTTGAAGTATTAGAAATGTCAAACATGCTGTTATCTTTTGTTCAGTTACTGTATCAATCTGTAGTTTTTCTTCAAGAACTATGCAGTTGAGTTCACTATGATTTTGATAATAAATGTAATGAATTGGAGGTATAAATAAATATTTATCATAAGCTTATTAATTTTGATTTCTGTTTGTTTTGAATCAAGAGACAATGAGATTGGTGTGTTAAAATTAGTGGTTGAATTTGTTTATTTTAAATAATCCTAATGGATAGCCAGTATTTGGGACCCCATAAGCAAAAACCTTTACTAAACAATTTTAAAAAACAAGCTGTAATTAGCTTTAAATACCTAGCTCTGGAATCACGCTGCTTCATACTATTACCATGCCCTGGATACATGCTGCTTCATACTACTACCATCCCCTGAAGCTAAGGTCTTGGATTTATGAGTATTGTTATATTATTTCCATGTTACCCTGTTGTAAAAAAAATTACAATTGAAAAGTAAGCGGTCAATGCTTTTGCTGAGCTAGGCCTCCTCACTGTAAGTTGTGACTCAAAGAAAGTTGGTTGCTTTAGAAGGACACTGGGCTGTTGGACAACCTTTTAAAGGGTAACATAAAATAACCTACAAATATCTCTTTGACTGGTATTGCAGCCTTAACGAAAAAATCGGACAAGAGTAAGACTTACTTGTTTATTGAAACGCAATTTTTTATAGCTCTGCAGATCAACAGGCGTGTTCTCAGGAATGATTTAACGACATAACTCAATCAAAAATTATGTTTTAAAAATTAAGGAGTGGGTAATTGCTTAATTCTTTTAAAAAATAACATTAAACCAGGGCTTCAGAATAATACATAATGAAATAAAACTTTGCACCACTTATACAAACTTTTATCTCATGATCTTCATGTCTTGTTTCATCACAAGGACAACTATTTAAAATGTCAGAAATGTGAAGCTAAGTTCTCAAAATGAAACTGGATATCTGCTGCAGATTTTCATTCAACATTGAGCTGAATGATGGTACTGAATGAAGCAAATCCACTATTATATAAAGCTCAGTGTAACTATGTTTTTTAATGGGTCTATTAATCATAAGAAAACAAAACAATGGATCACAATAAAATTTGACATGGTCATTGTTCCTGACCTAGTTGTGGTTCCTCGAAAGTTCGGCCATAATTCCCTAATCCCATATGCAGTCATTTAAAAAATCGTGTAACGTACAGGGCAAAGGAGCACAAAAATTATTTTCAAACGGTTTCGTTTCAGTTTTAAGTTATGTTAATTTTGGTGTACGCATTTGTTAAAATGAAATATAACAAGGTATGCTAAACTTTAATTCATGGACAGGTCAAAAGATTTGGAATTTTCGGCTTTCTAACTAAGAGCCTTCATCAGCAAACAAGACTTAATAAGCCATAGAATTGTTCAGCAAGTTCTGTGTTGTTCCATGTAGATATAGCCTATCAGTTGCGTACCTTGAGTAAATGCCGACCGGGCGAAATCCCCAAATCCCCCCCCCCCCCCCTTTTTTTTTTCCCTCGCTCACACGTCACTTACAATGTTGCAAATGTTCACGATTAGTGTTTTTTCTCTTCATCCCCCCAATTTCTCTAGGCTATTTAATTTGACCTTCTGTCGTGTTGTGAAACTGCGGCTGAGGCCCCAGGAATAACTCCTTAAGCTTAAGGGGGGCAGATCTAGACGGCATATTCTGGGTGATAAACGCCGGTGACTTGATCTAGAAGATGTTCGATGTAGGGATAAAAGCATGGTACCGGTACAGTACCTAAAATATAATATTTTGTCACGTTGTTTCATGATTGCTTCAGCTGGGTGTTCGAGGGTGTGTCTGTATGGGCCGAGCTGTTTCGATAATGAGGACATTTGAAAAGGGGGAGGGGCGCAAAAAATATTCACTGCAATTTTGGATTGAAAATCTAAAAACGAATTTTAAAAACCTCATATTTGATAATAAGATGAGAGCATCATTCTCATGCTGAACCTAAAATCTAATTGGTGAAATGTACCATTTACTGCCCATTTTGAAAATGTTATATTTGAGGCTTTTTTGTTGTTGTTGTTTTTTGTTGTTGTTCTTTTACACTTTAATTTTTACACGGAGTGAAACATGAAAGAAAAACTGATTGCAAAGTGAAAGTTAAACAATACTATTTTGCGAAAGAAATATATGGACGTATTCGGTCTGTTGTGTTATTTCCGGTTTATTACATCGCGGGAGAAAATGGTAACTAAATAAACAAATTAAATACCGCTGCGGCCCATTATTTTTCTTATTGACTATGGAATCACCTATGCCAGCAAGGTAGCCTCAATTTGGCTAATATTAAGGAGGGATGCCATGGCGTCTTTTGTGTGTTTATTATAGTTGCAGTGAATTAGGGTTTAGGTTAGGTTGAGGGATTGATTTAGGGTTCAGGTTAGGCATATACTTATACTTATACACTATATAATATATAATATACATATAGTTATAGGGATCGAGTTAGGGTTAGCCGCATAGGCATAGGGATCGATTTAGAGTTCAGGATAGCGGATAGGCATAGGGATCGATTTAGGGATACATTCGTGAAATTCGATAAAAATGTGGCATTCGTCCTTAAAATTTACCCTAAATTTAAATAATGCTATGATAGTATTGATAGCTATGTTATTATAAATTTTACTAAATTTGCCACAAATGGAAATTCAATCTTACTAATTCTTTGTCTACTCAGACTACTCTGACACTGTACTGTACTCTTCATTTAAAATTTTTTTTTTTTAAAAATGGGGTGGATGATATTAAGATTAAGAGTAAGAGGCTGTGTTAAAGTTATTCTTCTTCACATAGGGATCACCTGGCTCTCTCCAGTGTTAAAGGCCCTGACAAGCATAGCTTATGCCCTATGCCATAGGCCTTGTGCCATGGACTTGGACTGGCATAGCCATAGTCTATAGGCCTATAATTCAATGTTCCCTTTAAGCTGCGCGGCCGCACAGCAATCTCACAGTTTTGAGTACCGAGCAGCTAATTTCCACTTAGCGTGTATTTGTGTCTGTAGGCTGAAAATTTTGCACACAAAAAAATTGATGCTGTAAAAATTTGCACACGAACCAACAAACCTTAGAGGGAACATTGCTATCATTGATATTAATATACTATTTTAAATTTAATGCCATTCATGTATGAATCAGGTTAAAAGTAAAAGCCTAAAGCCATATCTTGGGGTGAGGCTAGAGGTAGGAGGGTTGGAGGAGAGTGACTGCAGGGGTCTGCTGTCACAGAGTTGTGACTTGAAGGGAGGGGAGGGTGTGGTGGCAAGGGGGAGAGTGGAAATCTTGCTCTTGATGAATCCTTTACTGTTTTAAATAAAGGTTATGTCATTGTGGACGTTTGCTGTATCAAGAGCTATAACAGTTTATTTTAAAATGCCATATGTTAGGCCTATACTTATACTATGTATAATATTTTGTTCTCTTCTGAACCATAATTGAATTTTACACTTGATGAAACAAAAGTAGATCTATAACTATAACAAAGAAAAGCTTGCTTTTGTCATCATTTTAAAATTTAAAGTGAGAATGTACATGCATCTTGTGAAAACCTGTCACTGGACTTAAGAACCATATAAGCTTTGTTCATGGCAATGTGTAAAAATGATGACAATCATTTACTTAAAATATTACCCATGTATGTTCTTTGTTTTAAAGTGACATGAGTTTTATTTATACTAAATGTTACTATGTCTTTCATTTTCAGATCTCTTTCTGACATCAGCTGTATTCTTGAGTTTGCCAAATTGGATGCAGCTGACCTTAAACCATGTGTTCAATGCTTATATTTCTCTGAGCATCTGGAAAATGACATGTTCAAGCTAATAGAACTTGATGAACCTGTTCTTGAAGCACTTCAACATGGAAACAAGTGTGTGCAGGAAATATTTGACATGGATTTGTCCAAATAATTATTATGTATTTAAATGTACTGATTATGTATTACATTATATTAACCTGTTGTCTTAAAAAATTATATACATAATTTGCATTTATTTAAAATACTAAGATATTTATTAAATAATGTAATTTTTAAGACAAATTTCAGTAAATCAAAAAGAACAGCAATTTTTCAAAAGGGCTAGCAATAATTTAAAGTTTTGAAAAAGTCAGAATAAAATATTTATTTCTCCCACTGTAATGGTAATCTCATGAAGGTACATAATTTAACATTGAAATTAAATAGTACTTATCCCTATTGGCTTCTTTTGACATAGTTAGACATATGTAATAAATGCTAAGGAAGCCAAGAGTAAGACATTTTTGGAAAAATGTGACCTTATCACTTTTGAAAAATAATGCTCTTCATTCATAAGTATGTAAATGGAGATAACCACTTGTATTTTCAAAATCTACAGAGTTGAAATACGAGGAGACCCCAGTGAAGGTGCAGTTTTAGTAACAGATAGCCTGACATATGACCTTAAGGAAGCTGAAACGTCTAATTCCATGCTTTTACTCTCACAATTGACTTTTGGTGCTGAACTGCAAAAAGTTGCAGACAGAGAGATAGCAAACAAACAGGTTTAACATATATCCATTCCTTAGTAGTAAATATTATTAACATTTTTATAAGGATGTATTATTAAAAAAAATTTAAAAAATCGCTTAATCTAAAAAGCAATAAAGGGGCATCCATGACATTGTACTATTTTGGCAGATTTTTTTGTTTTTCCCCTCCACCTATCATAACAAACTTGTCACAAAATTTATACATGCAGCCCCATAATTCCTCATTACCAGTACTAATTTGTGACCCACCCTCTCCCCTAAGATACATAACATCATTTATGGATGGCCACCTAACCATAGTTTATCAGTTTCATAAGAATCTTTAAACAATTTAAACAAGTACATAATTTGTAATAAATTATAATAAATGCGAAATTTGTTTCACTCTGTATCTTTTAAAACTTTCTGGAAAAATAAATCAAAATACCAACGAATGTAGGTGCATTGAATTTATTTACCTTTATTAGTGGAATAGGCTCAGAACAGATTGGTAGTTCACCAATTAGTCACTGCCTCCCCACTCTTAAATTTAAGGAAACAATTATCATCTGTATAATTGCTGAGTGCCTCTGATATCTTGATAGGTATCTAAATCTAAGCAATTAAATGGCTTAAACTTAATTTTTTATTTGTTAATGTTATTATGAAACATCAGATTTTGACTTTATTTCAATTGCTTTTCTTCCTGCTTCTGGGGCCAGGATTGTCTTTTGTAATAAGCCTATCTTGACTCACACTTTATGAAACATAATGCTTTCAAAATGCAACTATAATTTAATTGATTTATAACATTTTGTGAGCTCGCAAATTTTCTAGATTTTTACATTGTGAGAATGCAAATCAGTTTTCATTAACCATGAAAGGTAAAGCATTAATTGATATGCATATTGTGATCATTTGCTAACTTTTAACAGGTGACATCAGTAGTCCACAATTATTATGAAATTCGCCCTATTAAACCTAGACTGAAAAAATTACACATGTTGCTGATGAATAACCCTTATCGAGGTCCTGAATGTGAAGGGGATGAACTGGACACTGGAAAAAATGTGAGTATTGATCACAAAAAAGGAAACAGTATGTCAATTGTTGTTACATGTCTTTTACTGTTACAAAATAAAGGATAATAAATTACCTCTATTTTACAATTTTTCATAATTTAGCACAATAGGCTGAATATTTCAAAAGTTGACTTTTGTGTTTAATGCTAAATATACTTTTAGCAGACCTAAGACTTCTGTTTTTTAATTATGTATGAACATTTTTTGTGTTCCATATTTTTTTTTTTTAATTTCAAATAATAATCCATTCTTTGTATTGCAGGACTACATGGTACTATCAAAATGATATTAAGATAATTTTGTGGCTATATTCCAAGCTTTAAACAGTTAAACTTTAGTCAGGAAAAAGCGTCATATTTTGAATCTATTGTCAACTCCTAAAGAGTAAAGTTTTCTTCTTAGAAACAGCTAATTGACTCAGACTGGCATTTTAGGATTAACATAACAGAAGGAATATTGCCCTATACTTAAATGTTATTGGATTTTTCTCAGATTGAAAATAAATAAATTTTGAAAAAATGTCCACTAGTCTATCTCATACTTTTATTGCAGTACACTTTTAGAGAATTGCAAAGCTGTATTCAAGCAAGTGACAAGGAACTAAGAGCAGGACTTCTAAAGATGAATGCATGTGATATTAAAGGTACTAGATAGTAAAAGATAATGTTTGTATTAGTTTGTATGTAATTTATATTTGTATGTGATTATGCTACTTATCTATTATGATATTTTAATAATTTATAGTTAAAAATGTAAATCTCACTCACCTCCTTCTACCATGACATGTGTTTACAGGAAAGTGGCGTCTCCTAGATTTTGAATTTTCTGGCAGTGTCATATATCATATAATACAACTGTGTGAGGAGCGCAATTGGCTTTCTGAGGGAGTGAATATGGAGGAATGTTGTCAAGTTTTAGGGGAACTTTTTCCCAGGTATGCAGTGTGTTACAGTAAATTATCATTGTGAATTATTCCAGCCAAGGTTAAACTACATTAAGAAAAAGAACTATGACAAATTTGTAATTTATTACGGTACTGTTTTAATGTTGTAGGAGTTAGAATAATTGATTAACTCTTTCTCTCTGGATCAACGCTCCCATCATCTATTTTAAATGATGTTTTCTGCAGACAGTTATTTTATGATTTTGAATGCAGAACTGATTATGATGAATTGTATAATTATAATACTAGTGCTAGTATTAGTAGTACTAATAACAGCACTATAATGTAGATTCTAAAAGGAAAGCTGCTGATCTTAGCACTAAAACTGAGTGCAATTTCAGATTTTTACCTTTGAAAAATGTCGTGTAAATTTGGATCTTGTATTGTGATAAGTAAGTCAAATGACCTTGACTGTATTTTTTTCTTTGGTAGACAGATATTATTCACAAGCTTGTACTCTCAGCTCAGTAAATGAGTATGCTTCCTACAGAATTAAAATCAACACTCCAACATGCAAGAGATCTATTTTTAGAGACTGGAAACCTGTCAATAATTATGAGACCTACAAATTCCTAGCAGTAACAACAATAATGTGGATGAACTCTCATCCATTTGTTCTTGACTTTTGGTCAATGGGATGCATACAACTTGGTGTGTCACAATGTTACAGAGAGAACAATTCTCTACATGCTACAAGAAATACGTGTAAAATGTAGCATTTTAAAAGCTTAGAAGATTAGAGAAAATCTAGATAAATAACCCTCAGAAATTCAACAACTTGCGGACAGATAAACAGAATATGCTGCGACCATTTTTCCAGAGGGGGGAAAATTTGGAAGCTCCAGGCCATGGACATCTCTGTGCCATTGAGAGACGTATCGGAGCAAAACATGTGCCTATTAGCTCAAAAAAGGACAGTGTGCAAATACTTTAGAACAGGGCGAACTGTACCGGTATACGTTTGTGCTGGATGTGAGTCAAATCCGCACATCTATGTGAATCGTTTTCAGGCTTACCATAGTTAAACACAGATGAAAAGATATGATAAATTTATGGTAAATTTTCCATTTACCATAATAAATGTTAAAACAAACAAGGATACAGTGCAAATATTTTCTAATAGCAACAGATTTTTTCCAGTGGAAATATGTTTTTTTCTGACTTTTGTGTGGCTGTGACAATGGATTATGCTCTGGTGTTTCATTTTTTCATATATTTTTTTTTAATGTGATATTTATTATTTGTGATGCACATATGGATATAGCTCAGAAAAACAACTTTTTGTTACACTTTGGATTATCTTTGTGTGAATTGGAATGAATGTTTTGTGAACATTTGGTGAGTTTTTTATTAATGTTTTTTATTTTCCTTCAATCATAATCACATTTATATATATTAAAATTTAAACCTAAGTCTTTATTGTCTGTAAAGACCATGCATTCCCTTTTAATTCCATACCAAACTTTACATTTTCTGATGAAAAACAAAAACATTATGATGGTTTAGAGATAGCATTGTAGTGCGTAACAAATATGCAAAATAGATCATTCCTTCAGAACGTGGAAGTTAATTCCGGAGAGAAAGAGTTAACTATAATTTTAATGCCACATTATTTGTTACAATTGAGGTAATGAACTGTATATATTATTTTGAAAAATAAATGCTATTTCCATTTTTTTCTATTTTATTAATTTTAAAGAGTTCTCTGAATTGTATTAGAAGGTTAAATGAAAGTCATTTAAATGCCAGAGAGAGTCAAGAGATTGAAAATGTGACACTGAAATTTGTGTTAAAAAAAAAAATCTTGAATAATTTAACACAGGGAAGTTATTGAACATCTAGTCCAGTGCTATTCCAGAGAGGATGATGCTTCAGCAGAGACAGGAGAATCAAGTAAGTCATTTGTCTAGCTAACATTTAGTTCCATTGTATGAGGTGCATACATATTTTTGTAAAACAGCTTATCTTGCCCATGGAGTACACCCACATTTTTTTCAATTCCGGTTGGTTCCAAAATCATGTTTTTGTTTCTAAACTTTGATACTAGTAAGCTGAGTAGGGCTAATTAAAACAGACCCAATAAATAAAAAAAATAGGATACTTTAAATCTGAATAATTTCTTTCCTTTCAATGCATGGTACCGTCCAGCCAATCCATGTTTACATAGCCCAGGGGTCGGAAACCTTTTCATGGCAAAGAGCCAAATATTAAATTATGGTCTAGTAACTATAAGTATCAAGGAGCTACAGGAAAAATTTAAAGAGCTACTTGCGAGTTACAGGTTACCGACCCAGGACATAGCATGTGTCATATAGCATATGTGGTGGCTGCAACCAATGAAATGGAAACAACCTACTTGCTTTTTCTCTGTAAAAAAAAAATGTACCTAACCGGTAATACTCCATATCTGAACCATTTGTACTCCTTACCTGAACAGTATTGCTCAACAATTTTTCAGCTTTTTCAAAATGCATAAACAGTCAGCAGCTTTTAACAAATGTCAAACCCACATGAAACAAGGCAAAAATTGTCTGAAAAAAATTGCTCCTCACCTATAAATTATACATAATTAATTTAAAACTTACCTCTGTAATTCTTAAAGCATCATTGAGAATCACAACCCTAAAGTCTGTAGATATTTCATCTATGTATTTAAAATATACATAACTGCACCATAACATTTTTTAAAATAAAAGACAACCCCATATTTTCAATTTTTTAGGAAGAATTTACTTTTTAAGTGAGGATAAGATTTGCAAACATTTTGCTGAGCTCTGTCTAAGGAATTCAGGAAAGGTAAATATTAATAGCACTGGACTAAAAATACATGATATTTTCACTGTTGTATGTTAAATCTGCAGATCTATTGAAATATTTTAGAAGAATTAAATTTTGCTCTAAAGCCACAAAATAGATTTTATGTCATCTCTAACCTGTTGAAATTTTTTTTTTACATTTACATAGTTCAACCTTAATGATTTTCTAAGAGCATGGCAGGAGAGCGTACCAGAGGGAATGAAGACATCTATATCACAGTTGGAGGTAATTTAACTTAATTTTAGTTGTTTCTTTTCCAGTCACTGCTCAGCAAATTACAGATTTGTTTAAATGATTTCTTTTATAAACTTTATTCATATTTCAACATTTTTAATAATACTAGACTTGTAAAAATACAAATTTTCAAAGATTTTATACTATCATTGATATTATCAAAGTGGCATAATATCAATAAAATTGAGAATTTCAGCATTATGTAGATTTTTTATTGTTAAATTTTGAAGGATACCAATTTTAATTTTTTTTTTTTAAAGATTTAAGATCTCCTCTTAATTGTGGATGAAGTGCAGTATAATCATTTAAATCTTTATAACTTTGCCTTTTCAATCCTTGCTCAATACATAGGAGAAAAAAATCCTTAGGAATATATATGACCCAGTGATAGACAATGATGTTTGGATAATCCGTACAAACTAAGAGCTATATCAATTGTATGTAGACCCACCCAGGGTTGCAATAATAAAAAGGGCAGACTGTGCTGGACAGGACATATTGAAAGGATGCCGGATTGTAGAACAGCAAAAGTGATTCACAGGCAGAAACCTAGAGGCAGACCGCTCACCGGTCCACCAAGACTGAGATAGATTGACAATTTAGAGGACTTATACCAGTTGGGGGTTTGTGCATGGAGGCGGAAAGTCGTGGAACAATCTGAATGGAAGTATGTGGTGGAGCAGGCCAGGACACTACATGGGCTGTAGCGCCACTGATGATGATGATAATGACTTCTCAATCCTTGTTGATTTTATTGTAATTTAAACCTCCATGTTTTTAATTATTTATTTTAACAAAAGTGTCATACCTAACTAAATTTATTTTGATTTTCCCAAGGGTATGGCATTAATGGACAAAGATTCTAATCCACCTGTTATCTGGTTTTATAATGTGGATGAGTTGCCCGAAGAAATTTCAGAAAGGTATTTTTTCAACATTAGTCCTTTTCCTCTTTTATAAAAAAAAAGCTCATAAAACTTTTTCTTTATTAAATTAATTATTACTTCTCTTAATTAACATTTAATATTTTAGTTAAAGCAAATGATAAATAATTGCTTTATCATTCTGAAAAAAAAAAACAAGTTTTCAGTGTCCTTAAAAAGTTGAGTCTCTTTGTTTTGATCATCAGGTTATAATAAGTCCAGATAATCAAGTTTCTACCATGCTTGTATTGCTAATTCCATCAATTTCATAAAATAAAGACAATTAATGCTGAATTCAATTAGACAAAATAATAACTTTTCTTTTGCATTTTGTTTTTTTTTGTTTTTTTTTTTATTTCACTGTAGCATAAATTATTATTTTGAGCATTAATAATATGAGTTAACAGCATAAAAAATATTTGGAGAATTTTAATTACTAGATTTGAGGCTCTCTTTGAAGAGAAAAAGAAATGGTCTTTAGATGAAATTACACCATATGTCAAGTAAGTACTCACACATGTCAATTAATTTACTTCTAAACAAATATGAAATATCATATCTTAGAGTTAAAACTAAAATACTAAAATTACATAATTAAGTTACAGGAGTCAGAAGCAGGAACATCATTTCAGTTTAGGAGGGTGTCCCAAAAACCAAAACTAATTGGTTAATAAATTCTTACAGCACAGTCAGGGACTTCTTACTATCACCATTGATGTCAGATCAAATGCTAAGTGCAGTATTTTAAACAGAATTTTAAAATTAATTTTTTCAGAGATTTAACAGATGATAAAACAGATGTAGGAGCTCTTCTCACAAAATTCGCCAGAGCTTCTTTACAACAAGGCATAAAAATGTTTAGCTCAAGAAAAACTAGCTAGTTAATTTTTAATTTATCTGATAAGATATTAAGCCCAGCTTATTATTTGAATTTAAAATCTCATAAATATGTGAATGTATGATTTGCTTAAAATAATATAACAATATTATTTGATCATGATAAAATGTTGTAAAATATTCAATTTTTGTTTGTTTGGTTTTTTTTGTTTGTTTCTTTGTTGGGGTGGGGGTTATCCATTTATTTTTACATTACTTTAAAGAAACTCCCCTGCTTATTTGATACATAAATACATATTTTTTTTTCAAGCAAAGGGGGCAACAATGACTTTATTTATGATGCCACAAAAATTTTTTTACAGGATGACACAATCATTGACAGTAGTCAAGAAATAAGAGAATATTACATTAGAAAAAAAAGGGGAATCTGTTTTAAAAATTTTATATATTACTGGTACTAGTCATAGCCTGGCGGCAGTGCGTGAACTTCCCATCTACTAGACAAAACATGCATTCAAATAACGCACTTTATAAGTATCCCAATTAGTGCTAATTCCCTCCTAGAAATACTGCTGCCCCTGAACTATATTAAAATTCTAATGTCCCATCCCCTTTTACAACACAGATGTATTACACAATTTTAAATCTAGACTATTTCCGTAAAACTTAATAAAATATTAAGCACAATATTGACACCTTGATTAAGTGTAGGCTTAAACTCTTAACTTGGCTGATAAAGTTTAGATGTACCGAATGCCTCGTTTTTTAAAAAGGTTTTAGGCAAGCTCCTTACAATTATTCAATAATATCTGGTGGAAGTGAACTTCCAGGTCAAATCCACCTTCATTGGATGACTTTTCATTGATGGCTGTGAGTATGATATATGTATAAGTAGACGTATCCTCATGAGCCACTTTAGGCCTACATTAGAGTTGTCACTGTGCAAAGCTAACAAACCAGCTAAGATGAAAAGTGTATATAATAACTTTATATTGTGTCTAGAAATTAAACTACTTCAAATAAAAGATTTAATCATAGTAATGCCTCATTATATAAGAACTTGCAATAAAATAATGATTTCATTTTACATTCCCTAAAGGACAACATGGGGGGGGGGGGGGTGTTGTAACAATTTTGTGCTGTAGCCTCAAATTGTAATTTTTTTCCCCTCTATAAAATTCTTGTGTCTAGCATATTTCGTAATTAGGTGCAAAATTAATTAAATTTATATTCACTCTATCTGATCAATAAAAAAAATATAAGGCCTACATCTTAATCCCGTAAGTGTAAATCTATAGTATAGCGTGGGGGAAAAAATCTGCCAAATCCAAGAAAAATCGTGACATTATTTTAAAAATAAGACAAATACGTGCCTTTGTAATGTTGTTGACATAAAATGATTTGTCTTTTTTAAGGACCTCCAATGTTTATGTAATATGATGTCATATATAAAACCAATCAATATGTTTTCAATTGCGGATTTTAAACCAGTATTTATGGCCTGTAGGTTGTATGGTCATAAAACATGTTCGGGGCGTGAAGTCGGAAACATGTGTTTATAATCTTTTGCTGTTGGCGGAAATGGTTAGCGAAGACTTCTTCTGTGGTTGGACGATGAAAGTTGCCAATGCTTTTGACCAGTTGAAATCTGAAAATCCAGATTATGTGTTTGCATTCTTATATTTCATTAAATAAAGGGAAGGACATTAGAAATAAATACATTTATAGAATTTCTTTAACTAAATTGTGTGCCACAGATTAGTGCCAGGTTTTTAACTGAATATCAGTATCGGCTGAGTTTTTGTTTTTTAATTTAGTTTGCCTCTTATGGGCTGGTTTTTGTGTGTTGACAACTGTTAATATAAATAAGAAAATATTAGCACAAACAATAACTACTCATTGGCAGTTATTGTCAACTCATTGCAGTCATGCTGTTCTTTCATGCTGTGGACAACAAAAAAATGTTAGACAAACATCTATCTACAAGCCCATGGGAAAGGAAGACATTTGAGATTTTAAGTGCATTAAAATTTTGAATCATAAACTAGTGGCATCTAATATACATGCAGTATTCTTGTTGACATGTCAAGGGAATTTTTAAAATCTATACAATACAAGTAAAATGGTTGGATTGCAAGTTTATCCTTAGATTAAAAGAAACTACCGTAATTCTCATTCAGTGGCGTAGCCAGGTTTAGTAATACCAGTCGCCGGCCAAAGCTTTTTGCCGCTTTACTTCCAATGAAAAAAAATTATGCACTTGGCTGGATAAAATGCCGCCCCACAATATAAAGAAAATTTAAGTTCCCCCCCCCCTTTTTTTTCTTCCCTTTCTTACTCCTCACATTTATTGAACATGTTCATGCAAATTATTTATACATAATTCCATTCCCTTATTTCTGCATCTTCTCTAACTGACCTGTCTTTGTACATCTCGGGGAATAACCACGAGACAATCAGAGGACACTGTTGAAAACCAACGATGCCTACTGTGGCCACCGCCTTGGCTGTAGTTATGTCTGAGTAGACGGCAATGGCAGAATTGGGTGAGAGCTGGGCCATGATCCTGATATCTCCAAACCTACATTTGGAAGGTGGCTTTTTCATAGCATTTCAAAATATAAAACACTACAAACCGACAAAATCATTTTATATGACACTACAAACTGACAAAATCAGTTAATATGACACTACAAACTGACAAAATCAGTTAATATGAAAGAGTGTAGACATAACTGTTTCAATGGAAAGCTTTGAAAGGAAATGAGCATTTTAATTGCATAACAATCTATAAACTGTAAATACAACTGTACCATTAGTGTACCTCCCATTTTCTGTAAAAGCATCTGTGTCTCATAGTACTTTATAAACCACGGTACCTTCCTAGTTACTTTCTTTATTAACAACTGTACCTTCATAGTTAGTACTCTATAAACAAATGTACCTTTATAGTTAGTTTCTTTATAAACAACTGTACCTTCCTAGAACTGTATAAACACACTCAATTGTGAAGCAGGGCAGGTTATGAGCTAACTTCCATTTGACCAGGACGGCATGCCGCGGTATGTTACTCAAATTATCAGGTAACTCACTGGACCACGCTACCTTGGCACACCTTGGTAAAGAGAGGGAAATGTCAGTACGGTGTATGAAGGACAATACAATAATTTGTTTTATTTCTTTCCATTAATATTATTTTGAAACGGGTTAACATTACAAGTTTTCATTATATCTTGAGTTGATTGATAGGCTAATCGTCACAGCATTAGAGGCACATTTTTTTTGATGTTAGGTCAAGTTGAAGTAAACTTACTGTTAAACAATTAATAAGTCCGGTATGGCGTATGAAAGTATTTTTCAATTTTAACAGTTTTTTTTAATATTTTTTTTATGTAATGCCCCAAGTTGATGTAAATAACTTACGGCTTCTACACCCAACAATGGGGTGCATAACTACGTAAAAAAACACTAAGAAAAACGCACCCTGATGATATACCTGAGCCTCCAGGCCCTATGGATAATCCCATTCTGCTTCAGTCCACCCCTAAACACTGGATGTAAAATTCTACAATATTTTTTTTTAATATTAGATCTATGTAAGTTCTCACCTGTTTAGGTACATGTTGACCTGGAGAGATATCTGCTTACGGACGCTGTTCAAATCACTGGCCATATCAAAACAGCTGGGATGATATTTCAGATTTTTCCACTCTAAAGGCCTCTTGATGGGACATCTGTTCGCATTTGCTTTCTTGTAAAACTCTTTTTCATCTGTGGAGTCATTACGGCAACTTGTGCGGTTTTCCCAAATACTTTAACTTAAATTATTTAAAAAGCCTTAAATTAAAACTTTTTTAATTGAACTCAAACTATAAAATTGAAGATGTTAACAACAAACTTTTTAACGAATTTTGCGCATGGATTTTATGAGCTGTTCCCCATGTGCAGATGGTGATAATAAAGCCATTTCGGACTCAATTATGACAGATAGTGTATAATGCAGTGGTTCTTAACCTTGTTGAGGTACCGAACCCCAACAGTTTCACATGCGCATTCACGTTACCCTTCTCAATAGGAAAAATAAAATATGATTTTTTATTTTTTTTTTGGGACCTCCACCGAACCCCTGAGACTGACTCACTGAACCCCTGGGGTTTAATCGAACCCAGGTTAAGAACCACTGGTATAATTAGTTGGTCTAATCAAGTTGAAGGTTCGTGGTATAAACAAATAATGTGTTCGGAAGCGCCCCCCCCCCCCAAAAAAAAAAAAAAAAAAAAAAAAAAAAAAAAATTTTTTTTTTCACTGAACCCCTGGGGTTTAATCGAACCCAGGTTAAGAAACACTGGTAAAAATAGTTGGTCTAATCAAATTGAAGGTTCGTGGTAAAAAAAAAAAATGTGTTAGGAAGCGCCCCCCCCCCCCAAAAAAAAAAAAATCAACAACAAAAAACAACAACTTTTTTCTTCAAAATAGAAACAATTAAATCAATAATGAACATAACTATAAAATGGTGGGTGGGTGGGGGTATGTAGATCGATATTTTCTAACCTATACTTTCAATAAAGTGTAGGCATACCATTATTGTTAGTTCTTTATTAAAATTAAATGTTAATTAATTATCTTTATCAATATTTTTTGAAACATCAAGTATGCTGTCATTTTGTAATGTAACGTTATTTTTCAATTGACGCCAGTAATAGAATTTGGTGAATCCATGTACATGAAAATGGACAAACACTTAATGTATTTTTTAAAACATGCACCAATTTCTGTATAGGCTACCTGCTGATATTATAGCACCCTTTTAGTTTTTCAACATTTTCACGTAATTGTAACTTCTTTCTATAATGCCAACACCCCCTCCCCCCAAAACAAATTCATCACAAATGTTTTTCATGATTTAGTTTCAAAATTTTCATTGAAACTCTTCACCATATTTCTCTCTCTTAAAAATATCAGATTTTCTTCTGGAACTCCCAGATGTTGGCATGCAGATGACCATAGCGAACAAACCATCCCAAGGGTTGATCATTGAGCTGACCATCAAGGAGAAACTATCCCAGTTTTTGGCACCGAGAAACCAAATTTTGAAAGAAGTGTTGTCATTGGCAACGAGGCTATGTGCCAACTTTCAGCTCGATAGGTTGACGGGATGTGGGTCAATTAGCCGTCCGAAGATTTTTGTCACACACCCAGCCAGAAAGAAACACGAAAAAAAAGCGAAGTTAATATAAATTATAAAGGATTTAAACGAAAACACACAAGCTTTTACTGTGTAATATATGTTGAATAAAGCTCCCCAAATAGAATGGACAAGACTGTCATCGTAAGTGTCTAGTAGTAGTAGAGATTTACCTATTTTGCTCTTTAAGCTGATTGATGACACACTGAACAGTGGCGGGGAATTGGGTCTATTTTGTATAAGTGCTTCGGCTTTCACTGGATCTAGGTCTTCCGTCACAGCGGCTGAAAACATAATTTGTACAATTAAAGATTCGTGCTCATGGTAGAACTTAAATTTATGCCCCCCCCCCCCACCCCACCCCCAGTCCGGCAATGATCTATATTTGTCAGTAACATGTGGGCCAAACGAAAATTTATCATAAGTTGTTTTTTGGTTTTTTTTTTAAATACCTACAAATTACTAACATATCCGGAACCCGCAGCAAGTTCAAAATTAGCATATACCGGTACGATGGTTAATGTGGTCATGGGCGATTTCGACTGACGAGCTATATACATAGCCGTCTAACATGGGCAGTCGTCTACGGCGCATAACTTGGAGGGGCGTAATACTGATCTAAGAGGAACATTGACTGACCCCTTTAAAGTCGCCTACGACGCATAACTTGGAGGGGCGTAATACTGATCTAAGAGGAACATAGACTGACCCCTTTAAAGTCATTCACGGTTGTAGATTATACAATTGAGCTACTTCATGCGTCATTCAAGATTGAATCTATGATCCTTTCTCTACTTCCGAATTTCATTTTTTTGTTTTAAAATACATTATTGATCACCTGAACTTAAATGAAAATTGCAACAGATTTAGCAGTTTCAATTTCTTTGCTTTGATTGAGCAAATCGTCTTAAAAATTGAAGTTTGCTGGATTTATTTTTGTATTGTCCTTATGGCAAAACAGTTTTGCACCAGCCCCGAATAGCCTCCTTAAGGTTTTGTAAACTAAAATTAAAATTTAATCGTCCCACATTTTTATGTTTAACTTATAATAATACTTTTGTGACCAGCGGTTTTTTTTGGTTTTGTTTGTCTCTCGTAAATACGTGACTATGACATTTGAAGTTCTGGAATCGTCTCTTCGTCAAGTCATTTGAATAAATTGCTATCAATTGTTTACCTTTGTCCTCTGGTACCAACGACTTAAAACGTCTGACCTGGACAAAGTCTGTCTGAAATAAAAAGGGAAGAGACACGACATAATAAGAATATTAAGCGTTATGGATTTTCTATCCAAGAACAAAAGCTGAGCCTGAAGTTTTAGAACATTTAGAATCAACACTTTGGTCATTGTATCTATTCCCTGAGACACCTTTACAATCAGCACTGTGGTGATTTTATCTATTCCACAAAGCACCTTTACAGTAAGCACTGTGGTAATTGTATCTATTCCCCGAGACACCTTTACAATCAGCACTTGTTTGTCTTTATTTATGTACAGATTCAAACTACAATTACCACTATTCTCTGCAACCGTCTTCACGACTTGTGTGGGACAATAGAAGAAGCAAATCAGGGTATCAGAATATTTACCAGCGGTCCTAAGATGCAGACTTTCCCTTTGCGGTTGGGACATCTGTTCTCGATAACTTTGAGTGTGTCTGAGCGGTTTTTGTTCCTTAGAATGACAACCTCTTTACCCCCAGAGCTATGTTTAGCTTCACCTGCTGTATGGAATGGAATTAAATCATTTTTATGATGTTAGATATGACATTACCATTATTTTTGGAGCTCGATGTTAAAATCATGACCATTGTGTTAAATATTGCATCACCATAGAGGCTCCACTATTTGAAAAAAAAGTAAGTTATATAATTCTGATTAAAAGCTATAAGCTAGTTGAAAACTTAATTGTTTTGAAACTGTTTTATTATAAAGATAATAAGTGAAACAATCGATCAAGACTTCCTAACTTGTTAACCCCAAACGAATGACTTATGCATAGAGGACAAAATATAGTTTTCGAAAGAAAATGCTAGAATTCGGGTCTCGGTAATGTGTGATAGAATATTCATCATGATTTAATGTAATATCGTTGTATACTATGTACATCGTTCTTATTTTAAATCTAACCAAAAAGTAGCGACGAATCCATTTTGTCAGAAGCTTTGAGATAGTGTTGTAATCTTGTCTCCTCAAGGGTTTGGGGCGCAGTGCTTGTCGCAACAGAAGCTTTGAGTTCGTGCTGTAATCTTGTCTCCTCTAGGGATTGGGGCGCATTGCTTGGCGCATCAGAAACTCCTTGATAAGACGGTGTCAGCCGGGCATTGCAAAGGAGCACAAACGCTAGCTTCAGCTGAAGACAATCAAAGAAACAAAAATGAGTCTACAGCAGAGGTAAAGATTTTAAAGGTCAATTTTGTGAACACTCCCAATCCTAAATAAAACATACTTCTGCATGACAGAAGGATGTCCTTCATATCCCAAATTCTGACCAAAAAATGTTGGGGGGGTGGGGGGGGGATGCTTTAAGGAGGCCTTAACACTGTGTAAAAAAACAACTTTAAGATTGAACAAAAAAAAATGCCCTGCCGCCCCCCTCCCAACATTTTAAAAAAAAAAAAAAAAAAATGGGGGGGGGGGGGGGGGGGGAATGCTTTAAGGAGGCCTTAACACTGTGTAAAAAAACAACTTTAAGATTGAACAAAAAAAAATGCCCTGCCGCCCCCCTCCCAACATTTTAAAAAAAAAAAAAAAACTGTTCGAGCATTCTAAAAAGTTTTAACAAGAAATGGGAACTAATTGTATCTATTACTTCCCTTTCCAAAACTACAGGATGAATAATGTCCCAGTTCAGTGGTCGGCAAACTCATTAGTCAAAAGAGCCAGAACTCAGCAGCATAACGATTAAAATTTTTGAGCGCCAAATTTCTTTTCAAAAACCTGCCAAGAGCCATGTTTTTCGGAGTCAAACCCGATTTGTAGTCGACTGACTGAGTCGCACTCAGGTCGCTAAAGAGCCGCAATTTTCCGACCACTGGCCTAGTTGAATGCATTCTGTGCCTTAATACAGGCCACGACAAAGGAGACCGCCTCTGGTGATATCATGGGGAGATGAAAGATCAAGAGGCAATTTACAGCAGATGCTGGGACCGCTAAGGTGGTGTGAAAAATGTTTTTGGGTTGAAAATGTCTGCTCCAAAGGTGCAATGGCAACACAAAAACACCAAAAAAAGAATGTGACTATGATAGATATACCGCGTATTAAATGCTTCATGTACGGGCTTTCTTCATTTAAAACCCATGAAAGGGATTTCACGAGGTGTATTGTAAAATTAACCATAACCAAAATATAGCATGGCTACTTCTTACTGAACTGTTTATTCACCCCTTCGAAAGCTTAATATTCTTCTTCTTCTAAATCTTAAGGGCCCACGATCAATTTATTGATCATTTTGGCTCCTATGCATGTAGATGGGATTTGCAATGTTTCTGTTACTGGTGTTGATGAGGAAATCATACACTAGGGGTTTGAAGGCTTGAGGCAATAGACACAAATGTGTCTAGTGTTGTCGCCTCAACCGTTCCTTTTGAAAGATGGTTCCAGTCCCTGATTGTCTTTCTTGGGCAGGAATGAGCAGCCCCTATACTTAAGTTAAATTTTAAATCAATGCTAAGATTTTTAAAGGTAAGTAGAAGTATAAGATTTCTAAAAAATAAAATTAAATGTATGAAATTAAATCATGTCCTAAATGATAGGGCTTATACTTGATATTACTTTTGACTAGTATTGCTGGTAATAATATGCAGTAGGAGGATAGAATAGTATTGGTTTTGGGCCTGTAGGCTAGAAATATTTTTTAAATTGTAAGCCTAGCAAAAGGTAGCCACATTTTTTATAGTATTGATTTTATTTTTGTATTATAAAATTACATTTAAAATTTACTGTGATTTATTCAGATACATCAAAATTAAAAACACTCTTGATTCTTAATCGGGAGCAAATTCCATTTCTGGTGACCATACATAATTGGCTAAATTTATATTTTCCATCTGGTGAAGGGTGTGTCCCTGGTGAAAGGGGTGGGGGTTATGACATGTTAAAAGACAAAATTACACGTAATTGGTGACAAAATTAATTATTAGAGTACTGCTGTAATACGCAAAAATCTGAGGTCCCTGTACGGAGATTGTTAAATGGCCACACAAGTTTTCTTCTGCGTGCTTGAATGGGTATGGAAGTGCATACTTTAACCTTTCATCCCATGCCTGTACCATGTCATACTTTACCTATGTCTTGATTGCTGGTTTAAAAATTTTGTGTACAGTACATGGCTAAAATTTATGAAAAAAAAAAAAAAAGACCAACAGAAACCAAGCCCCATCCTGTCCCGTCGGAGGGTACAAAATTTTCATCCCATGCATGTACCATTTCATACTTTACCTATGTCTTGATTGCTGGTTTAAAAATTTTGTGTACAGTACATGGGTAAAATTTATGAAAAAAAAAAAAAAAAAAAGAAAAGACCAACAGAAACTAAGCCCAGTGGCGTAGCGAGGCAGGTGCGGGGGGTGCGGACCGCACCGGTGACACCATTTTAGGGGTGACACCCGAATGAAAAATTATATATTTACAGGGCACAGATTGCTCCTAAAAAACCGAGATTCATAAAAGAATAACCAATCACATATATATTTTTCACAAATGTAACCAATCCAAATGCGTGCTTTATTTAAAGTTCAAGGTTGATGCGTCAGAAATGAGATGATCCTATATTTAGGTCAGAAAAACACAGTCATTGTTCAACGCCAATTGAAGTGTTCGGTGACGTCCGTAAGTGACAGGAGGCTATATTTATATAGATTCTGAGAAATAGGGCGGTGTGGTAGGGCGATTATAAGTATACGAATCGGTAAAAATTAAAAACATTATAAATGAATTTTTACCCATTTATAGGGTTAAAAATTATATTATTTTACAATAATGCTCTTTTATTTTACAAAACAATGGATCTATGGGATGATGCAAAATGGCGAGAAAATTGCGTGGTCTTGGAGTTTGTTTTTTTCACTTTTCAGTCATAAATTGAATTGTTTGTGCTGCAGATTGTTTGCTGTTAATGTTACAGAAACAACATCCAAATTTGTTACTGACTTTGATAAGTGGTGGAAACTAAGCCCAAAATTACAATTTCATGAAGCATCAGAAGAGCAACTATGTTGCCTTGAAAAGCGGAAAGCATTGGCAGCAGGACTTAGGATACATAAAACAACTGATGCCGAAAGTATTGCTGTGATGGACAGGAAAAAGAAAATGTGGAGGGATATCCTTCATAGGTTGCTGTATATTACATTGTTTCTTGCAAAGCGATCATGGAAGTAGCAGATATGTTTGGAGCTGTTCAACACAAGAGTCTAGTATCAGCAATTGAAGAAGAGTTATTGGTATACATTCCAAAAGTAACTTCTTTCTATGATGAGTTATCAGAAGATGAACTTTCAAAAGAAATACCATGGCTTAAAAGACATCTAAAGGCAGCTGATATTGAATTTTCACAAAGTCATGGACAGGTCAGTAATTAATGTTTTGAAATTCATAGCTGATTGGGACTTCCTAGAATCTCTTCCAATACTCTCGCTAAGTTTTTAATTTTTTCCTTACGTTATGTGAGTCTTTTGCTTCATGTGAGCGGAGCTTTTCAAAACTAAGGCTCATCAAGAAATATTTATGATCCATCATGGGACCGTCAAGGCTTTCTGATATGGCTCTGCTATCTATTTAAAGTGATACATTGAAGGAAATTGATTTTGATCAAATGATTGACAGGTTTGCAGCTTTGAAGACAAGGAAAGGAAAATTTTAAATACATTAAATGTAATGTAAAAATAACTAAAACTCAACGTTGTTACAGTTTTTAAATTCCTTGATCTCATGAACTTCGATTTACGTGTTTTGTTCTTGTTATTGTTATACTGTGGACTTAACAAGAAAAAATCGATCATAAAAGTTGGGGGGGGGGGGTGACACCGTGAGTTTACCGCACCGGGTGACACCAACCATGGCTACGCCACTGACTAAGCCCCATCCTGTCCCGTCGGAGGGTACTAAAGTTCTTTCATCTGATCGTTAACAGTCATAAGGTGAATAGTCCCAGCTACATGGTTTTTGTATATATGTCCACCAATGAATAGATTTTGACCATGTTAATTTATATATGTGTAAACTTGACCTTATTTGCTGGCGATAAACAAAACGCAGGGTAGATAGCAAAATTTCTTATGCGGTAATTCGCTTTGTTTCAGTTGCAGATTTTTCAATTTTGATTACTGCGCACAGCAATTACAGACATTTATTAGACATTTCCATATTTGTAGAGCTGATGACATGTTGTCAGCAAATTGTCGGAAGCAGGCAATGTCTAATGCAATGTTTCTGTTCCTGGTGTTGATGAGAAAATTTAACTGATTTCTAGTGCAACTTTGTGAGGGAATCATGCACTAGGGGTTTGAAGGCTTGAGGCAATATACATGCATCCATATACATGCGTATTCTTTCTGTTCCCAGAACACGCACTAAAACATATATGATCTTTCTTTTTCTGTGCCCCAAAACAATGGAATTCTCCCCCATTAAACATCTGCAATATAACGACAATCACAGCCTTCAAAAACTACCCCCAAGAGTACTCAAGACCCATCTCTTCAAACTGTACTATACCGACCCATTCTCAACGCCCCCCCCCCCCCTTTTCTGACTGTCCCCATTAAACATCTGCAATATAACGACAATCACAGCCTTCAAAAACTACCCCCAAGAGTACTCAAGACCCATCTCTTCAAACTGTACTATACCGACTCATTCTCAACGCCCCCCCCCCCTTTTCTGACTGATAAAGAACACACGATGCTGCTGGGTGTTGTCCATGGCTAGACAGCGGTAGATAGTACTTGGGTGGGTGAGGTCAAGCTTTTCATCAATTGCTATTTTTAAATGTATACGTTTCTGTAATTGCAAATTTTTATGTGAAGCGCAGTGAGCCTAGACCTAGGCTGGAGTACTGAGCAGCGAGCCTAGCCCTAGGCTTGAGTACTGAGCAGTGAGCCTAGCCCTAGGCTTGGGTACTGCGCTACATAAAACCACCTAATAAAAATAAGATATGTTAACTCCATTTAAGCGTATTGGGGTATATTAATGTTTAGTACATTTTTACCGGTACAATTGGGGTTCATCAATCTTTCATTCTAACAGATCGGGTGATGATGATGGTCAGGGCACTGGCTGGCCTACCCCCCACGAATCGGATGATAACCTGTTTCTACTATCAGCCGTACATTATTAATTCTGGAGGGGGTTTGACTCCATGGGACAGAATCTCTTGAGCCGTTCAAACCCATGTCTAATCGGTGTCAGCATAATGCTTCAAACATCTTCGGAAATATCGCATGGTATCAGTGGTGCGCACCAAAGTGGCTTTTTTTCAATAATAATGTTCAAACTTCTTTATCATCATCAATGTGGAGTACGGACCTGTTCCACCACATCCTTCCATTAGGAGCGGTCCGTGACTTTTCGTATCCATGCGTGAATCCACAGAAGTAAAAGAAGATGTACATCCGTCTCCAAATCCCCAATCCATCCAAGTCTTGGTCGACTGGTGAGCCATCTTTCCCTTCTTATTTTGAAATCTTATCATCCAAGTTAAGCTTTAATTATTAATTCTTTATAACCAGTATAAAGATCAAAGTATTGATGTAATACAGGGTTAGAAATAATTGCCTCTAGGGAGCTATTGGTAGTAAACTACCAATAGACACTTCCTAGACATTTCATAGCTCATCAGATGTCTGCACTTCACACTGAGAAATTTATCAAATATACTTACACTTACAGTTGGAAAACAACAAATAAGAACTGTTTCGAAGTTTGCAATTAAATTATAGTTCATTATTTATCTTTCAGGTCATTTAATTGTTCACATTTAAAAACTAACTTGAAGGAAAGCAATATCACAGATACAAGTGATATCCATTGGTAAGAAACTAACTGAAAAGAAAGCAATCTCACACTCACAGACAACCGACATCTATTGGTAACAAACTGACTTAAAAGAAAGCAATATCACAGATGTAAGTGACATTGATCGGTAACAAACTAACTTGAAGGAAAGCAGTCTCACAGAAAAGTGACATCTAATGGTAACACAAGGATGTAAACTTGTAACAATGATTACAGCAAGACCCTTTTATTCACATTTTGCTTCAGCTAGTGGACAAGTGTCCAAAGTAGCAGTTACTGCATGATTGAAGGTGCTGACAAATAAAACAGTTGGCAAAGGTTTAGTCAAGTCAAGTGTTTATCACAGTTATTGACATTTTGATAACTTTGAATTCAACACAAACACATGCACAATATTACCACAAAAAGGAGGTATCAGTATGTTCAGACTCTCTCATTTAAAGCTAATAATGATTCAACTGCTTTCATTGAATTGTTGGGCTCATGAAGCTCTGGTAAATCATGCAGCTGAATTAAACGATCTGTCATTATCAGCTGCGAAACTGGACAACCAATCTTTACCATGCCCATGACGTAATTACAAAAAAATTTTTTTTTTACTTTTTCTGTACAAATTATGAAATCTTGACCAGCAAATTAACTCACACATTCTTGATTTAATTTGACAATGGATTTCATTAAAACAGAAGTTACTGAAAATTGAAAAGGTCTGTGTTGAAACAATTTAACTTAGTTGAGAATAGCATGAGATTGCAAGTCTTATGACGAAAATAAGTTGCTGTTTTTTAATGACCTTTAAGAGTAATTTTCAGATAAATGCTTTTAAAACGATTTTTTTAAAAAAAAGGACAGGTTTAAAATGATGAAAACATAGTTTTGCGTTCTGTATGAATCCCGTCTCAATTGTTGCATCTACTTCTATGGTGAACATAGACATTACATAAACATGTTAAGTTTCTTTCAAGGAGAAGAATGTGGGAAGCATTTTTTTGCAAGAGAGACCATTCTTATACTATGTATGGACTAAGTAAGAGGGGAGGCTTGTCAATTTGTGAACATATGGAGATGGGGTGTCATCATTTATGGGACGGCTCTTTTATTTATTTCACATGCATGATGTAATAGTTTAGTTAATTTAGCCAGCGGTTCCTAGAGTTCTTTTAATTTTTGGTGCCCTAGCTAAATTTAGGTTGTAACCAGGTGCACTATGTCAAATTCTAACAAATAGACTTCTTTGAGATAACGATTAAATTTTTATTTTAAAAAAGGGATTGCCTCTTTCCCATGGCCCTGCCCTAGGTTAACGCTGGTGACGTTGCACAAATTTTGGCAAAACATAGGTGAAAAGCAGTGACAAATTATTTTTTATTGTGACGTAATAATGATATTCAAATAAATTAATGTGGGTTTTTATTTTGGAGGGAGGTGGGGGGGGGCACAAAAAGCTAGTTGTAGGTACACATAGGGAGTGTCTAATAAAAATTTAAGCGTACACTGGGGAAGGCAGTTTTTCTTTTTTTTTTTGCACACTTGCTATATGGATTAATATTGACTGAATTAATATTTTTTTGTCAACATTGTTGGCTATCCTTGATACATGCATAAATAAACACATGTAATAACAAGAAGTATCATTATTGTATAATTAGCTTGATGCGATTTAAAATAATCAATCACATAGCAGAAAATTCATATCATCTAAGTATTAGCGGAACATAAACAACATCCCTTTCTAACTTTCTTGGTCCACCTTAATTGTAGCTTCTGAGCTTTTTTCTTGCAACAATGGAACTGCATTATTTTGTTCAAGAAAGTGCACAAAGAGTTGCACTAAATTTTTAAAAAAGCATCAATTAAATATAATTGTTAAGCATACAAGAGATTATTCAAAAACTAAAATGTAAGTAGTAAGATATAAAAATTTTGTTTTAAAATTTCAAATTGTTACATTTTCATTCTTGTAGTCCAGCTCCAGTCAATTTGAAGTTATTTGATAACTGAACCTTAAAGATGCTGTGAGACACGAGCCATATTAGGCAGATATAACTAAAATATCTCCTCTACCTTATTAGACCTCATCCATATATTGACTATAACTCCTATTCACTATAAGACATCAGCCATATTAGGCAGATATTCATTATCATATCGCCTCTCGCCCAGCATGTATTGGTAAATGCCAGGTTTCAGTTTGTCTGCAGCTGCCAACACAATACGAAAGTCTCCATCCAGCAGTAAGTTGAGGTCCTGTCGGAGACGCTTGGAGCTCACTCTGTTACCAGTAGAGCCTGATAATCTGTGACAAAAAAAAGGTTTAGAAAGCTGCTTGAATAACTGAAATTAGGGAATATGTGATCTTACTTAACTATTACATTAAAAGTTTGTTTTTTTAACTCAGAGCAAAATTTCTTACACATCCCCTTCTATGTACTTGATGATACAAAAGGCCCGTCGTTGTAGACCATGCATAAAGTGGCGAATGTAAGCCTCTCGAACGCCATTCTCTGGTGGGAGTTTGAAGATCTACATAAATAAAAAAAACATGAGATAAGGCCTAAAAATAAATCAGATACAAAAATGGTGTGTTGTAAAATAAATTTCTAAACAAAAATTGGTTCAACTAAAACACATTAAAGTAATTACTTGTCTTATAGTGAAGACAGTAAATAAAGTAGTCATAACTTAAACGTACTTAAAAGTGGTAAAATAATCAGTAAAATTTATAGGAGATTTCACTTGAAAAAATTAATTTATCAGTAAAATTTATAAGGGATTTTTTGTTTAAAAAAATAAATATTTTATTGCATTTAAATTATATATGTTCATATTTTTATGACATCTAACTTTTAGGAGTCTTTGTAATAGCATGGCATTAATTTAAAATTCTTCAAACCGCTTGATTTTAAGATAAAAAAACAACAACCCAATATCAAATGCACATTTGGAGCAACCTACTTCATCTATTAACTCTTTCACTAGACTTTCTGGTACATTGACTGGTTGAAAAGTTCTTGATGGACTGCAATGAGAAGCAGTGGATTAGAACTGTAAACCTCTTGATCAAATAATCACACAAGAGTTTTTACATTTAGTTAAATGTTCAATACTTTAATGTAAAACTACATTTATAAGGTGTGTTAAGTCCCTCCGGCTGAATTAATGTTCCAACAGAGAAAATGGGATTAAAACCTAATGAATTGTGTGCCCCCTTTGAAAAAATGTTTAATTCTACATACATATTACTGAATAGCTTAACTTGTAGATAAAAAAACAATAACCTTGCAAGATCAGAACTTACTGCCAGCCAATGTTATAATGGGCTGAGGTGAGTTAAGCTCAATTAAAGCTTTTAACAACGCCATAACTCACTAATGAGATAAGATTCTTTATTGATCCAAACAAATGGAAATGTTTTTTGATTACATTGTACATATTCATTTTCAGCGTATAAATAAATATGTATTTAAACCAAGACAATGTTTTACATTTAAAACAATTTTAAACACAAGACATCTAAATTATTTATCTAGCGTAGAAATCAGCCATAAATGAACTCCTTTAATGACAATGATGCCTTAATTAGTAATCAATTATATTTGGTAACTTCTGGGGTTGCATGCTGGTAAATTTGTACTGACTGGGAAACAAAAGTATTTTTATAATGAAAGAGAAAATGTAGATTCAAATTTAATACACATCGGTATGTCAAAATACTTACCCACCACCATAGCCTTCTTCTCCTTCATACAGTTCCTTCAATTCTTTTATTAATGTCTCATGGCTGAGTCGTCTATGATCAGCTGCAGGACTGGATTGAGTAACTTCTCGACGTTCAACATCTATAATAGTGGTGGGATACTGGCTGCAGAGCAAGTCTCGTACTGATAAATTGGATGATCCATCCAGATTCTAAGAATAAATTAAAAGTTTACTTGCAATAACTAATACAAAACTTTTTTCTATGAGTGTTAGTATGTTAGGAACTAGTTATAACTGAGAGAAAAATTTATAGTGGTCTCACTAAATTAATGCAAAGTACTTATGGTTTTCTTTCTAACATTTGGAGCAGATAAAATAGTAAACTATAAACCAAACAGGATAAATCCTAGAGAAAATATTTTCTCATGTAACAGGAATGATTTTCTAAATTTACAAAATTAATAAAAAGCCTTAATACAGTGAAACTCAAAAAAAAGACAGCCTGAATGCCAATTTAAAAGACAATATATTACAAATTATTGAATCTACAGCAATGATAACAGTACACCAATGAATATAATTTCAAAAGTCCATTACATTGACATAAGGCCTGGTTATTTTCAACAGTCACAACAGTCATTTAAATTTCAAATGTATATATGTAAAGCTTGCGTAAGCCCCTCTACAATACTATTAATAGTGTGACCATATTTACATTATGGTCTGATTTTTCTTTTTTTTTTTACAATTTATTATTTCATGACTAAAATACTTTTAAAAAGTTGAACAGAGTGGAACCTGTAAATCTGAGTCATAAATCAACTGGCTACAATTTCAGGCAATATTTGCAATGTCAGCTGTTTTCATTGACCATACCTTTATGCACCCTTGTACACACAGGTCCTGGAAGTACGGCCAATTCCGTCCTTTTAAAGCAGCCCTGGAACAAAATCTTTCACCATCTCGGCAAAACAGTCCTAGGGTGTAGACTAGCACATTTACTTTTTCAGCACTGTCACCAATAACCACACTGCGTCCAAAGGTCATCAAGTGGGATGCCACAATCAAACGCAAAAATTCCAGTTCATGAGGATGTGTGAAATGAAATGCTGTGTAATTCAACTGATGATTTAAATTATATACATTACATAAGGTTAATAACATTTCAAATTTTGTTGTGATGATATTTGAACAAATTACCTGAATTAAAAAAAAATTATTTTAGATGTTAAACAGTCTGTGACAGCCCATTATAAAAAACAAGCAACATAATATTTTAAAAGTAAATGAAATCAAACAAGCTAGTAAGAAACATTTCTGTAAAAAGATCATTTCTACCTCTATTTTAAGTGGTAATCCACCCTCTTGCAGGGATGAAAGCATATCCATGCAAGACCACAGCCACGAGGATAGATCTGCAAGGCCAGATGTTCCAAAGTCTTTCTGAATAGCAACAAGTTTAGATAAAATCATTTGTGTTGGATTTTATGAAAAACAATGTTAAGTCTATTCCTATTTCTCATTCTCATGGTTTGCCCTCTACCACCAAGTTAATTCATTTATCAAAAAACACTGCTTCCTTTTTTTTTTCCTCAATATTTTTAATAGTGTTTAAATGCATAGACAAAATTATTCTGCCAACAAGAAAATAACATATTTTTAAATAACCATTACCACCTTTTACTACGCAGTTGATCTGTTAATATTCAATGGTGATTTTTTTTAAAGTGTATAAAATTCAAATTTCTATATCCATTTTTTTAAAAACCTTTCTCATATTTATAGAAATATGCTTACTTTTGCACACAGAACTCGTAGCTTTGCAACAATTCTTGTAAACCAAGAATGAATGAGATCTACCTGATATTGTAATAGACCAATAAATAATTAAATAAACAGATATATAACTATATATACAGTTAAATCCTGTTATAATGTGCCCCACTATAGAACTATTTGGAATGGCTCTGAAATTTCTTATATTCATTTGCACACATGGGCGCCCGCAGAAAACTTTCTAGGGGGGGCAAAAAAATCAATTAACTTTCCAGGGGGGGGGGGCAAAAATTTTTTAGTAACGTTTAAATATAGTTTTAATTTACTGTAGCATATTTGTATGGTGAACGAACGGACAGGACATCAGCTTAGTTACTTTCTCTTTATTTTCTCTTTATTTTAATACATTTTTTGTCTATTTTTGTCTAAAAAATTTTTATCCAATCAATCCAGGGGGGGGTGGGGCAAGTGCCCCACCTTGCCACTACCTGCGGGCGCCCATGTTTGCACATTCAAAGAAAGAAAGCCAACATCATGTTTAATGGGCTTGGAGGTCTAATTAGATGCAATAATAAGTTGAGATAATATAATCTCTGCTTTATTATCATAAGTAGATGCAATAAGTTGAAATAATATAATGTCTGCTTTATTATCATCAAATATTACAAAGCTTTCACACGGAATGTGAGACTGCATGGTATGTTTACATCATTAGGTGTCTTGGGGGCATTGAAAGGCATTAGTAGCATAAGGGATAGGTCACATAAAATATTATAAAACCCCCAAATTAATGGGCCATTGCTATTAACATGATCCAATTTTTACGTTATAGGCAGGTTCTACTGTATTTATTTACATAAATAATATGTATTAGCAATTTTTGTCTTTATCTATTACATATAAATAAATTTTATTAACAAAATTTTGTGTCTAAGTTTTTAATTAATGTCAGTCATTATTATTAAAAACCATGTGCTCATTTTATCTTATCCAAAAGCGAATAGCAAAAAATTTTTTAACTTTCATAAAATTGTGCTTTTTTGTTGCATCTTTTTTTCAGGTTTTCCCATACTTTTGTTTTACTTATTTCCTTCATATACTTTTGAATTTCCCTCAAGTATTTAATATGCACACTATACAATTATCGTGTTAGAGATTGTAAATTATACTTTTTAGAGCTTTATATTTGTAAATAAAGCAAAGAATTCAAAAATTAATTACTTGATGTAGATATAGGGTAAGTTCAGAATTTGGGATGATCAAGGCTAATGACTGCAGAGAGATGCCTGTGCTACCGTGAGCTGAGAAAATAAACGCTGGAATTATCACACCTTTGTCTGGAATGTCAAAGAATTTAAAATCTACCTGTATAAAGAAAAAAAAACCATATTTTATTCAGTACATTATAAAAAAACAAGGATCTTACTTATTACCCCCCTTTTATGCTTTATAATGTTTTAAAATTTTTATTTTAAACTCAAATGGATAAGTGTCCCTAATTTTGAATACTGTTTATTCATATTGTTAGCTTTACCTTTCAAAATCATACAATTTGTGGCAATCAAAATTATATTTAAGCTATATTAAAATAAATTCAGAACATAACAAAAACACACAACTTAAAAAGTTGCACCAACATTTTTTATATATCTTTTTCAGAACTTTACTTGAGCTTAAAATATATTGAGTTTCAAGGAAGAGCTCTAGTATGTACAGCTCTTTTTTCGTGAAAGATTCACTATTTCAGTAGTGTATCCAGTCAATGCGATTTGACAATCAAAATATTGCTGTAAACTACACTTTATAGAGAGGAATATTTTTTGGAGGATATACATTTTGTTTGTATTTTTAAAATCATTTCATTTAATCATTAATGAATATAAATTAATATGTTCTATATATTAAACTTTGAAAATTTAGTCAATTTCTATTTATTTCAATTTATTTAGCATGGATAAAAACATGACAAATTTTAATAAGAACATTAAAAATTAAAACCCACCTGACTTGAATGAATATCTCTGCATATTTCTCCACTTAAAACCTGGCTGGTAACAAACCTCAAAATATTTGTATGAGGTTGTGGTCTACCTGTCACATACCAAACATGCTCCAAGCGTGGACCCAAAATGTTGTCCCATTGGCAAAGCAGTAATGCATCTATAAAACTGTGTTCAATGTTACCTATTGAAGAGACTGAGAAGGCGGAGCTTGGACTAAGCGGTGTAGAAGAATCTTCAAAATCTGCCTTAAATGAATTTCCTGAATGTATAGTCAGTACACCAGAGTCAGATGACAAACTTCTTGGAGATATCAAACTTGCTGGCTGTATAGGTCTTCCTGCTGCCATTGTTTCTTTCAGCACACAATGTTTTAATTTATCTTATTTGCTATCCTTCATTGAAATTTTTAAAATGCTCACAATGATGTCATGTAATATATTTTAATGTTGCCCTTTTTATATTTGATATATAGCCTTTATCTCAGTCTGCATCCTTATTGATTCGACTAAGAAGTTAGCTATGATTAGGTCTATGAATATAAAACTGAGTGTCATCATGGACAGTGAAGTCATAAGGTCATGTTGAGTTTGGGATGTATTGGTCATCAACATTATAATCAGCACAAATGAGAGAACAACAACTGAAAAGAATGCATAGTTCACACAAAGAATAACCAATGCCTCTCGACTAACGAACTGCATACTGATACCCCCACGAAGACATAAGACCTCATTCCAAAACATTAGCCTAGGGATAGCCACAGAACTGTAGGAACTTCTTAGCTCTTACAAGCCATCACATTCACATGCTGAAGTAAAAATATAAAAAAGATGAAGACATTTTTTTTATTTTAACTAATAAATATTTGTAACAATTTATTACTAGAGGAGGCTATCCATAAATGATTCAATCATCTAAGGGGGATAGGAATGAGAGGTCATGAATTTGTGATGATGTATTATAATTATTGGGTGTCTAAATTGTGTGATAAATTTATGATGATATGATTGGAGGAGGGAGGGGGTCCAAAATAGCTTTACTTTACATCTTTATGGATGGCCCCTAGACAATTTCCTTACTTTTATGGCCACACAACATTCACAAAGTGCCTCACTCAGTACTCACTCTGAGTCTGAGACTCGGTGGGCTGAGCGGGTCACAATAGGACTAAAGCCAAAGCATATTCATAGGTTGTAATTATATGAATAAGTCTAATAAGTTATACGATAATTAATAATTATAAGTTATTGATATTGTCCTAGTCATAGCATTATAGTATTGTTCCTGACACTGACAGTAGGCCTACTTACTTCATTACTATTTAATTACCACTACTAGACTACTACTAATTCAATTGTGAACAATAATATTGAATTGACATGACATTGAATGAATAAATAAGACTATTACTATTACTATTATAATTATATTATTATAAATTATATATATTGGTAACAAGCCTGCACTAACTTGAAATAAGTTTTAGTTTAGTAAATTAGTAACAAGATCAAGGCAAAAAAGTTGAAAAACCTGTTGACACTGGAAAAAACTTAAAGTTAAAGGCTTGATCTTCATTGATAAAATAAAAACTATTATGACACATTCATTATTTTTTAAAAATTTGATAAAATCCTAGACCTAGGCCTACTAAATAGTTAATAAATTATATAATTAACTGATACTTAGACTAATGTTTATAAACTAATCATATTATTATTATGTTATAGGACACTGTGCTTACGTAACAGTTAACAACATATTAGCAATTAGCCATATAGCCTAAACTTTTTATTTAAAGTCACTCCATCTTAACAATATTATTTCTTGTTTATATCGGCACATCAAGCGGTGTTTCTTCTAGTTTTTTATGCCTGTTTTTTTTTTTTACGGCAAGCGTGCACACCTCAAATATATATTTTTTATGAAAAACTTGTGCGGGCCGAAAGAAAACAGAACAGGGGGAAAGCTTAAGAATATAATAATAATAAAAAATATTTCGTTACTTCGCCGACCTCAAAGTGGGTGACTGGGGGTAGGGGGGGGGGCATGTGTTGTGCAGGCTTGGTTTACGGTAAGGGCAAGGGACTTGGCATGAAAACTATTCTCTTTGAAGATAGCGTCACTCAATTGTTAAAGTTTTGAAAAATGTTTCCTTTGTTTTGAATCGTCTCTATTTAACAATCAACAACGAAGTTAACACATTTTCGATTGCCGATTTATGATTCTTCACTCTCTTTCAGCTTTCCGCATCAGCGCTCACGATAGACATTATGATCACATTTCTAGGGAATATGAAAACCAGGTTAGGGGGAAACTGAAAAGAATACACAATTAAATTGAAATTTAAAAAAAAAAAATTTAGAAAAATTCAAGCATTATTTTTATTGTTATTGTATTGATGCATTGATTGGATAATTTTATAGTTATGCTCTGATAATAACTTAAATACGAACTCCATTTTATACCATAAATAATGTCCTTTCAGAGTTAGCCCAACCTAATTCGAATATACATTGTTATAGAATTAATTTAAAGTCAGTTTGGCAGCATTTGGCACCATCCATCCATCCATCCATCTGTCTCCGTGACGCTACAGCCCATGTAAGGCTTTGGCCTACTTCACCACTTCCTACCACTCAGACCTAACTGATGCTTTTATTTTGCATACTTGGATCCCCAGCTGCTGTAGCTCTTTTTCCACAGCATCCCTCCATCTAAGCCTAAATCTACCTTTGAGCCGTTTCCTCTTGGGTTTTGGTGGTACACCCTCTTTACTCTTCTGTAATTTCTGCATTCTTTCTAAGTGTCCCGCCTAGCGTAGTCTGCCCCTTTTTTTAAAAATTGAAGTGGCTATTCAGACCCAGGTCTGAGATTTGAGAGGTTAGGATTAAAATTTAAAAAAAATATATATATACAGTGGAACCTCTCATGACGAGTTTAATTCGTTCCAGACTCTTACTCGTTAAGCGAAACACTCATTAAACGAAACAATTTTTCCCATACAAATCATTGTAAAATAAGATAATGCGTTCCATGCTGAAAAAATACTAATTTTTCAAAAATGTTTAGTAACATATATTTAAATAAAATTTCTTAAGAATTGTTAAATAGTGTAACAACTTGAAATACAATTTAGATTTAAAACAAAAAACTTACATAAAAATACGAATTTAGGACAAATAATTAATCCCTTTTTAACTAGAAAACTGTCTAAAGACATTTGTTTTTGCCGACGCTTCAAAATTTGACGAAAATGTGTCACAGCATTATCATTGAATATATTTGTAGCACGAATAGCCATCTCCTTATTAGGGTGATGCTTCTCAATGTACGATGTAACCGTTTCCCATGCTTTCAGCATTTCTCTTATTGCGCTAGAAGATTGTTGCTCTGCTACTTCCTCCTCCATTAATGAGCTCTCTTCCATAATTTCTTGCTGTGAAACATGATGCAATGCAATAAGCTCTTCGGTGGTCAACTCTTGACTGTGCACTTTCACAAGCTCTTCAATATCGTTGTTGTCCACTGTCCACCTCGAGTCAAATGATATTGGCCAATGACACAATCTCGTTAACTGTAGACTTCACAGGTACTGTTTCACAATCACATTCAACAACACTCTCTGGCCAAAGTTTTTTCCAAGCAGAAGTGAGGGAAAAATGGACTCGTTGTGCGAAATGTCGCTCGTTACAGGAGCAACTTCTTCACATTTTTTTTGCTCATTATGCGAATTACTCGTTATGAGAGCTGCTCTTTATGAGAGGTTCCACTGTATTATTGTTGGATTGTAAGACAAAATTTGTTATCGAATGAAAGATAATTAAATGTACTATATTTTTGTAAACTTACTTCTTCTGTTTAATTAAAATAAGCTACCACATATGACACCCGAATAGCATTTAGTCAGAAGGGACCCGGGTCCGAATAGGGGGGATGCATTTCCGGTTATAAAATGTTGACATAATTAAATAGGGGGTCATCGAAAGTTTGACAGTTTTTGACGAGGGGGGGGGGGTAAAAAATTGCGGACAAATTGTTGATGTAATTAATGGACGACCCCATACCTGATCTCTTATTAAAACTCTCGAGAGAAAAATCTTCATCTACGAAATGAAGTCGAGAAGCTCATAAAACGAGAATGGACCATATTCGGACCCGGGGAATAAGACTTGATTGTTGCCATACCATTTCAGCATGTATATGGCCCAACAGCAAAATAATATAGGTTTAGCCACCTGGTCAAAATGTATACAATAGCAGCATGGGCGCCCACAGAAAACTTTTTGGGGGGGGTCACCTGGTCAAAATGTATACAATAGCAGCATGGGCGCCCACAGAAAACTTTTTGGGGGGGGGGGGCAAAAGATCGATTAACTTTTTAGGGGGGGGCAAAAAATTATAGTAATGTTTTAATGTAGTTTTAATTTACTGTAGCGTATCTGTGTGGTGAGCGAACAGACAGGACATCAGCTTAGTTACTTTCTCTTTATTTTCTCTTTACTTTAATAAATTTTGTGTCTATTTATGTATAAAAAAAATTTATCCAATCAATGAATTGGTGCCCATGAATAGCAGGCACTCCGGTTTCGTGTACACATGAACCCCACGTCGGAGGGGAATCGACTATAAAATGGACACCTTCAAATTAAAGCCCTTACCATCAATCTTCAACAGGTCCCAAACCGTGCGGAAGATTTCCAACTATACCTCCCCACAAAGACTCTGAAATTGATTATGATTCTCAAACAATGTACATTTATTAGAGAATGAATATAAATTCGATCGTATCTTAGTTTAATTAATATTCCAAGGAACTGTTGTTAGTGCGCACCGGAAATATATTTTATTTCCACAACGACAACTTCCTGCTACGACATCATTTACTGAACACTCAGAAAAACATGGCAGATTCGTCTCTTGAGCAGCCGGTTCATGTTGAACCTCAAAATGAAACAGCCGGTAATGAAACTGTTAAAATACCCGCTACTCCGGAAGGAATGGTCATTGCATACGCAAGTTTGTTTCTGATGGCAGTTATTCCAATTTTTATTGGCTCTTTCCGTTCTGTGACATTCCATAAGGAACAGAAGGTAGGCCTAGGCCTAGGCCTAATTAAAATAAAGAAGAATAAAGACTTTAAATCAGGCATGTCTTCTTTACATTAGCCAATTATATATGATTATAGTAACTATATTAGCATTGGCATTAGTAATATTGGTCAGTATTATTAGTATCAGTACATTTATAATTATAATATTAAGTATTATTAATTATAAACCATTGATTTTAATTAGACAAGAGTAGTAGGGTAAGGCAGGGCATTAAGCACCATGAGGTAATAGGCACCAGTCACTGGGGGACCCTGATAATTAACTCTATAACTATACTTAAATAGCATGGGGCAAAAAGCAAACCAGTCTTATTTAGTTTAAACCTATCAGAAGACTGCTTTCAAACCAGTGTTTATTTCTAAACCAATGAAAATTATTTTGTTTTACTGTGATTTCAAATGACCACTTCCTGCCCTCCTTGACACACATGCTGAAAGTGCGCTTAAAACTTTTTGCTCTTTGAATGTTTAGTCCTAAAAACTTTTCTGACATCATTATTGCTCACCTGAAAGTGTTCTAAATTGC